AACAGATGCCAACCAAGAATACTCTATCCCGCAAAGCTCTCTTTCCTCCATGAAGAAAGAATTTGGACCTTCCCAGACAAAGAGAAACTCCGGAATTTCATTACGACTAAACCCCACTCCAAAAAATACTACAAGGAATCCTAAAGCCAGAACCTCAGAGGGACGAATAACAACGAAAGAAGACCAAAAAAAAAAAAAAAGTTATTAAAAGAATAAATAAATAAAATCAAAGGAAAGACAAACATAATGGCAAATACAGATGCTAACATATCAATATTAACTCTAAATGTAAATGGACTAAACTCTTCAATAAAAAGACACAGAGTTGCAGCCTGGATTAAGAAACAAAACCCAACCTTTTGCTGTCTCCAGGAAACACATTTAGCTACAAAAGATAAAAATAGGCTCAAAGTCAAAGGATGGAAAACAATTCTACAAGCAAATGGGCCAAAAAAGAAAGCAGGAACAGCTATACTTATATCAGATAAAACAGACTTCAAACTCAAAAAAATAAAAAGAGACCCCAATGGTCACTACATTATGATTAAGGGGACAATACTTCAAGAAGAAATAACACTCATTAACATATACTCACCAAACGAAGGAGCACCAAAATATATCAGACAACTGTTGTCCTCTCTGAAAACAGACATCAGAGAAAACACATATGTAGTGGGAGACTTCAACACACCACTATCAACAATGGATAGATCAACAAGACAAAAAATAAGTAAAGAAACTAAAGCTCTAAATAAGGACCTAGAGCATTTGGCTTAACAGACATCTATAGAACACTAAACCCAAAAAAACGGAGTACACATTTTTCTCAAGCGCACACGGATCATTCTCCAGGATCGATCACATACTGGGGCACAAGACAAACATCAACAGATACACCAAGATTGAAATCATACCAACCATCTTTTCTGACCACGAAGGCATCAAACTAGAAATAAATCATAAAAAGAAGGCAAGGAACTATCCTACCTCATGGAGATTAAAAGCCACACTACTGGAAGACCACTGGACTAACGAGGAGATCAAAGAAGAAATTAAAAAATTCTTTGAATTGAATGACAAGGAGGACACCAATATCCTAAATGTATGGGATGCAGCAAAAGCAGTAATAAGAGGAAAATATATAGCAATAGAAGCTCACATCAAAAAACAAGAAAGAACTCAAAGAAACAACCTAATCTCGAAGCTCAAAGATCTAGAAAAAGAACAACAAAAAAACCCCAGAACCAGTAGAAGAAAAGAAATAATAAAAACCAAAGCAGAAATAAATGAAATTGAAACTAAAAAACAATCCAAAAGATCAATGAAACCAAGAGCTGGTTCTTTGAAAAAATAAATAAAATAGACAAACCCCTAGCCAGGCTCACAAAGGAAAAAAGGGAGAAAGCACAAATACACAGAATCATAAATGAAAGAGGAGAAATCACAACGGACACAGCACAAATCAAAAGAATAATCAGTAACTACTATGAACAGTTATATGGAAACAAATTCAACAATCTAGAGGAGATGGACAAATTCCTACAACTCTACAATCACCCAAAGCTAGATAAAGAAGAAATAGAACACCTAAACAGACCAATTACAAGCAGCGAAATTGAAATGGTAATTAAAAACCTCCCCAAAAACAAAAGCCCAGGACCTGATGGATTTACAAATGAATTCTACCAAACATTCAGAGACGAATTAGTGCCTATCCTTCACAAACTCTTCCAAAAAATTGAGAAGGAAGGGACAATACCAAACACGTTCTATGAAGCCAATATTACACTAATACCAAAACCGAATAAGGACAACACAAAAAAGGAAAACTATAGGCCAATCTCCCTAATGAACACTGATGCAAAAATCCTCAATAAAATTTTAGCTATCAGAATCCAACAATGTATCCATAAGATAATTCACCACGACCAAGTTGGATTCATTCCAGGGGCACAAGGATGGTTTAACATCCGAAAATCAATCAACGTTATCCAACACATCAACAAAAAGAAATATAAAAACCATATGATAATATCAATAGATGCTGAGAAAGCTTTCGACAAAGTGCAACACCCATTCATGATAAAAGCCCTTGAAATTCTTGGGATACAAGGAACATACCTCAACATCATAAAGGCCATCTATGACAAGCCAACAGCCAGTATCATTCTCAATGGTGAAAAGCTGAAAGCAATTCCATTAAGATCTGGAACAAGACAAGGATGTCCACTCTCACCACTGCTTTTCAATATAATACTGGAAGTCCTAGCCAGAGCAATAAGACAAGAGAAAGACATCCAAGGAATCCAAATAGGAAAAGAAGAAGTCAAACTATCACTATTTGCAGACGATATGATAATATACATAGAGAACCCCAAAATCTCCACAGAAAAACTAATTCAACTCATCAATCAATTCAGTAAAGTGGCAGGATACAAAATCAACACGCAAAAGTCAGTAGCCTTCCTATACACAAACAATAAATCTGAAGAAGAAGAAATCAAAAAAACCACCCCTTTTATTATCGAAACAAAAAAAATCAAATATTTGGGAATAAATCTAACAAAAGAGGTAAAGGACCTATACAAAGAAAACTATAAAACACTGTTAAAAGAAATAGAAGAAGACACAAAGAAATGGAAAGACATCCCCTGCTCATGGATTGGAAGAATAAACATTATTAAAATGGCCATCCTACCAAAAGCAATATACAGATTCAATGCTATTCCAATCAAAATCTCAATGGCATTCTTCAAAGAAATAGAACAATTATTGATGAAATTCATATGGAATCACCAAAAACCCCGAATAGCCAAAGCTCTACTGAAAAAAAAAGAAGGAAATGGAGGCATCACACTCCCAGACTTCAAACTATACTACAAAGCCATAATCATCAAAACTGCATGGTATTGGAACAAGAACAGACATACAGACCAATGGAATCGAATAGAAAATCCAGAAATAAACCCACAGATTTATGGTCAACTAATCTTTGACAAAGGAGCAAAGACTATGCATTGGAGCAAAGAAAGTTTGTTCAATAAATGGTGCTGGGAAAACTGGGTCACTACATGCAAAAGAATGAAGCTTGACCACTACCTCACACCATACACAAAAATCAACTCAAAATGGATTAAAGAACTAGACATAAGACCTGAAACCATAAAATACATAGAAGGAAATATAGGCAAAACACTACGGGATTTGCACATCAAAGACATCTTTACAGACACATCACCCAAAGCAGTGATAGTGAAGACAAAGATAAACAGCTGGGACTACATCAAATTAAAGAGCTTCTGCACAGCAAAAGAGACAATAACAAAAACAAAGAGAAACCCCACCAACTGGGAGAACATTTTTGCACCCAACACTAATGATAAAGGACTGATCACAAAAATCTGCAAAGAGCTGATGAGACTCAGCAACAACAAAGAAAATAATCCAGTCAAAAAATGGGCAGAAGAGCTAAAAAGAAACTTCTCTGAAGAGGAAATGCAAATGGCCAACAGACATATGAAAAAATGTTCAACATCACTTGTAATCAGGGAAATGCAAATCAAAACTACCATGAGATACCATCTCACACCAGTGAGAATGGCACATATTAAAAAAACTAGCAACAACAAATGTTGGCGAGGATGTGGAGAAAAAGGAACTCTTGTGCACTGTTGGTGGGAGTGCAAACTGTTCCAACCACTATGGAGAGCTGTGTGGAGATTTCTGGTCCTACTAAACATAGAGCTTCCATATGATCCAGCAATTCCACTCCTAGGTATTTACCCAAAGGACACAGAAACATCAATTCCAAAGAGCACCTGCACTCCTATGTTTATAGCAGCACTGTTTACAATAGCTAAGCTTTGGAAACAACCCAAATGCCCAAAAATAGATGACTGGATCAAGAAGATGTGGTACATATATACCATGGAATATTACTCAGCATTCAAAAAAGATAAACACATGCAATTTGCAGCAACATGGATGGCGCTGGAAGGGATCATGCTCAGCGAAATAAGCCAAAAAGAAAAAGAAAAATACCAGATGGTCTCACTCATAGCAGGAATCTAGAAAACTTAAATAAGGGACCAGGAAAATGAATATAAGAAAGTGAAAATCAAAATCAACAAAAAACTATGAACCAGAGACACTTTTTGGGGGGTGGGGGGCGGGAGGGGAAGGATTGGGGTCAGAATGGGGCGTTTGCAATTGTATGGGGGAATATAAAAATAAAATTTAATATTTAAAAAAAAAAAAAAAAAAAACTCCCAAAGGGAAGGATACAGGGCCCTTGTTGTTGGAACACTGACCAATCAAGGTCTGTGTAAGGTACACCTGCTCTAGACATAGCCTCTCATTCAAGTACTGGGGTGGGAGGCAGTATATGGCTGCTTTGGTGGGACTGAAATATTTCATCACCTAAGACCTACACCATCGTCAATTTTACTCAAACATGTATAAAGCAGGGAACGATGATGCTTACCCCATCTTCAAATACTTTAGAATGAAAACAATTAAAAAAAACTAATTGTGTTCAGTATCTAACAGAGACTGGAATACAACAGCTACAGCAATATTTGTTGAGGGCATAGAAAGGGAAAAAATATGAAACTGCTAAAAAAAATGCACTGCTTGCACATGGATAAGGGTGATAAGCACTTGATGGAAATCAATCACATTAATAAAACAACAACAACAGAATGTCAAAATAGGAGGACCATGGAGATAATTCGTTTAATCTCCTCCTGGAAGGTGGGGTGTGGCCTGAGAGCAAGTAGTGATTGCCTCAGGTAAAAAAAAAAAAAAAAAAAAAAAAAAAAAAAAAGAATCCAACATGAATAAAGACATACTTTTTATGTCTGTACAATTGCTTTCAAATAAGCATGTCATATAGGATTAACTACTTGATCATTGTGAAGTGTTTTAGTTTCTAAATGAAATAATATTACCTAAAACCAAAAAAGTAGTATACTTGTTTAAAAAAATAAAAAATGACTTACCAGTCAGAGGAGGAAATTTTCTCTTTGAGCATCTCAAAGGATCCTTGATTTTTTCTGGGAGATAATCCTAGCCAAAAGTCAGTCGTCTGGGATTTTATAAAATCCTATAAGAAATGTAGATGGTTGTTGAAATAATTGTTTCTCATTTCTCTACATTACATCACAGCATCATTTAGTACGCAAAATTGTTTAAGAGAACATTTTACTTATTTTTTTCAATTTATTTTTTATTTTTTTATTTTTTTAAATAATAAATTTTATTTTTATATTCCCCATAAAATTGCAACCCCCCCATTCTGACCCCAATCCCTCCCCTCCTGCCCCCCACCCCCAAAAAGTGTCTCTGGTTCATAGTTTTTTGTTGATTTTGATTTTCACTTTCTTGTAGTTATTCATTTTCCTGGTCCCTTATTTAAGTTTTCTAGATTCCTGCTATGAGTGAGACCATCCGGTATTTTTCTTTTTCTTTCTGGCTTATTTCGCTGAGCATGATCCCTTCCAGCGCCATCCATGTTGCTGCAAATTGCATGTGTTTATCTTTTTGAATGCTGAGTAATATTCCATGGTATATATGTACCACATCTTCTTGATCCAGTCATCTATTTTTGGGCATTTGGGCTGTTTCCAAAGCTTAGCTATTGTAAATAGTGCTGCTATAAACATAGGGGTGCAGGTGTTCTTTGGAATTGATGTTTCTGTGTCCTTTGGGTAAATACCTAGGAGTGGAATTGCTGGATCATATGGAAGCTCTATGTTTAGTAGGTTAAGAAATCTCCACACAGCTCTCCATAGTGGTTGGACCAGTTTGCACTCCCACCTACAGTGCAGGAGAGTTCCTTTTTCTCCACACCCTCGCCAACATTTGTTGTTGCTAGTTTTTTTTAATATGTGCCATTCTCACTGGTGTAAGATGGTATCTCATGGTAGTTTTGATTTGCATTTCCCTGATGACAAGTGATGTTGAACATTTTTTCATATGCCTGTTGGCCATTTGCATTTCCTCTTCAGAGAAGTTTCTTTTTAGTAAGAGAACATTTTAAACATTATACTATGTTTCAATGCCATTAACAGAAATTGAGACAAAGTGTTCCTTACTGTAAGGTTGCTTTCAGCATTTTTACATCAAATACCATCTCACATGGAGAAGGAAATACCAATCAATGAAAAAACTCTTAATTTAGGAACTACCAACCCATGCATAATCACCAACTATAGATTTCAAATATTAGCATTAAATATTCAACCTGGAAGCAAATAAAGTAATTAACCACTGTAAATAAAAGTTAATAGAAACAGAAAGAGTAGAAGTAAAATGTAGCAAATTTACAGTGGTTATAAATAGAAGTCAGAATTAGTCCAGAATTGTGTAGCCAAAGTAATAAGCTTTTTTTCAAAGTGTAACATTTTTCTTTGAAGAAACAACTCTTAATCCATCACTTATGAGTGATCAGATGACCAAGTCACTGTGAATTGATTTTTCCCTCTTCTCTAAAGTAGGACAAAGGGTCTTACAGTAGGGAAGATGAAGCTTTTGGGGGAATGTACTTTTGCTTAACAAATGAATATATGGGGCCTCCCCTGGTGGCACAGGCAGTTGAGTGCTGCGCTGTGAAGCTGTCCACAGCCTCTGCAGCACTTGTTCCATCCCAGCCGACTGGTAAGGGTCCCACATGGCACGGCAGATCTCTCCTGTCTTGCCTGCTGCTCCCCTCAGCAGTGTATTTCATCAGTCTGCCTGTTCTGTTCCCCACTCTGTCACTGGTGAATCCTCTCACCCTCCCACGCATCTGACCTGTACCCCGGTTCTTGTATAAATAAATAAATAAATCTTTTAAAAAATGACTATGATTACTCTGAGAGATCAGACATGCCGAGTAATAAGTAAAATGTGGGGGTCTTCCTGGTGGCAGAGGTGTTTGAGCTCAGCACTGCGAAGCTGTCGGGAGCCTCTGGGAAGTGGGTGCAATCCCGGAAGGCCAGGGAGATTCCCACATGGCGCAGGAGACCTCTCCTGTCTAGCCCGCTGCTCCCCTCAGCAGTGTACTTCAGTCAATCTGCCTGCTCTGTTCCCCACTGGGTCTCTGGTGAATCTCTTCACCCTCACACACATCTGACCTGTATCCTAGCTCTTATACGCATAAATAAATAAATCTTTAAAAAAAAAAAAGTAGGGCCTCCCCTGGTGGCTCAGTGGTTGAGCCGTGGGCTTCGAAGCTACCCACAGCCTCCGCAGCACCGGTTTGATCCCCAGCAGCTGGGCGAGGGTCCCACATGTTGTGACAGGCCTCTCCTGCCATGCCTGCTGCTCCCCTCAACAGTGTACTTCGTCAGTCTGCCTGTTCTGTTCCCTGCTCTGGCTTTGGTGAATCCTCTCACCCTCCCGGACTTCTGACTGTATCAAGTGCTTATATAAATAAACAAATAAATAAACAAACAAACAAACAAACAAATAAATAAATAAGGTAAAATGTGGAGATACTAATTAGATATTAGAATGAAGGCTTACCAATACACTTTTGTTCTTAATCTTCAACAGACTGGCATTTAGATTCCGACATTCCTGTTCACTTGTTTGCCAATCTTCACGCTCCTGACTGAGTAAATAACAGCTGTCCTCATGCCACAACCAGTCCTTTTGACAAGGTTTACATTTGTGTCCTGGGGGGAAGAAGCAGTTTTATTTGGATTGCACTGATAATCTTCCTTATTCTTATTTCCCCCATTATCCTCTATATTAAGTTAACCAAATTTACTTGTGTTTCTTTTTTTAAAACCAGTGGTGAAGAAAGTGAATCCTGTGTTCTAGGTTCCTACTACCAGTGTAGTGTGTTGAAAACATCACAAGAACAACACATGTCAGAGGAAAGAGCGCTATATTTTCCTTCCTCAGGAGCCCTGAATAATGATCGCCTAATCTCCTTCTCTCACTTTCATGTTTTGTTTTCCTACTTGGCAGTGAAAGTTAATCCCAAGAAAATTTGTCTCTTGAGAATCAACCCCACACACCTCCACCCATTCTGGCTTCTCTAACTAATACATTTCTAGCTCTCGGATTTGTTGAATACTGGGGAGACTTCTCAAGATCACAAAGATTGTGTATTCATTATAAAAGGAATAGAAGCTGCTAAACATATTTAAACACCATTCACTTACATTCATGGGGTAAAGTCTAGTTTTATTTCTTTTACAATAATACTCATCAAACATTGACTAAAATTTAGGAACGAAGTCGCCATAAAGATATATGTTTTTCTCCTTATCTTCTACTCATCTCAGTGCCCAAAATAAAAATAATACAGGGCCTCCCTGGTGGTGCAAGGAGTTAAGCACTGCACTATGAAGCAGTCTGCAGCCTCTGCAGCATGAGTTCCATCCCCAGCCAGCCAGGGAGCTACCCACATGGTGTAGCAGACCTTTCCTGTCTCGCCCGCTGCTCCCCTCAGCAGTTATTTCAGTGTCTGCCTGTTCTGTTCCCCACTCTGTCTTTGGTGAACCCTCTCACCCTCCCATGCATCCGGCCTGTACCCCAGCTCTTGTATGCATAAATAAATAAATCTTTACAAAAAAAGTAAAACATATCAGATTAAAGAAACTGTGTTAGCTAATGTTTTATTAAGTAGCTATTACCCACATTTTGGGATAATTTGGGGTCTATGGCTATAATTACCTTTTCTGGTTCTTTTTTCTAGTTCCATGAAAATATCAATGCATCCTCTGTCAGCCACATTTAATTCCTTCCCCCAAATAATGGCTTCTAAGGAAAAACTTCTAGATAGCAGTGAAATGATGCTCTAGAAACTCTTAAATTTAGTCCACTATACTCAGAGAAGAATAGAAGATTACCTGAATCTTTTTCATATAGTTTATGGCATAATTTGGTGGCCATTTTTTGCAGCATGATAGAGAGTTTCCTGTTCTTCACAGAACTATTCATGTTTTCAGTCAGTTGCAGAGAAAGATTTCGTTGAAGTTCCTCTTTGAAGCTCTGTAGTTTGTTCAGTTTTCCCATTTGATTGTTGAAAGTTCCATAAACTCCATCCCAAACAAGATAGAAGATTAAAAACTTAATCCCCCAAACAACCACCACTCCTTTTTGCTGAAATCATATTAAAATATTAAAGGTATAGGGGGCAGTCACTTTCTTTATAGGAATCAGGGAGAGAGATTTAAGTGCCATCTTGTAAGTGCAGCATTCTATGTGTGTTCTATGGGTTCAGAGCCTTAATTCCAAGAGTTAAACTTCTTTGTAAAACTCATGTGCTTTTATGTATTTTCCCACCCAATCAAAATATAGGTAATACATACACATGCTTCCTAAGATTCCCAGTCCTGCCAGCAGCAGAAGGCAGAGCACAGCCAGAGCCACCACACGGCACTGCCTGGAGCGGGGAGTGGCGGCTGGTGCTGTGGGAAGCAAGGTGAGCACAGAGAGTAGAGTGGTGTGCATCTTAAGTTGAAACACTCATTCATTTTGCTTTAACTTCATACGTAACATGTCCCCAAAGTGAAAGAATGTTTTTGCTGGAAACTCAAGGACATTTTCAAAAATTTTTTTTTTATTCTTTTTAAAAATTTTCTTTTATTTATATATTTTTTTACATCATTGCTCATTTTTAAACAAAGTTTGAAAGCAAAAAAAAAGGAGGGGAAGGAAATAAAAATCTTTTTTGAAGAATAAATCAAAAAGAAATAAAAAATATTTCGTTAGTTGTTCAGCATCTGAAATGGGTCTCACAAGGAGGCTGTTAACTGGTGGGCTGCTTAAAGGAACAAAGAGGCAGAAATGGAATTTTAAAGAAGATGTGAGAAAACCAATCCATATAGATTCTGTTCTGTCCAAATTTGTGGAAACTTAGCAGCTGTCAGCTAATAGGGAGTTCAATCCTTGATTGGACAATGAGAAACTCTTGAAAAGTAATATCAGTGATATATGTTTCCCCCAGGACATCCTGAGAGTCCTGGGGCTGTCTCTATTTTTTTTTAAGATTTTGTTTTTTTATATAACTGTGGTGTACAGGCCAGATATGCGGGAGGGTGAGAGCATTCACCAGAGACAGAGAAGGAAACAGAACAGGCAGACTGAGTGAAATACACTGTGAGGGGAGTAGCATGAGACACAGGAGAGGTCTGCCGCACCAAGTGGGTATCTCCCCATCTGGCTGGGATCCAACCTGCACTGAAGAGGCTGCGGACTGTGTCACAGTATGCTCAGGTGCCTGTGCCTCTATTTGTAATGTCTTGGTGTCCTCCTATAAACTAGATCCTAGGACAGATCTACATCACTTCCTTAATGAAAATTTTTCATGTTCTTTTACCAACATTTTTCCATGATCAGTAAACCCACAAGAGATCATTTTCTTACAAAGAAAAATAAATAAGGAATCATGCATTTAATTAATGTTATATATATATCATTAAAATTAATTATTAAATCGTTACATGTTAAATTATGACATGTAGATATGACTATTCAATCTTTCAAGAAAATATAAATACAGTATTACATGAGACTCTTACTAAACTTCTAAGCAATGCCTACGTCTCACAGTTGGTAATGCAATAAAGTACAGAGACCATTACTGATAAAATGTGAAACAACTTTTTTGACATTGGAAAGTAGTTAAGAGGGAAGAATGACATAGTCAGGACCTTATTTAAGATAACAAGCATGACTTCAAGTTTTGTCTTTCTTTTTTTATTATTTTTAAGATTTATTTATTTATTTATACAAGCGCTGGGTATAGTCAGAAGCACGGGAGGGTGAGAAAATTCACCAGAGCCAGAGCATGGAGCAGAGCAGGCAGAAGGACCAAGGTACACTGCTGAGAGGAGCAGCGGGGGGCAGGAGAGGTCTGCACGCCATGTGGGGCCCTCCTCCAGTGGCCGGAGAGCAGCCGGGGATCGAGCTGTCGCTGCAAAGGCCGCGGGCAGCTTCGCAACCCAGCGCTCAAACTCTGCGCCACCGGGGAGGCCCAAGTGTTGTCTTTCTTAATAATTTTTCTCATTTATATGTGTAGGAACTATTCAAATGTTACCAGAGTAACTTCCTTACGGAGTACCTTCTGGGTACTAACAACACAGTTAGCAGGAAACACAATTCCAGTTCTTATAGAATATAAATTTTAACTATGAGAAAAAAGATTCGATAGATTAGTAGGGAGGTGGAAGAATGAGTTAATGGATGGATGAATAAGTAGATGATAGTAGATAAATAGATGATAGATAGATAGATAGATAGATAGATAGATAGATAGATAGATAGATAGATAGATAGATAGACAGATCGATCTCAAATTGTGCTATGGTATGCAAAGATTATAATGGAGTTATATTCTAGAGCATAAGCAGTTCAGACCTTACCATGGAATCAGCATGCAAAATCAGTGTTGAGAATGTCACAGGCAGGAAGATCTAGCTCTCAGACCCTAATTAGGGTTCTATTTGAAAAACAGAAAACATTCAGAGTGGCAATGAAATTCTGAACAAGGTGAGAAAAGATATTGGTGGAGATCAAAGAAAAGTAAAGAAAATAGTATTTCTGGCCTTTGTAAGCCAGAGTTAGGGGACTGGAGATTGTTTATTATAGGAAGGGATTTTCAAGCAGGAGGGAGAAATAATATAATATTTTTAGAAAGATTATTGTTACAGAAAAAAGAGGATGAACTGCAGAGCTGCAGTACTGGAAGAGGGAAAATAGAGAGGAACTTCTTGCAGCAGACCAGTGAGAGAGAACAGTAGCTAGATTTACTAATATCAGAGAATGGGATGACTCACGGGATATATTGTGAATACTTTTTGAAGTTAGAATCTGTAGCACACATTTATGAAATCTATGAGAGATTTTTTTTTTAAAGATTTTATTTATTTATTTATATAAGAACCGGGGTACAGGCCAGATGCACGGGAGGGTGAAAGGATTCATCAGAGACAGAGTGGGGAACAGAACAGGCAGACTAATGAAATACACTGCTGAGGGGAGCAGTGGGTGAGACAGGAGAGGTCTGCTGCACCATATTGGACCCTTGCCGGCTGGCCAGGATCAAACTTGGTGCTGCAGAGGCTGTGGACAGCTTCACAGCAAAACGCTCCACCGCCTGTGCCATCTGGAGAGGCCCTATGAGAGATTTTTGACTTGATAAAGTTGTTAAGTAATAATAAGATCAGCATATTTATAGGGAGCTTAGCAATGACAAAAAACAAGCACAGAATATTCTATAATAAAATATCCGCCTTGAATTCTGGTTCTGCTTCTTATCCCTTGGGGAAACTTGAACAAAATCTTTTACTTCTCTGTGTCTTAGTTTCCGCATTGGTTAAAAAAAGAAACAGAAACCCACAAAGTTGAGAAACTCAATGGCTTAAGATTTGGAATACGATTGGAACAGTGCTGGCACATAGCACATACTTGGAGATTGTATTTAAGTATGTATTTGTATTTGCATTTAATGATAATGAGGAGGAAGGAACAAGAGGAAAAAATATTTCTATTTTTACCATTTTAATTTAAGAGGATATTAGACATCTATATGGAAATGTGAAATAGGCATTTGATTTTCTAGTCTGGAAAATCAAGGACAGATCATCAGTGGAGAGTTGGAAGTCACTGTATTTGAATCCAAAGGAATGAATGAGGTAACTTAGCAAAATATCTTTAGTGTCACAAAACAGAGGACCCACAAGAGAGTCCCGGAATATTCCATAAAACAGAGTTTGATCCAGGGCCTCCCTGGTGGCGCAAGGGCTTCAGCACCTACATGGCACAACAGACCTCTCCTGTCTTGCCCGATGCTCCTCTCAGCAGTGTATATCAGTCAGTGCCTGTTCTGTTCCCCACTCTGTCCCTGGTGAGTTCTCTCACCCCTGCACCTCTGGCCCTACCCAGGTTCTTATATGCGTAAATAAATAAATCTTTAAAAAAATAAACAACAGAGTTTGATCCAGGTGGAAATTCAAAAAAGAAGGCTGAGCAGGAGCTGCTATGGTCATAGTGGAGACCAGGGTCACACCATATGTGTCAGCAGCCTGTGTAAAGAAAGTGTGAAGGAAGAGGGATGATGCAACTGTGTGAATGGAGCGCAGGGAAGTCAAATAATAAAAGAGCAGAGATGTGATTCTTGGGGTAAAACAGAGAGGCCATCAGTGGCCTAGATCCATCGTGGTGTCCATGGAACAATGAGGGCAGAAGCCTAATATGGTCCGTTGAGAAGAGAAGGAGCTCTGAAGACCTCGAGTTCATGACCAAAGGTAATGCTGTCCCAAAGTTGGGTTATGAAAGTAAACAGAGAAATGGAGATAAATAGATTTAGTTGGGCAAGTAGGGGGTGTATTTTGTTAAATAGAGTAGTAGAGTATATTGGTGAGAGGACAATGAAGCAGCAGAGAAAGGGGAATCTTATAGAAGAAATGTCTTTGAACAGGTACATGATTGAAATGCACAGCAAAATGAAATTTGTCCTTTGATAAGAGTGAGTATTTCATAATTACCATCTAGAAATAAAACAGGGGATATGAGTAAGAATATGGCAGGAGGGCAGTGTTAGTCGCAGAGAGGGAAGGTGTAGCATGAACTAGGAAGTAAGTCCTCAGGCTTTCCTGGGGTCTTTGAGCTAGGTGTTCTTACTTTCTGTGATGTCCTTTCCACTGAATTTGTGTGGTGATTCCCACTGACCATAAGAGCTGGTCTTCCAGCTTTCTAGACTATAACTCAGTTTTAAATCTTCACATACGGGAGTGCAATTAGAGATTCTCTCTCTCTCTTTCTCTCTCTCTCCAATCATTTATTTTCTCACATCTTAAAATTTATCTTCTATAAAAAGAGGTACTTGCTCCTGTATTTTCAGTACCCGGAATAGTGTTCGACTATAAAAAGTTACTCAAATTAATAAGAAGGTACTCAGACTAATAATTGAATATAAAAATAAATGAGAAAATAATTATTAAGAAAGACGACAGGACCTCACTGGCAGTGCAGGGGGTTAAGCACAGCACTATGAAGCTATCTGCAGCTTCTGCAGGATGAGTTCGATCCCCGGTAGGCCAGGGAGTTGCCCACATGGTGCAGCAGAATTCTCTTGACTCTCCAGCTGTTCCCCTCAGCAGTGTATTTCAGTCAGTCTGCCTGTTCTGTTCCCCACTCTGTCACCGGTGAAACCTCTCATCCCTTGCACCTCTGGGCTATATCCCAGTTCTTGTATGCGTAAATAAATACATCTTTTTTTTTAAAAAAAAAAAAAAGAGAGAGAGACAACAGTTGAAGTCATACGTTTAACCTTAGGTAAGATCCTGACTATGTAATTCTTTTCCTCTTTACTGTTTCCCGAATCTAAAAGAGTTAGTTGGCATTTTACTGGCAATGTTCTCTGTATGTCGCAACATTATTGCATCAACAACAGTGAAATGAGACTAGCTCAGACAGAAGTTTAGGAAACTGGGCTTGAGAATTTGTGTAATTTTCACCAACAATGTCCGGCCATTTGGATAGAGTTCAGAGCAGGTAAATACTTGAATTTAACAAGAATGGAGTTTTTCTAGGGAAAATGACAGCACATTAAACTAGGAGGCAAGAGAGTAAGGGACATTTTTACATAATATAATGTTTATATTATATACTATGGACTTTAAGATGCATAGTGATATAATCAGATGGAACTGAGAAAATAATGAGACATAGATTCCACACTCCAATAGAATGAGAAAATTTCTGAAGTGGAGATTTAGAATAAGATGAATTAGTGGGACAGGAGAGAAAAAAGAATGTGATGGGATACAAAAAGGGTAATTGTTGGCATATAAGGTTATGGTATGCACATTCTCTTACACCACACAAAAAGGAAAAATACGAAGAAAGAAAATAAAATCGAAAATATTGTAAATCCTTAAGGGTCCCCTTAAAAAATATGTATTAAAGGGAAAGACAACAAAATTGAGCTGTTCTATCATGTTGATGATAAATGAATCTGAAATCTAACAATGAAATTTCTGTTCACAGGGAAATTGGAATTTTAACGAATGCTACATTTTGTTGGGAGACACAAATAATGTATGAGGATTCTTCTGTTACTCTCTCTCCTAAGTGCACTAACTCTACCAACTTTCTGTGTTCTCCCGACCTACCTTTTGAGCATTTTTTAATTTAAACACCCTGGTGAATGTGCTGGAGCAGACTGCATGCAAAAGTCCAGGAGCCAGGAAGTCACAATAACATGGGGTTGTGAGCAGGATGAAGACTAGAGTACACTTCATTGAAGGATAACCTGAAAGTCTACACAGCTGGCCCATTTATATCATAATTCAAATTTGTATTGAAAACTACAAAGTTTTCACTTGCATCATGGTTTTCAGTGATGTATCTCCCAGTATTTCTTTCTCTCTTCTCTTTCTTTAGTTCTGATGTCTTTTCTTTCAGCTTAACCTTTTCTATATTTTAGCAAGTTCAGAAAAGATCACTAAAAGAAGTGGAAGAAAGTGAAAATTTCGGATAATATATACTAGAATTAATATAAAGTCAAATGAAAGTATTTAAAGTTCTATCTCTTTTTCTTTTTGTCACTTTCTCCCTCTCTTTTACACACACATACATGCTAGCATTTTCTTATATATAAAAAAAATACAAAGACATGATTTTCTAAATAGCATATATTCCTTGAACTGTGGCATCATTTCATGGAGAAAAAAATTTCACAATGCAGTTATATGAAATATAATTCTAATTGCCTTGAGTGAAATATTAAAAATAGAAAATTTATGAAAAATTCAGTGTTCAAGGTATTGATTAGGACCTTTAAAAAAATCCTTTATAAATGTTAGTATGGACACATTTAATAGTTTTAGTACACATGGGAGGCTTAATTAAAATCTGAAACTAAAATTGAACAATCATTGTCTTCACTCATACTTAGGGAGCAAGCTTCTACCTTTACTCTTCTACACATTAGTTTTATCACATTCCAACACATCTACAGCTCAAAATCTTACCTTTTATGCCAGATTTGCCATATTCTGTTTTACTGGAGTCCTGGAATTTTAGATCTGCATACATAACTTCTTCAGACATTGTTGGCAATGCAAAGAAAGCTTGGGAAAGTATAAAAAAAACTCAAAAAAACAAACAAAAACACTTAGAGTTGAATGTTAAATAGCATCTGTGATTTTAAGCTTGTGGTTCTAAAGCAAAATATAAATTTAATATTTCTGAACTCAAAGACAAACTGCATATAAGCTGTAGGCTGTTGTATTATATAAGAACAAACTGCTGTTGAAGAGCTAACTTATTCAGATGTTCAACTTCCTCTTATCTGTTCTTTTCTCCATTTCTGTATACTTACCAACTACAGAAAGTAGCTTTTAAAATGATGTTGGGATGTTATTCATTTTTTTCAAGGGGTTCACAAGTTCTCAGACACTGACTAGTCTACAGGAATGACCTGGAACTGCAATCCTGTGTGTGTCTAGCCAAGTGCTGTCAGATGAGTTTGCCTTAGTAGAGCAACTGCTCATGTACAGAAAGCAGCGCAGACAGAGGAAGAGTGGAAGCCGCACCCTGTCCCCTTGTTACACAGGTGCCGGTAAGTCTAAGAGGAACTAAGGAACACTTAGCTTCTCTATAACAAAGAAGTATACTAAGGAATCTGGGACCGAGGTAAAATGCATACTAATGGAAAAGGCCCTAGAAACAACAACAGGCCAGAAGAGGTGAGATCAGTTCTTGTTTCTCTGAAAACTGGCTCAATTCATTGACCAAGCTCTCAACTAATCTACCAAAAAGGAGAAAAAAAGGAGTCTAGAGGGCCTCTTAAGTTAGTTTCTTTTAAATTTGACCCCACAATTTTAGAAGCAGGGGTCCATCCAATTCTAGGTCAAGTATGCAAAGCATACTTGGGAATTGGGCAATAATTGTCTTCAAGTTATTTCATAAATTTTTTGAAGTAACACTGCATTATGGCATTGTATAAATTGCAGGTGTGCATCATTGCAAATCAACATGTATCTGTCCTACACAGAGTTCACCACCAATAGTTCGAGTCTATCCTTCACCATACTGTTGTCTATTTGTCCTCATTTATCCACATTCCCGCTTTTCCTTCTGATAGCCACTAATTACAGTCCAGAAATTTGTTTTTGTTTTATTTAGTCCATCTGTTGATTTTCTGTATATACCACATATTAGTGAAATCAAATGATGTTTGTTTTTATCTGGTTTATTTCATAAGTATAATACCCTCTAGGTTCATCCATACGGTTGCAAAGGGCAGGACTTCAACTTTTTATAGTTAAACAGTATTCAGTTTTTGCATATATATGTCACATTTTCTGTACCCATTCATCAGATGATATCTACTTAAATTGTTTCCAATTGTTTGTTATTGTAGATAATGCTACAATAAACATGGGGGGTTGATATAGTGTTTGCATTATTGTTTACCTTTGGGGGTGAATACCCACAAGTATGATGAATCGTAGAATTTCTATTTTTGATTTCTTAATTTCTATTTTTTGATTTCTGTTTTTGATTTGCAGTATGATTTCTCCATACTGCTTTCCAAAACATCTACTCCAACTCACTCATCCTACCAACAGTATATAAGGGTTCTCTTCTCACCACATCGTCTCCAAGATTTGCTTCATCTTTTGGATAATGACCATTCTCACAGCAATGAGATCTCATTGTTATTTTCATTTGTATTTCCTGAATAATAAGGGATTATGAACATCTTACCATTGCCTATTGGCCATCTGTATGTCTTCTTTGGAGATATGTCTATGCAGATAGGACGCCTGTTTTAAAATTGGATTGTTTCCTTGATTGCCATTTTACTTGCCTTGCTCATAATCAGTAGTCTGGTGGCCGGGTCCAGGAAGGGAGTGTTTTTTGGGGTGAGATAATGGGGCCATTTTGCATGTAATTTTCTTATGCAGAAGTTTTCCACATTTTTATGAGATGTTTTACTCTTTTCCATTTTGGTGTTGGTATAAAGGGGATTGTTTACTGTTGACATTTAGTAATAGAACTGATATTGCTGCATTAATATTTTATCCAGTGACAAGGAGTTATATAGTCTGTTTATAAATTATATTTTTATGTACACAATTGTATGAGCTGTAAGTAAAATGTCTTCTTTCTCTTTGCTGCATTTTAAAATTTCTTTTTGTTGCCTCTTTCCACAGTTAGAATCTCAAATAGACTGTGGAAGGTCTTAAATAAAATGATAAAGATCCTTCTTTTTTTAAAGGGCTCTTGATTAAAGTGCAAGTGTAGGGCAACTCTATTGCTCCGTGTGTGGAAATGACATCAAGAGATTCCAGAAGCATAATTTTTTAGCATTTGACCTGCAGATGAGGGATGGTTCTCAACCCCCAAACCTCCCCAAAAACCATTTATATCTTGTTCCAGAGCTCAAAAGAAAAACATTCACTTTTTTCCAGAAGTATAATACAGGTTTAGGTGGGGTTTTTTTGCTAGTGGTTTTTTCCTTTTCTTTTTAATAACAACATTCTCTCTCTAATGCTATTATCAAAGAAGGAAAACATTTGTTTCTATTTTCTGAGAGACTTTATTATATAGTGTTGAATTTTATCAAATGATTTTTCTGTACCTATACAGAATAATGTATTTTCTTTTTCTCTCCCATGGTGTAAATATATCTGCATTCATAGAATAAACCCAATTGGTAAAGATGCAGCACCCTTCCTATTAATGTATATCCTGTATTTAATTTCCTTTGACTTTTCCATAATGTTGGTATTCACCTTGTTTATTTTGGGAAAATCAAGACAAAATAGCTCGTTTCGTGTATTTTTCTTTTTTATAATATTTATTTATTTATACATACAATAACTGGGGTACAAGACAGAGTTATGGGGGCTTGAGAGGATTCACAAGAGACAGAGTGGGGAACAGGACAGGCAGATCGACTGAAATACACTGCTGAGGGGAGCAGTGGGCAAGTCAGGAGAGGTCTGCTGGGCCATGTGGGTAGGCTCCCTGACTTTTCTGTATTTTTCTCTCTTTTTTTTAAATAAATATTTATTTATTCATGCATACAAGAACCAGGGTACAGGCCAGATGTGCAGAGGGTGAGAGGATTCACCAGAGACAGAGCAGGGAACAGAACAGGCAGACTGACTGAAATACACTGATGAGGAGAGCAACAGGCGAGACAGGAGAGGTCTGTCGCACCATATGGGATTCTCGCTGGTTGCCTGGGATTGAACATGCACTGCTGAGGCAGCAGACAGCTTCACAGCACTGGACTCAACCGCCTGTGCCACCAGGAGTGGCCCCTTTTCTGTACTTTTCAGCCAAAATTTTGTATTTATACTCAGCAATATGTCTGTGTCTAGCTGTTAAATTATTTTCTCAGTATTTTCTTTTGCTCATAAGATGAGGAAACAGAAGAAAGTTGGAAAAGCATGAAGTATTAGGAGAGAGGCAGAAAGTTACTCAATCAGCATCTTTATTCCACTTGTCTGGGTCTCCCCCCCCCCCCATTAAGATCCCTCTCCCTGACTCCTGCAGAATGTCTCTGATTTATAGTTGCCTGTTGATTTTGTTTTTACATTTATTTTATTTTTTTTACTGACCCCCTATGTGGGTTCCCTACATTCCTCTTATAAGTGAAACCATCCAGTATATTTATTTTCTTTCTGGCTTATTTCATGGAGCATAATCACTTCTAGCTCCATCCAAGTTGTTGCTAGTAGCATGGGTTTATCTTTTTTGATTGCTGAGTAATATTCCATTGTGTATATTACCTCTTCTTGATCCGGTCATCTAATTTTTGGCATTAGGGTCATTTCCGTATCTTATCTGCTGTAAATAATGCTGCAATAAACATAGGGGTGTAGGTTCCTTTTAAATTCATTCCTTTTGAATGAATGTTTTTGTGTCCTTTGGGTAGATCCCTAGGAGTGGAATTGCTGGATCATGTGGAAGCTCCATTTTTAGTAATTTGAGGAACCTCCACACAGCTTTCCATAGTGGTTGGACCAGGTTGTATTCCCAACAGCATTGTAGTAGAGTTCATTTTGCGTCACATCCTCGCCAACATTTGTTATTGCCTGTTGTTTTAATATGCCATTCTCACTGGTGTAAGGTGGTATCTCATTGTGGTTTTCATTTGCATTTGCCTGATTGCAACTGATATTGAACATTTTTTGATATACCTGTTGGCCATTTGCAGTTCTCCTTTGGAGAAGTGTCTTTTTAATTTTCTGCCCAATTTCTTTTTTACTGTATTGTTTACTTTGTTTTTGTTGAGTAGTGTCAGCTCTTCTTAGATCTTTGTGATCAGTCCCTTAGCAATTGTACTGTGTGCAAACATTCTCTCCCAATCAATAGGATGCCTCTTTGCTTTGGGTAGTGTCTCTTTTGCTCTACAGAAGCTTTTTAGTTTGGTGTAATCCCAGCTGTTCATTTTGTCCTTCACTTTTTTTGCCTTGGGGGTGTGTCTTTAAAGATGTTACGGAGATGTGTGTCATGTAATGTTTTGCCTGTATTTTCTTCTGTATATTTTATGGAGTCAGGTCTTATGTTCAATTCTTTTATCCATTTTGAGTTGATATTTCTGCATGGTATGAGGTAGTAGTCTTAAGGATGTAATTTTTTTTTTAATCTTAAATTTTATTTTTATATTCCCCCATACAATTGCAAACGCCCCATTCTGACCCCAATCCTTCCCCTCCCTCCCCCCCCCCCCCAAAAAGTGTCTCTGGTTCATAGTTTTTTGTTGATTTTGATTTTCACTTTCTTATATTCATTTTCCTGGTCCCTTATTTAAGTTTTCTAGATTCCTGCTATGAGTGAGACCATCCGGTATTTTTCTTTTTCTTTTTGGCTTATTTCGCTGAGCATGATCCCTTCCAGCGCCATCCATGTTGCTGCAAATTGCATGTGTTTATCTTTTTTGAATGCTGAGTAATATTCCATGGTATATATGTACCACATCTTCTTGATCCAGTCATCTACTTTTGGGCATTTGGGTTGTTTCCAAAGCTTAGCTATTGTAAACAGTGCTGCTATAAACATAGGGGTGCAGGTGCTCTTTGGAATTGATGTTTCTGTGTCCTTTGGGTAAATACCTAGGAGTGGAATTGCTGGATCATCTGGAAGCTCTATGTTTAGTAGGTCCAGAAATCTCCACACAGCTCTCCATAGTGGTTGGACCAGTTTGCACTCCCACCAACAGTGCAGAAGAGTTCCTTTTTCTCCACATTAAGGATGTAATTTTAATAGAGGCTAGCTTTAACTGTGATCCGCTATGTACCCAAAAAAAGGATCTTCACTCAAACCAGCTACAAAATTCAACAAGAATAAAGACATATTTTTATGTCTGTACAATTGCTTTCAAATAAGCATGTCATATAGGATTAACTAGTTGATCACTGTGTAAGGTTTTAATTTCTAAATGAAATAATATTACCTAAAACTAAAGAACTAGTACACTTGTTTAAAAAAATAAAAAATGACTTACCAATCTGAGGAGAAAATTATCTCTTTAAGCGTCTTAGAGTTTTCATAATTTTTTTTGGGAGATAATCCTAGCCAAAAGGTAGGAAAACCTGGGATTTTATAAAATCCTGTAAGTAATATAGATGGTTGCTGAAACAATTGTTTCTCATTTCTATACATTACATCACAGCATCATTTAGTACACATAATTATTTAAGATAACATTTTAAACATTATACTATTTTTCAATGCTATTAAAAGAAATTGAGACAAAGTGTTTCTTACTGCAAGCTTGCTTTCAGCATTTTTACATCAATTACCATCTCACATGGAGAAGGAACTACAAATCAGTGAAAAAACTCTTTATTTACCAATCCATGCATAATCACCAACTATATTTCAAATATTAGCATTAAATATTTAATCTGAAAGCAAATAAGGTAATTAATCACTATAAATACAAGTTAATTGAAACAGAAAGAGTAGAAGTAAAATGTAGCAAATTTAGAGTGGTTATAAATAGAAGTCAGAATTAGTCCAGATTTTGTAGTCAAAGTAATAAGCTTTTTTTTATAGTGTAACTTTTTTCTTTGAAGAAATAACTGAATAGATCACTTATGAGTGATCAGATGATCAAGTCACTGTGAATTGATTTTTCCTCTTTTATAAAGTAGGACAAAGGTTCTTACAGTAGTGAAGCTGGGGATTTTGGGGGAACGTACTTTTGCTTACAAAATGAATATATAATTACTCTCTTAGCAATCAGAAATGCCAAGTAATAAGTAAAATGTGGGGCCTCCCTTGTGGCACAGGAGGTTGAGTGCCGCGCTGTGAAGCTGTCTGCGGCCTCTGTGTGGGGGTTCAATCCCAGCTGGCCAGAGAGATGCCCACATGGCACAGCAGACCTCTCCTGCCTCGCCTGCTGCTCTCCTCAGCAGTGTATATTGTCAGTCTGCCTGTTCTGTTCCCCGCTCTGTCTCTGGTGAATCTTTTCACCCTCCCCCCACCCCCACCCCCCGCATATCTGACCTGTATCCTGGTTCTTGTATGCATAAATAAGTAAATCTTTTTTAAAAAGTAAAATGTGGACATTAGGTAAATGTATGAATTTAACCAGAATTGGAGTTTTTCAAGGGAAAGTAACAGCACATTAAGCAAAGTGGTGAAAGAGTAAGAGATATTTTTACATAATATCCTGTTTATTGTATGTACTATAGACTTTAAGCTGCATAATGAGAAAATCACATGGAACTGAGAAAATAATGAGACATAGATTCAAGATTCCCATACAATCAGAAAATTTCTGAAGTGGAGATTTAGAATAAGATGAATTAGTGGGACAGATAGATGAAAGAATGTGATGAGATACAAAAAAGGTAATTGTTGGCATAGAAAATTTATGGTATGCACATCCTCTTATACCACACAAAAAGGAGAAATACGAAGAAAGAAAATAAAATCGAAAATACTGTACAATCCTTAAGGGTCACCCTTAAAAATTATGTATTAAAGGGAAAGACAACAGAATGGAACTGTTCTAAAGAGTTACAATGTTGATGAGAAATGAATCTGAAATTTAACAGTGAAATTTCTGTTCACAGGAAAATTAGAATTTCAAAAAATGCCACATTTTGTTGGCAGACACAAATACTGTATGAGGATTCTTCTGTTACTGTCTCTGTCTCTCTTAAATGCACCAACTCTATCAGCTTTCTGTGTTCTCCAGACCTACCATTTAAGTAATTTTTAAGTAAGCACCCTGGGGAATGTGCTGGAGCAGACTCCATGCAAAAGTCCAGGAGCCAGGAAGTCTGAATAATATGGGGTTGTGAGCAGGATGAATCTTAGGGTACACTTTATTGAAGGATAAACTGAAAGTCTACACAGCTGGCCCATTTATATCATAGTTCAAATTTGTATTGAAAACTACAAAGTTTCACTTCCGTCATGGTTTTCCGTGTTCTATCTCCCAGTATTTCTTTCTTGCTTCTCTTCCTTTAGTTGTGATGTGTCCTTTCATTTAGCTTAACCTTTTCTATATTTTAGTTAGTTGAGAAAAGATGACCAAAAGAAGTGAAAGAAATTGAAAATTTAGGATAACATATACTTCAATTAATATAAAGTCAAATGAAAATCTAAAGTTTTATCTTTCTCTTTTTGTCACTTTCTCCCTCTCTTTTACACACATACATGCTAGCATTTTCTTATATTAAAAAAAAAACTTACAAAGACATGATTTTCTAAATAGCATATACTCCTTGTCCTGTGGTGTCATTTTTTGGAGGAAAAAAAATCACCTTTCAGTTATATGAAATACAATCCTAGCTGTCTTGAGTGAAATATTAAAATAAAAAATATATTAAAAAATTAAGTGTTCATGCTATTGATTAGGGCCTTTAAAAAACTCTTTACAAACATTTTTATGGATGCATTTAATAGCTTTAGTACGAATGGGAGGCTTAATTAAAAACTAAAATAGAACAATCATTGTTACTTCACTCGTACTTAGGGGACCGCTTCTACCTTTACTCTTTACACATTAGTTTTACCACATTCCAACATATCTACTGCTCAAAATCTTACCTTAATCCCAGATTTGTCATATTCTGTTTTATTGGAGTCCTGGAATTTTAGATCTGCACACATAACTTCTTCAGACATTGTAGACAATGCAAAGAAAGCTTGGCAAACTATTAAAAAAAAAAAACCTCAAGAAACAAACAAACAAAAACACTTAGAGTTGAATGTTAAATAGGATCTGTGATTTTAAGCTTGTGGTTCTAAAACAAAATATAAATTTAATGTTTTTGAACCCAAAGACAAACTGCAAGTAAACTATAGGCTGTTGTGTTATATGAGAACAAACAGCTGTTGAAGAGCTAATTGATTCATGCATTCAACTGCCTCTTATCCGTTCCTTTTCTCCATTTCTGTATACTTACCAACTACAGAAAGTAGCTTTTAAAATGATGTTTGGATGTTATTCATCTTTTTCGAGGGGAATCACAATTTCTGAGACACTGACAAGTCTACAGCAATGACCTGGAACTGCAATCCTGTGTGTGTCTAGCCAAGTGCTGTCAGATGAGTTTGCTTTAGTAGAGCAACTGCTCATGTACAGAAAGCAGCGCAGACAGAGGAAGAGTGGAAGCTGCACCCTGTCCCCTTGTTACATAGCTGCCAGTTAGTCTAAGAGGAACTAAGGAACACTTAGTTTCTCTATAACAAAGAAATATACTAAGGAATCTGGAACCGAGTTAAAATGCATGCTAATGGAAAAGGCCCTAGAAACAACAAAGGCCAGTAGAGGTGAGATCAGTTCTTGTTTCTCTGCAAACTGGCTCAATTCATTGACCAAGCTCTCAACTATCTACCAAAAAGGGGAAGAAAAGGAGTCTTTTCTCCTTTTCTAGGGCCTCTTACATTAGTTTCTTTTAAGTTTGACCCCACAATTTTGGAAGCAGGGGTCCATCCATTTCTTTGCCAAGTATGCTTTGCATGGGCAATGATTGTCTTCAAGTTATTTCATAATTTTTTGAAGTAACACTGCATTATGGCATTGTATAAATTGCAGGTGTGCATCATTGCAAATCAACATGTACCTGTCCTACACTAGGTTCTCCACTAATAGTTCGATTTTATCCTTCACCATACCGTTGTCTCTTTGTCCTCATTTATCCACCCCTTTGCCCATTCCCTTCTGATAACCACTGATTACCATCCAGAGTTTGTTTTTTGTTTTATTTGGTCCATCTGTTGATTTTCTCTATATACCACATATTCATGAAATCAAATGATATTTGTCTTTATCCAGTTTATTTCATAAGTATAATACCCTCAGGGTTCATCCATACTGTTGCAAAGGGCAAGACTTCAACTTTTTATAGTTAAAGAGTATTCAATTTTTGCAATATATGTCACATTTTCTGTACCCATTCATCAGATGATATCTACTTAAATTGTTTCCAATTCTTGGCTATTGTAAATAATGCTGCAATAAACATGGGGGACGTGGATATATTATTTGCATTATTGTGTTTACCTTTGGGGGTGAATACCCACAAGTATGATAACTGAATCATGTAGAATTTCTATTTTTATTTCTTGAATTTCTATTTTTGATTTCTATTTTTGATAAGCAGTATGATTTCTCCATACTGCTTTCCAAAACATCTACTCCAACTCACCATCCTACAACAGTATATAAGGGTTCTCTTCTCACCACATCGTCCCCAAGATTTGTTTCATCTTTTGGATAATAACCATTCTCACAGCAATGAGATCCCATTGTTATTTTCATTTGTATTTCCCGAATAATAAGGGATTATGAACATCTTACCATTGCCTATTGGCCATCTGTATGTCTTCTTTGGAGATATGTCTATTCAGATATGTTGCCCGTTTTAAAATTGGATTGTTTCCTTGATTGCCATTTTACTTCCCTTGCTCATAATCAGCAGTCTGGTGGCCAGTCCAGGAAGGGAGTGTTTCTTGGGGTGAGACAATGGGGCCATTTTGCATGTAATTTTCATATGCAGAAATTTTCCACAATTTTATGAGATGTGTTACTCTTTTCCACTTTGGTGTTAGTATAAAGGGTATTGTTTACTGTTGACATTTAGAAATAGAATTGATATTGCCTCATTAAGATGACCTCCAGTGACATGGAGTTATATAGTCTGTTTGTAAATTATATTTTTATGTACACAATTGTGTTAGCTACAAGTAAAATGTCTTCTTTCTCGTTTCTGCATTTTAGAATTTCTTTTTCTTGCCTCTTTCCACAGTTAGAATCTCAAATAGACTGTGGAAGGTCTTAAATCAAATGATAAAGATCCTTCTTTTAAAAATGGGCTCTTGATTTAAGTGCAAGTGTAGGGCAGCTCTATTGCTCTGTGTGCGGAAATGACATCAAGAGATTCCAGAAGCATAAATTTTTAGCATTTGAACTGCTGATGAGGGATGGTTCTCATCCCCCAGAGCTCCCAAAAACTGTTCATATCTTGTTCCAGAGCTCAAAAGAAAAACATTCACTCTTTTACCAGAAGTATAACGTTAGTTTAGGTGTTTTGTTGTTTTTTTTTTTGTTGCTAGTGGTTTTTTTCCTTCTCTTTTTAATGTGAACATTCTCTCTTTAATGCTTTTATCAGAGAAGGAAAACATTTGCTTCTATTTTCTGAGAGACTTTATTATGTAGTGTTGAATTTTATCAAATGATTTTTCTGTACCTATAAAGAAAATGTATTTTCTTTTTCTTTCCCAGGATGGAAATAAATCTGCATTAGTAGAATAAACCCCAATTGGTGATGATGCAGCACTCACCCTATTGATGTATATTCCTAGATCCTTTGACTGTTCTGTGATGTTGTTATCTACCTTGTTTCTTTTGGGAGAAGCAAGACAAAATAGCTGGTTTTCGGTATTTTTCATTTTTTGAAGATTTATTTATTTATGCATACAAGAGCTGTGGTACCAGCCACACTTATGGGGGAGTGAGAGGATTCACCAAAGACAGAGTGGGGAACAGAACAGGCAGAGCAACTGAAATACACTGCTGAGGGGAGCAGCGGTACAGTCAGGAGTGGTCTGCTGCGCCATGTGGGATTGTCGCAGGCTGGCCGGGATTGAACCTGCACTGCAGAGGCTGTGCACAGCTTCACAACACTGCGCTCAACCACCAGTGCCACCAGGGGAGGCCCTTTTTCTGTTTTTTTCAACCAAAATTCTGTATTTATGCTCAGCAATATGTCTGTGTCTAGCTGTTAAAATATTTTCTCAGTATTGCCTTCTACTCTTAAAAGGAGGACAAAGAAGAAAGTCAGAAAAGCGTGAAGTATTAGGGGAGAGGTAGAAAGTCAGTAAATCAGCATCTTTATTCCACTTGTCTGTTTCACAAGAGGTGCGCTGCATAAAGTTGCTTTTAGTTGCAGGATAATAACTGAGACAAAAAGTGCACTAACTATATAAAGCCTTCCGGTTCCTCATTTATTAGCATATTCTCAATCTTCACTCGATTAGGCAGTTTCTCACATATAAAATTTTTCCTTTCAGTGCAAAGTGTATAATAAATATACTCATTCAGTCTATATCGACAATACATCTTGCCACTGAAGACAATTGTGTTGTTTATTATCCTGAAAGAGGAAATAAAGAATTATTTGTTACAAAAAACAAACACAGAGACCAATGGAACTGAATAGAAAACCCCAAAATAAAGCCACACGTATATAGACAACTAATCTTGGGAAAAAGAGCAAAGAACATGCAATGTAACAAGGATAGTTTGTTCAATAAATGGTGCTGGAAAAACTGGACCACCACATGCAAAAGAATGAAACTAGACCTCTACCTCTCACCACACAAAAATCAACTCAAAATGGATAAAAGATCTGGACATAAGACCTGAAACCATAAAACATATAATGGAAATATAGGTAAAACACCACAAGACATACGTCTCAGTAACATCTTTAAAGACTCATCACCCAAAGCAAAGAAAGTCAAGGAAAAGTTAAACACATGGGATTACATCAAACTGAAAAGCTTCTGCACAGCAAAAGAGGCATTAACCAAAACAAAGAGACATCCCACTGATTGGGAAAAAATCTTTGCCCTCCATACAACTGATTAGGGACTGCTCACAAAGATATACAAAGAACTCACAGGATTCAACTAAAGCAAATTAAACAATGCAGTCAAGAAATGCTCAAAAGTACGTAAAAGACACTTCTCCAAAGAGGAAATACAAATGGCCAACAGGAATATGAAGAAATGTTCAACATCTCTTATCATCAGGAAAATGCAAATGAACCACAATGAGATACCACCTTACACCAGTAAGAACAGCACATATCAAAATAATAGAAGAAACAAATGTTGATGAGGATGTGGTGAAAAAGGAACTCTCCTACATTGCTGGTGGGAGTGCAGACTGGTCCAGCTACCACGGAAAGCTGTCTGGAAGTTCCTCAGTCTACTAAAAATGAGCTACCATATGACCTAGAAATTCCACTCCTAGGGATCTACCCAAAAGACACAAAAACACTGATTCAAAAAAATACCTGTACCCCTATGTTTATTGCAGCACTCTTTACAGTAGCTAAAACCTGGAAACAACCCAAAAACCCAAAAATAGATGACTGGATCAAGATGTGGTATATATACACAATGGAATACTATTCAGCAATCAAAAAAGATAAACTCATGCCATTCACAGCAACATGGATTTAGCTAGAAGAAATTATGCTCAGTGAAATAATTCAGAAGGAAAAGAATAATATTGGATGGTTTCACTTATAGAAGGGAAAGCAAATGCGACATAAGGGGAAGCAAATACAACATCAGGGAAAATAATAACAATACAAAACACAACAAAGCAAAACCAGACAATTATATATCAGAGACATCCTGCAGGGGAAGAGGCGAGAGAGGGATCAGAGGAAGGGAGGCATATTTATAACCACATTTCTTAATATATTATACAAAAGAATAAATTTAATGAATCAAATTTGCAATATACCAGGTCCAAATTCATTTTATTCTCTTTACCAGAAATGCTTTTCTAGTTCTCTAAATTTTGCATTCAAAATTGTCCATTTCAAATGTATATAATAACACAAATTTCAAAGCTAAAATTTGTTTTTCATTATTCTGTGCATTCTTTCTGAAGCATTTATCACAATCTATTTTATATGTAGAATTGCTCAATTAATCTGCACATAAAATTGTCAAGTAACAAATGAAGAATCAATTTTTCATTCATCTTTGACTCCCAGCACTTAGCACAATTTTAAGTCCATTTCAATCTCAGTGAACTTTGTTGATTTTTAAAATTTTCTTAGTTAAACATTTATTCACAGAAATTATCCCTTTGGCCATTATTAGATCATCAGTCACTTGTCAATATATTTTCATTTGTGGCACCACTTTGCAATATTAATCATATGTTTAAAAAAACCAATAGAAAAGTGTTAAGGGTGTAATTTCTTTTTTTAAATTTTATATATATTTTGCATTATTCTGGTTTTTGTACAATGTTTGCTTTCTCCTCTCTGGTATGGTCCCTAGAATCCTCACCTCCAGTTCACCCCGGCACCATCACCATAGTTCCCTGTGCTCTTCCCTCTCCTGTTATGATTCCTCTCCCGCCACCTCCTGCAAAATGTCTCTGATTTATAGTTGCCTTTCAATGTTTTTCATGTTTATTTTAGTTTTATTTCATGCCCCCCTATGTGGTTCCCCTACATTCCTCCTATAAGTGAAGCCATCCAGTATTTTTTTTTTCTTTCTGGTTTATTTCACTGAACATACTCCCTCCTAGCTCCATTCAAGTTACTGTGAATAGCATGAGTTTATATTTTTTGATGCTGAGTAATATTCCATTGTGTATATATATATACCACATCTTCTTGATCCAGTCATCTATTTTTTGACTTTAGGTGATTTCCATATGTTACCTGGAAGGTAAGATATCCTTGTAGGTATCCTTGTAGGTATCCTTTTGAATGAATGTAGGTATCCTTTTGAATGAATGTTTTTGTATCCTTTGAGTAAATCCCTAGGAGTAGAATTGCTGAATCATATAGTAGCTCCATTTTTAGTAGTTTGAGGAACCTCCACACAGCTTTCCATAGTGGTTGGACCAGGTTGTATTCCCACCAGCAGTGTAGGAGAATCCCTTTTACTTCACATCCTCGCCAACATTTGTTATTGCCTGTTGTTTTAATATGTGCCATTCTCACATTCTCACTGGTGTAAGGTGGTCTCTCATTGTGGTTTTCATTTGCATTTCCCTGATTGCAAGTGATATTGAACATTTTTTCATACCTATTGGCCATTTGCAATTCTCCTTTGGAGAAGTGTCTTTTTAACTCTTCTGTCCATTTTTTTTTTTTTACTGTATTGTTTGCTTTGTTTTTGTTGAGTAGTGTCAGCAATTTGTAGATCTTTGTGATCAGTCCCTTAGCAGTTTTACTGTGTGCAAAAATTCTCTCCCAATCAGTAGGGTGCCTCTTTGTCTTGGGTAGTGTCTCTTTTGCTCTACAGAAGCTTTTTAGTTTGGTGTAATCCCAGCTGTTCATTTTGTCCTTCACTTTCTTTGCCTTGGGGATGTGTCTTTAAAGATGTTACTGAGATGTATGACATGTAATGTTTTGCCTATATTTTCTTCTGTATATTTTATGGGGTCAGGTCTTATGTCAATTCCTTGATCCATTTTGAATTGGTTTTTGTGCATGGTGTGAGGTAGTAGTCTTAAGTATGTAATTTTAATAAAAGCTAGTTTAAACTGTAATCTACTGTGTACCCCAAAAAAGGATCTTTACTCGAACCACCTAAAAAGAATTCAACAAGAATAAAGACATATTTTTATGTTTGTACAATTGCTTTCAAATAAGCATGTCATATAGGATTAACTACTTGATTATTGTGAAGGGTTTTAGTTTCAAAATGAAATAATATTACCTAAAACTAAAGAACTAGTATACTTGTTTAAAAAAAATAAAAAATCTTTGCCTTCACTATCACTGCTTTGGGTGATGTGTCTGTAAAGATGTCTTTGAGGTGCATGTCATGTAGTGTTTGACCTATATTTTCTTCTATGTATTTTTTGGTTTCAGGTCTTATGTCTACTTCTTCAATCCATTTTGAGTTGGTTTTTGTGCATGGTGTGAGGTAGTGGTCAAGCTTCATTCTTTTGCATGTAGCGACCCAGTTTTCCCAGCACCATTTATTGAACATACTTTCTTTGCTCCAGGCAATATTCTTTGCTCTTTTGCATAGATTAGTACCATAAATCTGCGGGTTTATCCAAATGCCCAAAAATAGATGACTGGATCAAGAAGATGTGGTACATATACACAATGGAATATTACTCAGCAAACAAAAAAGCTGAACACATGGAATTCAGAAAACCTAAATATGGGACCAGGAAAAAGACTAATTAATACAAAGTAAAAATCAAAATCAACAAGCAACTATAAACCAGAGACACACTACGGAGCGGGGCGGGGGGAGGGAAGGGGAGAGGAGCGAATAAGGTCAAAATAAGGGGAGGGGTGCAATTGTATGGGGAATAGAACCAAAATGATAATGCATACATTGTGCAAAAATGAAAAATGGTGTAAGAATTATATAAAATAAAATATTAAATAAATGAATGAATGAATGAATGAATAATGACTTACCAGTCAGAGGAGGAAATTATCTTTTCAAGCTTCTCATAGGATCCTTTATCTTTTCTGGGAGATAATCCTAGCCAAAAATTAGGAAAATGCCAGGATTTTATAAAATCCTATAAGAAATATAGATGGATGTTGAAATAATTGTTTCTCATTTCTATATATTACATCACAGCATCATTTAGTATACATAATTGTTTAAGAGAACATTTTAAACATTATACTATGTTTCAATGCCATTAAAAGAAATTGAGACAATGTGTTCCTGACTGTAAGGTTGCTTTCAACATTTTTACATCAAATAACTCTTAATTAGGAGCTACCAACTCATGCATAATCACCAACTATAGATTTCAAATATTAGCATTAAATATTCAACCTGGATGAAAATAAGGTGATTGATCACTATAAATATAAGTTAATAGAAACAGAAAGAGTAGAAGTAAAATGTAGCAAATTTAGAGTGGTTATAAATAGAAATCAGAATTAGCCCAGAATTTTGTAGCCAAAGTAATACGCTTTTTTTCATAGTGTACCATTTTTCTTTGAAGAAATAACTGAGAATCGATCACTTATGAGTGATCCGATGGCCAAGTCACTGTGAATTGATTTTTCCCTCTTCTATAAAGTAGGACAAAGTTTCTTTCAGTAGGGAAGCTGAAGCTTTTGGGGGAATGTACTTTTGCTTAAAAAAAGAATATATGGGAACTCCCCTGGTGGTGCAGGTGGTTGAGCACCACGCTGTGAAGCTGTCTGCAGCCTCTGCAGCGCCTGTCCAATCCCAGCCGGCCAGGGAGGGCCCCCACATGGCTCGGCAGACCACTCCTGTCACGCCCACTGCTTCCCTCAGAAGTGTATTTCGTCAGTCTGCCTGTTCTGTTATCTGTTCTGTCTCTGGTGAATCCTCTCATCTCCCCGCACATCTGGCCTGTACCCAGGTTCTTGCATAAATAAATAAATAAAGCTTTTTAAAAATGACTATATGATTATTCTCTGAGAGATCGACATGCTGAGTAATAAGAAAAATGTGGGGGCCTTCCTGGTGGTGCAGGGGGCTGAGCGCAGCAATGTGAAGCTGTCTGCAGTCTCTGCAATGTGGGTTCTATCCCGACTGGCCGGGGAGATTCCCACAGGGTGCAGCAAACCTCTCCTGACTCGCCCGCTGCTCCCCTCAGCAGTGTACTTCGGTCAATCTGCCTGTTCCCTTTCCCACTCTGTCTCTGGTGAATCTTCTCACCTTACCACACATCTGACCTGTATCCTGGTTCTTGTACGCATAAATAAATAAATCTTTTTTTAAAAAAAGTAAAATGTGGAGATACTATTTAGATATTAGAAGGAAGGCTTACCAATACGCTTTTGTTCTTAATCTTCAACAGACTGGCATTTAGATTCCGACATTCCTGTTCACTGGTTTTCCAATCTTTATGCTCCTGACTGACTAAATAACAGCTGTCCTCATGCCACAACCAGTCTTTTGGACAAGGTTTACATTTGTGTTCTGGGGGGAAGAAACATTTGTATTTGGATTGCACTGATAATCTTCCTTATTCTCATTTTCCAATTATTAAGTTAGCCAAATTTACTTGTGTTTCTTTTTTTAACATCAGTGGTGAAGAAAGTGAATCCTGAGATCTAGGTTCCTACATACCAGGGTAGTGTGTTGAAAACATCACAAGAACAACACATGTCAGAGGAAAGAGCACTGTATTTTCCTTCCTCAGGAGCCCTGAATAATGATCACCTAATCGCCTTCTCTCACTTAATCATGTTTTCTCTTCCTGCTTAGCAGTGAAAGTTAATCCCAAGAAACATTGTTGAGAATCAACGCCACAAACCTCCATCTGTTCTGGCTTCTCTAACTAAAGCATTTCTAGCTCTCTGATTTGTTGAATACTGGGGAACTTCCCAAGATCACAAAGATCGTGTATTCATTATAAAAGCAATAGAAGCTGCTAAAGATATTTAAACTCCATTTCCTTACATTCATGGGGTAAAATCTAGTTTTATTTCTTTGACAATAATACTTATCAAACATTGACTGAAATTTAGGAATGAAGTCACCATAAAGATATGTGCTTTTCTCCTTATCTACTCACCTCAGTGCCCAAAATAAAAGTAATACAGGGCCTCCCTGGTGGCACAAGGAGTTAAGCACTGCTCTTTGGAGCAACCCACAGCCTCTGCAGCATGAGTTCCATCTCCAGCCAGCCAGGGAGCTACCCACATGGTGCAGCAGACCTCTCCTGTCTCACCCGCTGCTCCCCCCAGCAGTGTATTTCAGCCGGCCTGCTCCCCTCAGGAGTGTAGTTCAGCATGCCTGTTCTGGACACCACTCTTATTCTGGTGAATCCCCTCACTCCCCCATACCTCTGGCCTGTACCCCAGCTCTTGTATGCATAAATAAATAAATCTTTACAAAAAAAGTAAAACATGTCAGATTAGAGAAACTGTGCTAGCTAATGTTTTATTAAGTAGCTATCATCCCCATTTGGAGATAATTTGGGGTCTATGGCTATAATTACCTTTTCTGGTTCTTTTTTCTAGTTACATGAAAGTATCAATGCATCCTCTGTCAGCCACATTTAATTCCTTCCCCCAAAGAAGGAAATGACGCTCTAGTAACTCTTAAATTTAGTCCACCTTACTCAGAGAAGAATAGAAGATTACCTGAATCTTTTTCATATAGGTGATGGCATAATTTGGTGGCCATTTTTTGCAGCGTAATAGAGAGGTTCCTGATCTTCCCAGAACTATTCATGTTTTCGATCAGTTGTAGAGAAAGATTTCGTTGAAGTTCCTCTTTGAAGCTCTGTAGTTTGTTCAGTTTTCCCATTTGCATGTTGAAAGTTCCATAAACTCCATCCCAAACAAGATAGAAGATTAAAAATTTAGTCCCTCAAACAACCACCACTTCCTTTTTGCTGAAATCATATTAAATTATTAAAGGTATAGGGGAGCAGTTATTTTCTTTATAGGAATCAGGGAGAGAGATTAAGTGCAGTCTTGTAAGTGCAGCGTTCTATGTGTGTTCAATGGGTCCAGAGCCTTAATTCCAAGAGTAAAAATTTTTTGTAAAATTGATGTGATTCTGTGTGTTTTCCCACCCAATCAAAATATGGGTAATACATACACATGATTCCTAAGACTCCCAGTCCAGCCAGCAGCAGAAGGCAGAGCAGAGCCAGAGCCACCACACGGCACTGCCAGGCGCGAAGAGGGGCGGCTGGCGCTGTGGGAAGCAAGGTGAGCACAGAGAGTGGAGTGGTGTGCGTCTTCATTTGAATCACTCATTCATTTTGCTTTAACTTCATACCTAACATGTCCCCAAAGTGAAAGAATGTTTTTGCTAGAAACTCAAGGACATTTTCAAAAAACATTTTTTGTTCGTTTTTAAAATTTTCTTTTTATTTTGTATTTTTTACATCATTGTTCATTTTCACACAAAGTTTGAATGCGTAAAAAAGGGGGAAGGAAATAAAAATTTTTTTGAAGAATAAATCAAAAAGAAATAAAAAATATTTTGTTAGTTGTTCAGCATCTGAAATGGTTCTCACAAGAGAGGCTGTTAACTAGTGGGCTGCTTCAAGGAATAAAGAGGCTGAAATGGAATTTTAAAGGAGATATGAGAAAACCAATCCATCTAGATTCTGGTTTGTCCAAATTTATGGAAACTGAGCAGCTGTCAGCTAACAAGGAGTTCAATCCTTGAGTGGACAATGATCAAATCCTGAAAAATGATATCAGTGATGTATGTTTTCCCCAGGACATCCTGAGAGTCCTGGGGCTGTCTCTATTTTTTTTAAGATTTTTTTTTATTTATACAAGAACTTGGGTACAGGCCAGATGTGCAGGAGGAGGAGAGCATTCACCAGAGACAGAGCGGAGAACAGAACAGGCAGACTGACTGAAACACACTGAAGGGAGTAGCCTGAGAGTCAGGAGAGGTCTACCACACCATGTGGGTATCTCCCTGGCTAGCTGGGATCCGACCTGCACTGCAGAGGCTGTGGACAGCTTCACAGTGTGCTCAAGCACCTGTGCCTCTCTTTGTAATGTCTCTCAGAGTCTCCCTATAAACTAGTTCCTAGAACAGATCGGCATCACTTCCTCATTGAAAGTTTTTCATGTTCTTTTACCAACAAACTTTTGTTGAATACTTCATTTTTCCATAATCAGTAAACCCACAAGAGATCATTTGCTTACTAAAAAAAAAAATAAGGAATCATACATTTAATTAATATTACATTTATATTAAAATTATTAAATCATAACATGTTTAAATTATGACATGTAGCTGTGAATATTAAATCTTTCAAGAAAATATAAATATAGCATAACATGAGACTCTCACTAAACTTCTGAGAAATGCCTATACCTCACAGTTATTGATGCAATAAAGTACAGAGAGGCTTTCTGATAAAATGTGAAACAACTTTTAAAGACTTTGGAAAGTAGTTAAGAAGGAAGAACGACATAGTGAGGATCTTATCTAAGATAAGAAGCATAACGTCAAGTGTTGTCTTTCTTAATAATTTTTCTTATTCATTTGTGTATTGAGCTATTCAAAAGTTACCAGAGTACCTTCCTTATGGAGTACCTTCTGGGTACTAACAACACAGTGAGCAGGGAACACAATTCCAGTTCTTATAGAATATAAATTTTAACTATGGGAAAAAAAATTGGATAGATTAGTAGGGAGATGGATGAATTAGTTGATGATGGATGAATAAGTAGATATTAGCTAAATAGATGATAGATAGATAGATAGATGATAGATAGATAGATAGATAGATAGATAGATAGATGTCAAATTGTGCTATGATATGCAAAGATTTATAATGGAGTTATATTCTAGAGCATCAGCAGTTCTGACTTTACCATGGAATCAGCATGCAAAATCAGTGGTGAGAGTGCCACAGACAGGATGATCTAGCTCTCAGGCCCTAACTAGGGTTTATTTGAAAAACAGAAAACATTCAGAGTGGCAATAAAATTCTGACTGAAGAGAGAGAAGATATTGGAGGAGGTCAAAGAAAAAGAAAGAAAATTGTATTTATGGCCTTTGTTAGCAAGAGTTAAGGGACTGGAGTTTGTTTAATTACAGGAAGGGTTTTTTTAATCAGGAGGGAGAAATAAAATATTTTTAGAAAGATTATTGTTACAGAATATAGAGGATGGGGCCTCCCCGGTGGCGCAGCGGTTGAGAACTGGGTTTGCGAAGCTGCCCTCAGCCTCTGCAGCGCCGGTTCGATCCCCAGTGGCTCCCCGGCCATCGGAGGAGGGTCCCACATGGCACACAGACCTCTCCTGCTGCCCGCTGCTCCCCTCAGCAGTGTACTTCGGTCCTTCTGCCTGCTCTGCTACCTGCTCTGGCTCTGGTGAATTCTCTCACCCTCCAGCGCTTCTGACTGTACCCAATGCTTGTATAAATAAATAAATAAATCTTACAAAAAAAAAAAAGGAACAGAAAAATAATATAGAGGATGACTGTAAAGCTGCAGAACTGGAAGACAGAAACTAGATAGGAACTTCTTGCAACAGACCAGTGAGAGAGAACAGTAGCTAGATTTACTAGTATCAGAGAATGGCATGTCTCACAGGATATATTATGAACACATTTTGAAGTTAGAATCTAAAGCACACATTTATGAAATCTATGAGAGATTTTGACTTGATAAAGTTGTTAGGTAATAATAAGATCAGCATATTCATAGCGAGCATAGCAGTGATTGAAAAAAAAAAAAAACAGAGAACATTCTATGGGTTAAATATCCAGCCTTGAATCCCAGTTCTGCTTATTATCCCTTGTGGTAACTTGAACAAATTCTTTTCTTCTCTGTGTGTTAGTTTCCACATTGGTTAAAAAAAGGAAAAGAAACCCACAAAGTTGAGAAACTAAATGGCTTAAGATTTGGATTGGAACAGTGCTGGCACATAACACACACTTGGTGACTGTATTTAAGTATGTATTTGTATTTGCATTTAATGATATGGAGATAATTAGGAGGAAGGAACAAGAGGAAAAAAAATATTTCTATGTTTACCATTATAATTTAAGATGATATTAGACATCTATATGGAAATGTGAAACAAGCATTTGATTTTCTAGTCTGGAAAATCAAGGACTTGTCATCAAAGGATAGTTGGAAGTCACTGTTTTGAATCAAAGGAATGAATCAGGTAACTTAGCAAAGTATCTTTAGTGTCACAAAACAGAGGACCCAGAAGAGAGTCCTGGAATATTCTACAAAACAGAGTTTGATCCAGGGAAAAAGTCAAAAACGAAGGCTGAGCGGGAGCTGCTATGGTGGTAGTGGAGACCAGGAGCACGCCATATGTGTCAGCAAGCCTGTGTAAAGAAAGTGTGAAGGAAGAGGGATGATGCAACTGTATGAACGCTGCAGGGAAGTCAAATAATAAAAGAGCAGAGATGTGATTCTTGGGGTGAAACAGAGAGGCCATTAGTGGCCTAGATCCATCGGAGTCTCCATGGAATAATGAGGGCAGAAGCCTAATGTGGTCCGTTGAGAAGAGAAGGAACTCTGAAGACCGCGTGCTCATGACCAAAGGTAATGCTGTCCCAAGGTTGGGCTATGAAAGGAAACAGAGAAATGGAAGATAAATAGATTTAGTTGGGTAACTAGGGGTGTATTTTGTTAAAATAGGGTAGTAGAGTATATTGGTGAGAGGACAATGAAGCAGCAGAGAAAGGGGAATCTTATAGAAGAAATGTCTTTGAACAAGGTACATGATTGAAATGCACAGCAAAATGAAATTTGTCCTTTGGTAAGAGTGGGTATTTCATAATTACCATCTAGAAATAAAACAGGGGATATGAGAAAAAATATGGCAGGAGGGCAGTGTTAGTCGCAGAGAGGGAAGGTGTAGAATGAACTAGGAAGCAAACCCATCAGACTTTCCTAGGGCCTTTGAGCTAGATGTTCTTACTTTCTGTGATATCCTTTCCACTGAATTTGTATGGTAGTTCCCACTAACCATAAGAGCTGGTCTTCCTGCTTTCTAGACTATAACTCAGTTTTAAATCTTCACATACCAGAGCACAATTAGAGATCTCTCTCTCTCTCTGTTTCTCTCTCTCTCTCTCCAATCATTCATTTTCTCACACACTTAAAATTTATCTTCTATAAAAGAGGTACTTGCTCCCATATTTTTAGTACCCAGAATAGTGTTCGACTATAAAGAAGTTGCTCAGCTTAATAAGAAGGTACTCAAATTAATAATTAAATATAAAAATAAATGAGAAAATAATTATTAAGAAAGACATCAGGACCTTCCTCGTGGCCCAAGGGGTTAAACACAGCACTATGAAGCTATTTTCAGCTTCTGCAGCATGAGTTCGATCCCTGGCAATCCAAGGAGTTACCCGCATGGCACAGCAGACCTCTCCTGACTCTCCTGCTGCTCCTCTCAGCAGTGTAATTCACAGTCTACCTGTTCTGTTCCCCATTCTGTCTCTGGTGAGTCCTCTGACTCCCCCACACCTCTGGCCTGTACCCCAGCTCTTGAATGCATAAATAAATAAATCATTTTTAAAAAAGACAAGATTTGAAGTTATACTTTTAACCTTAGGTAAGATCCTGTCTATGTAGTTCTTTCCCTCTTCACTGTTTCCGGAAGTCTAAAAGAGTTAGGTGGCATTTGACTGGCAATGCTCTCTGTATGTCACAACGTTATTGCATCAACAATTGTGAGACAAGACTAGCTCAGACAGAAGTTTAGAAACTGTGCTTGAGAGTTTGTGTAATTTTCACCAGCAATGTCGGGCCATTTGGGTAGAGTTCAGAGTAGGTAAATGAATTTAACCAGAACTGGAGTTATTCAAGGGAAAATGACAGCACATTAAGCAACGTAGCAAGAGAGTAAGGGACATTATTACATAATATAATATTTATATTATATACTATAGACTTTAAGCTGCATAATGAGAAAATCAGATAGAACTGAGAAAATAATGAGACATAGATTCAAGACTCCCATAGAATCAGAAAATTTCTGAAGTGGAGATTTAGAATAAGGTGAATTAGTGGGATAGGAGAGAGGAAAGAATGTGATGGGATACAAAAAGGGTAATTGTAGGCATAGAAAAATTATGGTATGCTCATCCTCTTATACCACACAAAAAGGAGAAATACAAAGAAAGAAAACAAAATGGAAAATATTGTACAATCCTTAAGGGTCACCCTTAAAAAATATGTATTAAAGGGAAAGACAACAAAATGGAGCTCTTCTAAAGAGTTACAATGTTGATGATAAATGAATCTGAAATCTAACAATGAAATTTCTGTTCACAGGAAAATTAGAATTTTAACAAATCCTACATTTTGTTGGGAGACAAATAATGGGAGACAAAAAATTTTGGGAGACAAAGTATGAGGATGCTTCTATTACTCTTTCTCCTAAGTGCACCAACTCTACCAGCTTTTTGTGTTCTCCAGACCACCCTTTCAAGTAATTTTTAATTAATCACACTGGGGAATGTGCTGGAGCAGACTGCATGCAAAAGTCCAGGAGCCAGGAAGTCAGAATAATATGGGGTTGTGAGCAGGATGAATCTTAGGGTACTCTTCATTGAAGTATAACCTGAAAGTCTACACAGCTGGCCCATTTATAGCATAATTCAAATTTGTATTGAAAACTACAAAGTTTTCACTTGCATCCTGGTTTTCAGTGTTGTATCTCCCAGTATTTCTTTCTCTCTTCTCTTTCTTTAGTTCTGATGTCTTTTGGTTTAGCTTTACCTATTCTATATTTTAGCAGGTTGAGAAAAGATGACCAAAAGAAGTGGAAGAAATTGAAAATTTCAGGATAATATATACTTGAATTAGTATAAGGTCAAATGAAAGTCCTTAAAGTTCTATCTTTCTCTTTTTGTCATTTTCTCCCTCTCTTTTACATGCACATACATGCTAGCATTTTCTTATATAAAAAAAATACAAAGACATGACTTTCTAAATAGCATATATTACTTGTCCTGTGGCATCATTTCATGGAGAAAAAAATCGCAAAATTCACTTTTATGAAATACAATTCTAATTGCCTTGAAATATGAAAAATAGAAAAATTATGAAAAATTCAGTGTTCAAGCTATTGATTAGGGCCTTTAAAAAAACATTTATAAACATTTGTATGGACACACTTAATAGCTTTAGTACAAATGGGAGGTTAGTTAAAAACTAAAATAGAACAATCATTGTTACTTCACTTATACTTAGGGAACAAGCTTCTACCTTTACTCTTCTACACATTAGTTTTAACACATTCCCACACATCTATACCTCAAAATCTTACCTTTTATCCCAGATTTGCCATATTCTGTTTTACTGGAGTCCTGGAATTTTAGATCTGCATACATAACTTCTTCAGACATTGTTGGCAATGCAAAGAAAGCTTGGAAAAGAATTTAAAAAAAACTCAAAAAACAAATAAAAACTTAGAGTTGAATGTTAAATAGGATCTGTGATTTTATGCTTGTGGTTCTAAAAAAATTTATTAAATATAAATTTAATGTTTTTGAACCCAAAGACAAACTGCAAATACCTGCAGGCTGTTGTGTTATATAAGAACAAACAGCTGTTGAAGAACTAACTTATTCATATATTCAACTTCCTCTTACGTGTTCCTTTTCTCCATTTCTGTATACTTACCAACTACAGAAAATACCTTTTAAAATGATGTTGGGATGTTATTCATGTTTTTCAAGGGGATCGCAAGTTCTCAGACACTGACTAGTCTACAGCAATGACCTGGAACTGCAGTCCTGTGTGTGTCTAACCAAGTGCTATCAGATGAGTTTGCCTTAGTAGAGCAACTGTTATGTACAGAAAGCAGCACAGACAGAGGAAGAGTGGAAGCCACACCCTGTCCCTTTGTTACACAGGTGCTGGTTAGTCTAAGAGGAACTAAGGAACACTTAGTTTAACAAAAGAAATATACTAAGTAATCTGGGACCAAGGTAATACACACTGATGGAAAAAGCCCTAGAAACAGGCTTAGCAGTCTTGTTTCTCAGCAATCTGGCTCAATTCATGAACAAACTCTCAACTAATCTACCAAAAAGGGGAAGAAAGGGAGTCTAGAGGGTCTCTTAAGTTAGTTTCTTTTAAGTTTGACCCCACAATTTTGGAAGCAGGGGTCCATCCATTTCTTGCCCAAGTATGCAAAGCATACTTGGGAATTGGGCAATGATTGTTTTCAAATTATTTCATAATTTTTTTGAAGTAACACTGCATCATGGCATTGTATAAATTGCAGGTGTGCATCATTGCAAATCAACATGTACCTGTCCTACACAGAGTTCACCACTAATAGTTCTATTCTATACTTCACCATACAGTTGTCTCTTTGTCCTCATTTATCCATCCCTTCACCCATTCCCTTTGATAACCACTAATTACAGTCCAGAAGTTTGTTTTTGTTTTATTTGGTCCATCTGTTGATTTTCTCTATATACCACATATTAATGAAATCAAATGATGTTTGCCTTTATCCAGTTTATTTCATAAGTATAATACCCTCTAGGTTCATCCATATTGTTGCAAAGGGCAAAAATTCAACTTTTTATAGTTAAAGAGTATTCAATTTTTGCATATATATGTCACAATTTCTGTACCCATTCATCAGATGATATCTACTTAAATTGTTTCCAGTTGTTGGCTATTGTAAATAATGCTGCATAAATATGGGGGGTGGATATAGTGTTTGCATTATTGTGTTTACCTTTGGAGGGTGAATACCCACAAGTATGATAAATGAATCATGTCGAATTTCTATTTTTGATTTCCTAATTTCTATTTTTGATTTGCAGTATGATTTCTCCATACTGCTTTCCAAAACATCTACTCCAAATTACCATCCTACCAACAGTATATAAGGGTTCCCTTCTCACCACATCATCTCCAAGATTTGTTTCATCTTTTGGGTAATGGCCATTCTCACAGCAATGAGATCTCATTGTTATTTTCATTTTTATTTCCCGAATAATAAGGGATTATGAATCTTACCATTGCGTATTGGCCATCTGTATGTCTTCTTTGGAGATATGTCTATGCAGATAGGTCACCTGTTTTAAAATTGGATTGTTTCCTTGATTGCCATTTTACTTCCCTTGCTCATAATGAGCAGTCTGGTGGCCGGGTCCAGGAAGGGAGTGTTTCTTGGGGTGAGACAATGGGACCATTTTGCATGTGATTTTCATATGCAGAAGTTTTCCACATTTTTATGAGATGTATTACTCTTTTCCATTTTGGTGTTGGTATAAAGGGGATTGTTTACTGTATTTCATTTAGAAATAGAATTGATATTGCTGCATTAAGATTTTATCCAGTGACAAGGAGTTATATAGTCTGCTTGTAAATTATATTTTTATGTACACAATTGCATGAGTTACAAGTAAAATGTCTTCTTTCTCTTTTCTGCATTTTAAAATTTCTTTTTCTTGTCTCTTTCCACAGTTAGAACCTCAAATAGACTGTGGAAGGTCTTAAATCAAATGATAAAGATCCTTCTTTTAAAAATGGCTCTTGATTTAAGTGCAAGTGTAGGGCAACTCTACTGCTTTCTGTGTAGAAATGACATCAAGAGGTTTCAGAAGCATAAATTTTTATCATTTGAACTGCTGATGAGGGATGGTTCTCATCCCCCAAAGCCCCCAAAAACCGTTCATATCTTGTTCCAGAGCGCAAAAGAAAAACATTCACTCTTTTACCAGAAGTATAACATTAAGTTTAGGTTTTTTTTTGTTGCTAGTGGTTTATTTCCTTCTCTTTTTAATGTCAACATTCTTTCTTTAATGCTATTAACAGGAAGGAAATCATTTGTTTCTATTTTCTCAGAGACTTTGTTATGTAGTGTTGAATTTTATCAAATGATTTTTCTATACCTCTAAAGAAGAATGTATTTTCCTTTTCTTTCCCATGATGGAAAAAATCTTCATTAGTAGAATAAACCCCAATTGGTGATGATGCAGCACTCTTCCTATTCATGTATATTCCTAGATTTAATTTCCTCTGACATTTCTATAATGATGGTATCTACCTCGTTTATTTTGGGAGAAGCAAGACAAAGTAGCTGGTTTTCTGTATTTTTTTTTTAAGATTTATTTTTTAGACATACAAGAATTGGGGTACAGGCCAGGGTTATCGGGGGGTGAGAGAATTCACCAGAGACAGAGTGGGGAACAGAACAGGCAGTTCGACAGAAATACACTGTTGAGGGGAGCAGCGTGCGAATCAGGGGAAGTCTGCTGTGCCATGTGGTTAGCTCACTGGCTTTTCTGTATTTTTCTTCTTTTTTATAAAGATTTATTTATTCATGCATACAAGAACTCGGTTACAGACCTGTGGAGGGTGAGAGGATTCACCAGAGATACAGCGGGGAACAGAACAGGCAGACTGACTGAAATACACTGCTGAGGGGAGTAGTGGGTGAGGCAGGAGAGGTCTGTCACACCATGTGGGATTCTCACTGGCTGGCCGGGATTGAACCTGCACTGAAGAGGCCAGGGACAGCTTCACAGCGCTGCACTCAACCGCCTGCACCACCAGGGGAGGCCCCTTTTTTGTACTTTTCAACCAAAAATCTGTATTCATCCTCAGCAATATGTCTGTGTCTAGCTGTCAAAGTATTTTCTCAACATTTCATTTTACTCATAAGATGAGGACAAAGAAGAAAGTTGGAAAACCATGAATTATTAGGAGAGAGGCAGAAAGTTACTCAATCGGCATCTTTATTCCACTTGTCTGGTCCACAAGAGGTGCACTACATAAAGTTGCTTTTAGCTGGAGGATAATAACTGAAACAGAGTAAGTTCACTAACTACAAAAATCCATCTGGTTCTTCATTTATTAGCGTATTCTCAGTCTTCACTCGATCAGCCAATTTCTCACATATAAAATTTTCCCTTTCAGCACAATGTTTATAGACAAGCTGGTCATAATATCTACATCCACAATACATCTCACCACTGAAGCCATTTGTGTTGTTTATTAACCTGAAAGAGGAAATAAAGAATTACTTGTTCAAAAAACAAACACACAGACCAATGGAACTGAATAGAAAGCCCAGAAATAAACCCACACGTATATGGACAATTAATCTTTTTCAAAGGAGCAAAGAACATGCAATGAAACAAGGATAGTTTTTTCAATAAATGGGAAAACCGGACCACCACATGCAAAAGAATGAAACTAGACCTCTACCTCTCACCATACACAATAATCAACTCAAAATGGATAAAAGATCTGGGCAAAAGACCTGAAACCATATTTTATGCATACAGGAACTGGGGTACAGGTCAGGGGTGTGGGGGAGTGAGAGGATTCACCAGAGACAGACTGGGGAACAGAGCAGGCAGATGTACTAAAATACACTGCTGAGGGGAGTAGTGGGCAAGACAGGAGAGGTCTGCTGCACCATGTGGGTATCTCCCTGGCCAGCCTGGAATCAAACCGGCGCTGCAGAGGCTGCAGACAGCTTCACAGTCCTGTGCTCAACCTGCTGTGCCACTGGGGAGGCCTATGGTATGTTTTTTAATGTAGATATCACTTTCCCCGTGATAAGCAGAACAATTACAACAAAAAGATTTATTTACAATGGCATATTCATAACCACATTTCTTAATATATTATACAACAGAATAAATTTTATGTATCATGTTTGCAATATACCAGGTCCACATTCATTTTATTCTCTTTACCAGAAATGCTTTTCTAGTTCTCTCTCTACAAATTTTTCATTCAAAACGATCCATTTCAAATGTATATAATAACACAAATTTCAAAGCTAAAATTTATTTTTCATTATGCTGTGCATTCTTTCTAAAGCATTTATCACAATCTATTTAATATGTAGAATTGCTTAATTAGCCTGCACATAAAATTAATTGTCAAGTAACAAAGAAAGAATCAATTTTGCATTCATCTTTGACTTCCATCACTTAGCACAATTTTAAGTCCATTTCAATCTCAGTGAATTTTGTTGATTTTTACAATTAGTCAAGCATTTATTCACAGAAATTATCCCTTTCGGTCACTATTCGAGGTTAGTCAGTTGTCAAGATATTGTCATTTGTGTCACCACTTTGCAATAGTAAGCATATTTATTTGTTTGTTAATTTATTTTTAAAGATTTATTTATTCATTTACACAAGAACGGGCGTACAGGCCATATGCACGGTAGGGTGAGAAGATTCACCAGAGACAGAACGGAGAACAGAACAGGCAGACTGAGGAAAGACACTGCTGAGGGGAGCAGCAGGCGAGACAGGAGAGGTCCGCTGCGCCATGCGGGGCCCTCGCCAGCCAGCCGGGATGGAACAGCGCTGCAGAGGCTAAGGACAGCTTCACAACGCAGTGCTCAAAATACATACATATATATATATATTTATATGTGTATATATACACATATAAATATATATATATATATTGTGGGACGCTCGCCGGCGGCCAGGAACGAACCAGCGCTGCAGAGGCTGCGGGCAGCCTCGCAGCCCAGCGCTCAACCGCTGCGCCACCAGGAGAGGCCCCCAAGCATATTTTTTAAAAAACCCAATGGAAAAGTGTTCTTTAAGGGTGTAATTTTATTTTATTTTATATATATTTTGCATTTTTCTTTTTTTTTGGTACAATGTTTGCTTTCTCCTCTCAGGTATAGTCCCCTAGAATCCTCACCAACAATTCAACCAGGCTCCATCACCATAGTCCCCTGTGCTCTTCCCTCCCCTGTTACGATCCCCACCAGCTCCTCCTCCCCTCAGAATGTCTCTGATTTATAGTTGCCTGTTGAATTTGTTTTTTTCATTTAATTATTTTTTTCCTGCCCCCCTATGTGGTTCCACTACATTCCTCCTATAAGCAAAACCATCCAATATATATATATTTTTTCTTTCTGGCTTATTTCACTGAGCACAATCCCTTCTAGCTCCATCCAAGTTGTTGCGAGTAGCATGTGTTTATCGTTTTTGATTGCTGAATAATATTCCATTGTGTATATATCACATCTTCTTGATCCAGTCATCTATTTTTTGTCATTAGGGTCATTTCCATTTCTTACCTGCTGTAAATAATGCTGCCATAAACACAGGGGTGTAGGTATCCTTTTGAATGAATGTTTTTGTGTCCTTTGGGTAGATCCTTAGGAGTGGAATAGCTGGGTCATGTGGAAGTTCCATTTTTAGTAGTTTGAGGAACCTGCACACAGCTTTCCATAGTGGTTGGAACAGTGTGCTTTCCCGTCAGCATTGTGGGAGAGTCCCTTTTGCTTCACTCCTCGCCATCATTTGTTATTGCCTGTTTTTTAGTATGTGCCATTCTCACTGGTGTAAGGTGGTATCTCATTGTGGTTTTGATTTGCATTTCCCTGATTGCAAGTGATATTGAACATTTTTTGATATACCTGTTGGCCATTTGCAGTTCTTTGGAGAAGTGTCTTTTTTAACTCTTCTGCCCATTTTTTTTTTTTTTTTACTATATTGTTTACTTTGTTTTTGTTGCACAGTGTCAGCGCTTCCTAGATATTTCTGATCAGTCTCTTTGAGGTTGTACTGTGTGTAAAAATTCTCTCCCAACCAATAGGATGCCTCTTTGTTTTGGTTAGTGTCTCTTTTGCTCTACAGAAGCTTTTTAGTTTGGTGTAATCCCAGCTGTTCATTTTGTCCTTCACTTTCTTTGCCTTTGGGGAGTGTGTCTTTAAAGATGATACTGAGACGTATGTCATGTAGTGGTTTGCCTATATGTGCCATTCTCACTGGTGTAAGATGGTATCTTATGGTAGTTTTGATTTGCATTTCCCTGATGACAAGTGATGTTGAACATTTTTTCATATGCCTTTTGGCCATTTGCCTTTCCTCTTCAGAGAAGTTTCCTTTTAGCTCCTCTGCCCACTTTTTGACTGGATTATTTTCTTTGTTGTTGTTGAGTCTCATCAGCTCTTTGTAGATTTTTGTGATCAGTCCTTTATCATTAGTGTTGTGTGCAAAAATGTTCTCCCAGTTGGTGGGGTTTCTCTTTGTTTTTGTTATTGTCTCTTTTGCTGTGCAGAAGCTCTTTAATTTGATGTAGTCCCAGCTGTTTATCTTTGCCTTCACTATCACTGCTTTGGGTGATGTGTCTGTAAAGATGTCTTTGATGTGCATATCACGTAGTGTTTTGCCTATATTTCCTTCTATGTATTTTATGGTTTCAGGTCTTATGTCTAGTTCTTTAATCCATTTTGAGTTGATTTTTGTGTATGGTGTGAGGTAGTGGTCAAGCTTCATTCTTTTGCATGTAGCGACCCAGTTTTCCCAGCACCATTTATTGAACAAACTTTCTTTGCTCCAATGCATAGTCTTTGCTCCTTTGTCAAAGATTAGCTGACCATAAATCTGTGGGTTTATTTCTGGATTTTCTATTCGATTCCATTGGTCTGTATGTCTGTTCTTATTCCAATATCATGCAGTTTTGATGATTATGGCTTTGTAGTATAGTTTGAAGTCTGGGAGTGTGATGCCTCCATTCCCTTCTTTTTTTTTTTTTTCAGGAGAGCTTTGGCTATTCGGGGTTTTTTGTGATTCCATATGATTTTCATCAATAATTGTTCTATTTCTTTGAAGAATGACATTGAAATTTTGATTGGAATAGCATTGAATCTGTATGTTGCTTTTGGTAGGATGGCCATTTTAATAATGTTTATTCTTCCAATCCATAAGCAGGGGATGTCTTTCCATTTCTTTGTGTCTTCTTCTATTTCTTTTAACAGTGTTTTATAGTTTTCTTTGTATAGGTCCTTTACCTCTTTTGTTAGATTTTTTCTCAAATATTTGATTTTTTTTTGTTTCAATAATAAAAGGGATTTTTTTTTTATTTCTTCTTCTTCAGATTTATTGTGTATAGGAAGGCTACTGACTTTTGTGTGTTGATTTTGTATCCTGCCACTTTACTGGACTGATTGATGAGTTGAATTAGTTTTTCTGTGGAGTTTTTGGGGTTCTCTATGTATATTATCATATCATCTGCAAATAGTGATAGTTTGATTTCTTCTTTTCCTATTTGGATTCCTTGTATGTCTTTCTCTTGTCTTATTGCTCTGGGTAGGACTTCCAGAATTATATTGAAAAGCAGTAGTGAGTGTGGACATCCTTGTCTTGTTCCAGATCTTAATGGAATTGCTTTCAGCTTTTCACCATTGAGAATGATACTGGCTGTTGGCTTGTCATATGTGGCTTTTATGATGTTGAGGTATGTTCCTTGTATCCCAAGAATTTCAAGGGCTTTTATCATGAATGGGTGTTGCACTTTGTTGAAAGCTTTCTCAGCATCTATTGACATTATTATATGGTTTTTATATTTCTTTTTGTTGATGTGTTGGATAACGTTGATTGATTTTTGGATGTTAAACAATTTAAGGATGTAATTTTTAATAGAAGCTAGTTTTAACTGTGATCTGCTGTGTATCCAAACAAAGGATCTTAATTCAAACCAGCTAAAAAATTCAACAAGAATAAAGACATATTTTTATGTATGTACAATTGCTTTCAAATAAGCATGTCATATAGGATTAACTAGTTGAACACTGTGAAAGGTTTTAATTTCTAAATGAAATAATATTACCTAAAACTCAAGAAATAGTATACTTGTTTAAAAAAATAAAAAATAACTTACCAGTCAGAGGAGGAAATTATCTCTTTAAGCGTCTTTGGATTTTCATAATTTTTACTGGGAGATAATCCTAGCCAAAAGTCAATTGTCTGGGATTTTATAAAATCCTATAAGAAATATAGATGGTTGTTGAAATAATTCTTTCTCATTTCTATACATTGTATCACAGCATCATTTAGTACAGATAATTGTTTAAGATAATACTTTAAACATTATACTATTTTCAATGCCATTGAAAGAAATTAAGACAAAGTGTTCCTTACTGTAAGGTTGCTTTCAGCATTTTTACATCAACTACCATCTCACATGGAGAAGGAACTACCAATCAATGAAAAAAAACTCTTAATTTAGGAACTACCAACCCAAGCATAATCACCAACTATACATTTCAAATATTATCATTAAACAGTCAGTCTGGATGCAAATAAGGTAATTAATCACTGTAAATACAAGTTAATAGAAACAGAAAGAATAGAAGTAAAATGTAGCAAATTTAGAGTGGTTATAAATAGAAGTCAGAATTAGTCCAGAATTTTGTAGCCAAAAACTAAGCTTTTTTTCATAGTGTAACATTTTTCTTTGAAGAAATTACTGTGAGTCGATCACTTGAGTGATCAGATGACCAATTCACTGTGAATTAGTTTTTCCCTCTTCTATAATGTAGGACAAAGGTTCTTACAGTAGGGAAGCTGAGGCTTTTGGGGGAATGTACTTTTGCTTAAAAAATGAATATATGTTCACTCTCTAAGCGATCAGAATTGCCGAGTAACAGGTAAAATGTGGGAACCTCCCTGGTGGTGCAGGTGGTTGAGCGCAGCACTGTGAAGCTGTCCGCAGCCTATGCAGCATGAATTCCATCCCTGCCAGCCAAGGAGATGCCCACATGGCGCAGCAGACCTCTCCCGTCTATCCCGCTGCTCCCCTCAGCAGTGTATATCATCAGTCTGCCTGTTCTGTTCCCCTCTCTGTCTCTGGTGAATCTTCTTACCCTTCCCACACATCTGACCTGTATCCTGGTTCTCGTATGCATAAACAAATAAATCTTTAAAAAAAAAAAAAGTAAAATGTGGAGATACTATTTAGATAAGAGAATGAAGGCTTACCAATACACTTTTGTTCTTAATCTTCAACAGACTGGCATTTAGATTCCGACATTCCTGTTCACTGGTTTGCCAATCATTACTCTCCTGACCCTGTAAATAACAGCTGTCCTCATGCCACAACCAGCCCTTTGGACAAGGTTTACATTTGTGTTCTGCGGGAAAGAAACAGTGGTATTTGGTATTTGCACTGATATTCTTCCTTTTTTGCATTTCCCCATTTTGCTCTATATTAAGTTAACCAAATTTACTTGTGTTTCTTTTTTTAATATCAGTGGCGAAGAAAGTGAATCCTGAGATCTAGGTTCTTACATACCAGGGTAGTGTGTTGAAAACATCGCAAGAACAACACATGTCAGAGGAAAGAGCACTATATTTTCCTTCCTCAGGAGCCCTGAAGAATGATCACCTAATCTCCTTCTCTCACTTCTCATGTTTTGTCTTCCTGCTTGGCAGTGAAAGTTAATCCCAAGAAACATTGTCTGTTGAGAATCAACCCCACAAACCTCCACCTATTCTGGCTTCTCTAACTAAAACATTTCTAGCTCTCTGATTTGTTGAATACTGGGGAGACTTCTCAAGATCACAAGATCGTGTGTTCATTATAATAGGAATAAAAGCTGCTAAAGATATTTAAACACCATTCACTTACATTCATGGGGTAAAGTCTAGTTTTATTTCTTTTACAATGATACTTATTAAACATTGGCTGACATTTAGGAATGAAGTCGCCATAAAGATGTGTGTTTTTCTCTTTATCTCTACTCACCTCAGTGTCCAAAATGAAAGTAATACAGGGTTTCCCTGGTGGCGCAAGTGGTTAAGAACTGCACTATGAAGCAATCCGCAGCCTCTGCAGAATGCTTTCAATCCCCGGCCAGCCAAGGAGTAACCCACATAGTGCAGCTGACCTCTCCTGTCTCGCCCACTGCTCCCCTCAGCAGTGTATTTCAGTCAGTCTGCCTGTTCTATTCCCCACTCTGTCTCTGGCGAATCCTCTCACTTCCCCACAACTCTGGCCTATACCCCAGCTCTTGTATGCATAAATTAATAAATCTTTGTTGTTTGTTTTTTAATATTTTATTTTATATAATTCTTACGTCATTTTTCATTTTTGCACAATGTATGCATTTTCATTTTGGTTATATTCCCCATACAATTGCACCCCCCCTTATTTTGACCCTAGTCCTTCCTCTCCCCGTATGTCCCCCGACCCCCCTCCCCCGTAGTAGTCTCAGGTTTACAGTTGCTTGTTGATTTTGATTTTCACTTTGTATTAATTAGTCTTTTCCTGGTCATTTATTTAGGTTTTCTAAATTCCTGCTAGAGCGAGACCATCCAGTATTTTTCTTTTTCTTTCTGACATAAATAAACAAATCTTTTTTAAAAAAGTAAAACATGTCAGATTAGAGAAACTATATGCTAGCTAATGATTTATTAAGTAACTATCCCCTTTGGGGATAATTTGGGGTCTATGGCTATAATTGCTTTTTCTGGTTCTTTTTTCTAGTTCCATGAAAACATCAATGCATCCTCTGTCAGCCACATTTAATTCCTTCCCCCAAATAATGGCTTCTAAAGAAAAACTTCTAAATAGCAGTGAAATGATGCTCTTAAATTTAGTCCACCTTACTCAGAGAAGAATGTAAGATTACCTGAATCTTTCTTATATAGTTGATGGCATAATTTGGTGGCCATATTTTGCAGGATGATAGAGAGTTTCCTGATCATCACAGAACTATTCATATTTTCTATCACTTGTAGAGAAAGATTTTGCTGAAGTTCTCTGAAGCTCTGTAGTTTGTTCAGTTTTCCCATTTGCATGTTGAAAGTTCCATAAAATCCATCGCAAACAACATACAAGATTAAAAGTTTTAATCCCTCCAACAACCACCACTTCCTGAAATCATATTAAAATATTAAAGGTATACAGGAGCAATCGCTTTCCTTATAGGAATCAGGGAGAGAAATTAAGTGCTGTCTTGTAAGTGCAACATTCTATGTGTGTTCTACAGGTCCAGAGCCTTAAATCAAAAAGTAAAACTTTTTTGTAAAACTCATGTGATTCTATGAGTTTTCCCACCCAGTCAAATTATGGGTAATGCATACACATGCTTCTTAAGATTCCCAGTCCAGCCAGCAGCAGAAGGCAGAGCAGAGCCAGAGCCACCACATGGCACTACCAGGGGCGGGAAGGGGCAGCTGGCGCTGTGGGAAGCAAGGTGAGCACAGAGAGTGGAAGTGCTGTGCATCTTCATTTGAATCACTCATTCATTTTGCTTTAACTTCATACTTAATATGTCCCCAAAGTGAAAGAATGTTTTTGCTAGAAACTCAAGGACATTTTCAAAAAAATATTTTTATTCTTGTTTAAAATTTTCTATTTATATATTTTTTACAGCATTGTTTATTTTTAAACAAAGTTTGAAAGCAAAAAATAGGGGGAGGAGGAAATAAAAAATCTTTTTTGAACAATAAATCAAAAAAAAATAAAAAATATTTCATTAGTTGTTCAGCCTCTGAAATGGGTCTCACAAGAGAGGCTGTTAACTGGTGGGCTGTTTCAAGGAACAAAGGCAGAAGTGGAATTTTATAAGAGATGTGAGAAAACCAACCCAACTAGATTCTGGTCTGTCCAAATTTGTGGAAACTTAGCACCTGTCAGCTAACAGGGAGTTCAATCCTTGAGTGGACAATGATCAAATCCTGGAAAATGATATCAGTGATGTATGTTTCCCCCAGGACATCCTGAGAGTCCTGGTGCTGTCTCTATTTTTTTTAAAGATTTTGTATATTTATACAAGAACTTAGGTACAGGCCAGATATGCAAGACAGTGAGAGGTCACCAGAGACAGAGCAGGGAACAGTACAGACAGACTGAAGGAATACACTGCTGAGGGGAGCAGCGGGTGAGACAGGAAAGGTCTGAGGTGCCATGTTCGCATCTCCCCAGCCAACGGGGTTCCAAAGAGCATGGCAGAGGCTGGGGAATGCTTCACAGTGTGTTCAAGCAGTGTGCACAGTGTGCTTCACACTGCACCTCTATTTGTAGTGAACAGCATGCAAAATCAGTGGTGAGAATGGCACAAGCAGGACGATCTAGCTCTCAGGCCCTAACTAGGGTTTATTTGAAAAACAGAAAACATTCAGAGTAACAATAAAATTCTGACCAAAGTGAGAAAAGATATTGGAAGAGGTCAAAGAAAAAGACAGGAAATAGTATATATGGCCTTTGTTAGCCAGAGTTAAGGGACTGGAGTTTGTTTAATTACAGGAAGGTTTTTTAATCAGGAGGGAGAAATAATATAATATTTTTAGAAAGGTTATTGTTACAAAATATAGAGGATGACTGTAGAGCTACAGTACTGGAAGAGGGAACACAGAGAGGAACTTCTTGCAGCAGACCAGTGAGAGAGAACAGTAGCTAGATTGACTAGTATCAGAGAATGGGAAGACTCACGGGGTATATTGTGAAAACATTTTGAAGTTAGAATCTGTAGCACACATTTATGAAATCTATGAGAGATGTTTGACTTGATAAAGTTGTTAGGTAATAATAAAATTGGACATTTATAGGGAGCTTAAGCAATGATAAAAATAAAACAACAACATAGAACATTCTATAGGATTAAAATATCCAGCCTTGAACCCTAGTTCTCCTTCTTATCCCTTGTGGAAACTTGAACAAGTTGTTTAACTTCTCTGTGTCTTAGTTTCCACATCCGTTAAAAAAGAAACAGAAAACAAAAAGTATGAGAAATTATATGGTTGAAGATTTGTAATATGGCACGTAGCACACACTTGGTGATTGTATTTAAGTATTTATTTATGTTTGCATTTAATGATATGAAGATGATTAGGAAGAAGGAACAAGAGGAAAAAAATTTCTATGTTCACCATTTTAATTTCAGATGGTATCAACCATCTATATGGAAATGTGAAAAAGGCATTTGATTTTCTAGTCTGGAAAATCAAGGACAGATCATCAGGAGAGAGTTGGGAGTCACTGTATTTGAATCATTCATTCAAAGGAATGAATGAGGTAACTTAACAAAGTATCTTTAGTGTCACAAAACAGAGGACCCAAGGAGAGTCCTGGAATATTCCATAATATAGAGTTTGATCCAGGGCCTCTCTGGTGGCGCAAGGGTTTCAGCACAGCACAATGAAGCTATTTGCAGCCTTTGCAGCACAAGTTCAATTCCCGTACATCCAGGGCGTTACCTATATGGCACAACAGACCTCTCCTGTCTCGCCTGCTGTGCCCCTAAGCAGTGTATTTCAGTCAGTCTGCCTGTTCTGCTCCCCACTCTGTTTCTGATGATCCTCTACCCCTGAACCTCTGGCCCTACCCCAGTTCTTGTATACATAAATAAATAAATCTTTAAAAATTAAACAACAGAGTTTGATCCTGGACAGAAAGTCAAAAAAAGGCTGAGCAGGAGCTGCTATGGTGATAGTGGAGACCAGGAGCACGCACATGTGTCAGCAGCCTGTGTAAGAAAGTGTGAAGGAAGAGGGATGGCGCAACTGTGTGAACGCTACAGTGAAGTCGAATAGTAAAAGAGCAGAGACGTGATTTTGGGGTGAAACAGAGAAGCCATCAGTGGCCTAGATCCATAGGAGTCTTCATGGAACAATGAGGGCAGAAGCCTAATGTGGTCCATTGAGAAGAGAAGGAGCTCTGAAGACCTAGAGTCCATAACAAAAGGTAATGCTGTCCCAAGGTTGGGCTATGAAGGAAACAGAGAAATGGAAGATAAATAGATTTAGTTGGGCAAGTAGGGTGTGTATTTTGTTAAAATAGGGTAGTAGAGTATATTGTTGAGAGGACAATGAAGCAGCAGAGGAAGGGGAATCTTACAGAAAAAATGTCTTTGAACAGGTACATGATTGAAATGCACAGTAAAATGAAATTTGTCTTTTTTTTTTTTTTTTAAACTTAACAGCTTTTTTTTTTTTTTTTTAAAGAGGCATGTATTTTTATTTATGTATTTATTTATTTGTTTGTTTTTTTTATACATGCATTGGGTACAGTCAGAAGCGCGGGAGGGTAAGAGAATTCACCAGAGCCAGAGCAGGGAGCAGAGCAGGCAGAAGGACCGAAGTACACTGCTGAGGGGAGCAGTGGGCGGCAGGAGAGGTCTGCGCGCCATGTGGGACCCTCCTGTGGTGGCCGGGGAGCAGCCGGGGATCGAACCAGCGCCGCAGAGGCCGCGGGCAGCTTCGCAACCCAGCGCTCAACCGCTGCGCCACCGGGGAGGCCCTGAAATTTGTCTTTTGATAAGAGTATTTCATAATGACCATCTAGAAATAAAACAGGGGATATGAGTAAGAATATGGCAGGATGGCATATTTTTAGCAGAGAGGGAAGGTGTAGAAGGAACTGGGAAGCAAGTCCATCAGGCTTTCCTGGGGTCTTTGAGCTAGATGTTCTTACTTTCTGTGATGTCCTTTCCACTGAATTTGTGTGGTGATTCCCACTGACGATAAGAGCTGGTCTTCCAGCTTTCTAGACTATAACTCAGTTTTAAATCTTCACATACGGGAGTGCAATTAGAGATTCTCTCTCTCCAATCATTTATTTTCTCACACACTTAAAATTTATCTTCTACAAAAGAGTACTTGCTCCTGTATTTTTAGTACCCAGAATAGTGTGTGACTATAAACAAATTACTCAGCTTAATAAGAAGGTACTCAGATTAATAACTGAATATAAAAAGAAATGAGAAAATAATTATTAAGAAAGACAACAAGACATCCCTGGCAGCACAAGGGCTTCAGCACAGCACTATGAAGCTGCAGCATGAGTTCGATCCCCAGCCGGCCAAGAGTTATCCACATGGAGCAGCAAAAGTTTCTTGACTTCTCTGGCTGCTCCCCTCAGCAGTGTATTTCAGTCAGTCTGCCTATTCTGCTCCCTGCTCTGTCTCTGGTGAATCCTCTCACTCCCTGCTCCACTGGGCTACACCTCAATTCTTGTATGCATAAATAAATACATCTTTAAAAAAGAAAAAGAAAGACATTTGAAGTTATACTTTTAACCTTAGGTAAGATCCTGACTATGTAGTTCTTTTCCTCTTCACTGTTTTCCCATGTCTAAAAGAGTTAGTTGGCATTTGACTGTCAATGCTCTCTCTATCTCACAACATTTTGCATCAACAACAGTGAGACGAGAATAGCTCAGACAGAAGTTTAATGAACTGGGCTTGAGAGTTTGTGTAATTTTTACCAGCAACGTCTGCCTATTTGGGTAGAGTTCAGAGTAGGTAAATACTTGAATTTAACCAGAACTGGAGTTTTTCGAGGGAAAATAACACATTAAACAAGGTGGTGAGAGAGTAAGAGATGTTATGACATACTACAATGTTTATATTATGTACTAAAGACTTTAAGCTGCATAATGAGAAAATCAGATAGAACTGAGAAAATAATGAGACATAGATTCAAGACTCCCAGAGAATCAGAAAATTTCTGAAGTGGAGATTTAGAATAAGATGAATTAGTGGGACAGATGGAGGAAAGAATGCGATGGGATACAAAAAAGGTAATTGTTGGCATAGAAAATTTATGGTATGCCCATCCTCTTACACCACACAAAAAGGAGAAGTACGAAGAAAGAAAATAAAACCGAAAATACTGTAAATCCTTAAGGGTCACCATAAAAATTATGTATTAAAGGGAAAGACAACAGAATGGAGCTGTTCTAAAGAGTTACAATGTTGATAAGAAATTAATCTGAACTCTAACAGTGAAATTTCTGTTCACAGGAAAATTAGAATTTTAAAAAATGCTACATTTTGTTGACAAACACAAATAATGTATGAGGATTCTTCTGTTACCCTCTCTCCTAAGTGTACCAACTCTACCAAATTTCTGAGTTCTCCAGACCTATCGTTTAAGTAATTTTTAATTAAGCACACTGGTGAATGTGCTGGAGCAGACTGAATGCAAAATCCAGGAGCCAAGGTGTCAGAATAATATGGGGTTGTGAGTAGGATGACGCTTAGGGTACACTTTATTGAAGGATAAACTGAAAGTCTACACAGCTGGCCCATTTATAGCATAATTCAAATTTGTATTGAAAACTATAAAGTTTTCACTTCCAACATGGTTTTCCGTGTTCTATCTCCCAGTATTTCTCTCTTGCTTCTCTTCCTTTAGTTGTGATGTCTTTTCATTTAGCTTAACCTTTTCTATATTTTAGTTAGTTGAGAAAAGATGACCAAAAGAAGTGGAAGAAATTGAAAATTTAGGATAATATATACTTCAATTAGTATAAAGTCAAATGAAAGTCTTTAAAGTTCTATCTTTCTCTTTTTGTCACTTTCTCCCTCTCTTACATACACATACATGCTAGCATTTTCTTATATAAAAAAAAAAAACCTACAAAGACATGATTTTCTAAATAGCATATACTCCTTGTCCTCTGGCGTCATTTTATGGAGAAAAAAAAAATCAACTTTCAGTTCTATGAAATACAATCCTAACTGTCTTGAGTGAAATATTAACATAGAAAAAAATATAAGATATTAAGTATTCAACCTATTGATTAGGGCCTTTAAAAAACCCTTTATAAACATTTGTATGGACACATTTAATAGCTTTAGTACAAATGTGAGACTTAATTAAAAACTAAAATAGTACAATCACTGTTACTTAGCTCATACTTAGGGGACAATCGTCTACCTTCACTCTTTTACACACTAGTTTTACCACATTCCAACACATCTATAGCTCAAAATCTTACCTTTTATCCCAGATTTGCCATTTTCTGTTTTACTGGAGTCCTGGAATTTTAGATCTGCACACATAACTTCTTCAGACATTGTTGGTAATGCAAGGAAAGCTTGGCAAACTATTAAAAGAAAAACTCAAAAAACAAATAAAAACACTTAGAGTTGAATATTAAATAGGATCTGAGATTTTAAGCTTGTGGTTCTAAAACAAAATATAAATTTAATGCTTTTGAATCCAAAAACAAACTGCAACTAAGTGGTAGAACAAATAGCTGTTGAAGAGCTAACTTATTCACATATTCAACTGCCTCTTATATGTTCCTTTTCTCCATTTCTGTATACTTACCAACTACAGAAAGTAGCTTTTAAAATGATGTTTGGATGTTATTCATCTTTTTCGAGGGGTTCACAAGTTCTCAGACACTGACAAGTCTACAGCAATGACCTGGAACTGCTGTCCTCTGTGTGTCTAGCCAAGTGCTGTCAGATGAGTTTGCCTCAGTAGGGTAACTGCTCATGTACAGAAAGCAGCACAGACAGAGGAAGAGTGGAGGCCCCATCCTGTCCCATTGTTACATAGCTGCTGGTTAGTCTAAGAGGAACTAAGGAACACTTAGTTTCTCTATAACAAAGAAATATACTAAGGAATCTGGGACCTAGTTTACACACACACTGATGGAAAAAGCCCTAGAAATAACTGCAGGCCAGTAGAGGTGAGATCAGTCTTGTTTCTCTGCAAATTGGCTCAATTTATTGAATAAACTCTCAACGAATCTACCAAAAAGGGGAAGAAAAGGAGTCTAGAGGGCCTCTTAAGTTAGTTTCTTTTAAATTTGACCCCACAGTTTTGGAAGCAGGGGTCCATCCATTTCTTGGTCAAGTATGCAAAGCATACTTGGGAAAAGAGCAATGATTGTTTTCAAGTTATTTCATATTTTTTTTGAAGTAACACTGCATTATGGCATTGTATAAATTGCAGGTGTGCATCATTGCAAATCAACATGTACCTGTCCTTCACGGAGTTCACCACCAAAAGTTCAATTCTATCCGTCGCCATACAGTTGTCTCTGTCCTCATTTATTCATCCCTTCGCCCTTTCTCTTCTGATAACCACTAATTACAGTCCAGAGTTTGTTTTTTTGTTTTATTTGGTCCATCTGTTTATTTTCTGTATATACCACATATTAGTGAAATCAAATGATGTTGGTCTTTATCCGGTTTATTTCATAAGTATAATACCCTCAGGCTTCATCCATACTGTTGCAAAGGGCAAAAATTCAACTTTTTATAGTTAAAGAGTATTCAATTTTGGCATATATATGTCACATTTTCTGTATCCATTCATCAGATGATATCTACTTAAATTGTTTCCAATTCTTGGCTATTATAAATAGTGCTGCATAAACATGGGGGCATGGATATAGTGTTTGCATTATTGTGTTTAACGTTGGGTGGTGAATACCCACAAGTATGATAAATGAATCAAGTAGAATTTCTATTTTTGATTTCTTGAATTTCTATTTTTGATTTGCAGTATGATTTCTCCATACTGCTTTCCAAAACATCTACTCCAACTCACCATCCTACCAACAGTTTGTAAGGGTTCTCTTCTCACCACATCGTCTCCAAGATTTTTTTCATCTTTTGGGTAATGACCATTCTCACAGCAATGAGATCTCATTGTTATTTTCATTTGTATTTCCTGAATAATAAGCGATTATGAACATCTTACCAAGGCCCATTGGCCATTTGTAAGTCTTCTTTGGAGATATGTCTATTCAGATAGGTTACCCGTGTTAAAATTGGATTGTTTCCTTGATTGCCATTTTACTTCCCTTGCTCATAATGAGCAGTCTGGTGGCCGGGTCCAGGAAGGGAGTGTTTCTTGGTTTGAGACAATGGGGCCATTTTGCATGTAATTTTCATATGCAGAAGTTTTCCACATTTTTATGAGATGTATCACTCTTTTCCACTTTGGTGTTGGTATAAAGGGTATTGTTTACTGTTGACATTTAGAAGTAGAATTCATATTGCTGCATTAAGATTTTATCCATTGACAAGGAGTTATGTAGTCTGATTGTAAATTATATTTTTATGTATACAATTGTATGAGCTACAAGTAAAATGTCTTCTTTCTCTTTTCTGCATTTTAGAATTTCTTTGTCTTGCCTCTTTCCACAGTTAGACACTCAAATACACTATAGAAGGTCTTAAATCAAATGATAAAGATCCTTCTTTTAAAAATGGGCTCTTGATTTAAGTGTAAGTGTAGGACAATTCTATTGCTCTGTGTGTGGAATGACACCAAGAGATTTCAGAAGCATAAATTTTTAGCCTTTGAACTGCTGATGAGGGATGGTTCTCATCCCCCAGGACCCCCCAAAACCATTCATATCTTGTTCCAGAGCTTAAAAGAAAAACAATCACTCTTTTACCAGAAGTATAACGTTAGATTTAGTTTTTTGTTGTTGTTGTTTCTAGTGGTATTTTCCTTCTCTTTTTAATGCCAACAATCTCTCTTTAATGCTATTATCAGAGAAGGAAAATATTTGCTTCTATTTTCTGAGAGACTTTATTATGTAGTGTTGAATTTTATCAAATGATTTTTCTGTACCTATAAAGAATAATGTAGTTTCTTTTTCTTTCCCATGATGAAATAAATCTGCATTAGTAGAATAAACCGCAATTGGTGATGATGCAGCACTCTTCCTATTGGTGTATATTCCTAGATTTAATTTCCTTTGACTGTTCTATAATGTTGGTATCTAGCTTGTTTATTTTGGGAGAAGCAAGACAAAATAGCTGTTTTTCTGCATTTTTCTTTTTTTAAGATTTATTTACTTATGTATACAAGAACTGGGGTACAGGCCAGAGTTATGGGGGAGTGAGAGGAGTCACCACAGACAGAGTGGGGAACACAACAGGCAGATCGACTGAAATACACTGCTGAGGGGAGCAGCGGGTGAGTCAGGAGAGGTCTGGGCCCATGTGGGATTCTTGCCAGCTGGCCGGGATCGAACCTTCACTGCAGAAGCTGCGGACAGCTTCATGGCGCTGCGCGCAACCACCTGCACCACCACGGGAGGCCCTTTTTCTGTACTTTTCAACCAAAATTCTGTATTTATGCTCAGCAATATGTCTGTGTCTAGCTGTTAAAGAATTTTCTCAGAATTTCCTTTTACTCTTAAGAGGAGGACAAAGAAGAAATTTAGAAAAGCGTGAAGTGTTAGGAGAGAGGCAGAAAGTCAGTCAATCAGCATCTTTATTCCACTTGTCTGGTCCACATGAGGTGCGCTGCATAAAGTTGCTTTTAGTTGCAGGATAATAACTGAAACAAAATAAGTGCACTAACTATGTAAATCCATCTGGTTCTTCATTTATTAGCGTATTTTCAATCTTCACTCGATTAGCCAATTTCTCACATATGAATTTTTTCCTTTCAGTGCAAAGCGTATAATAAACATACTCAGAATATCTGTATCCACAGTACATCTCGCCACTGAAGCCATTTGTGTTGTTTATGAACCTGAAAAAGGAAATAAAGAATTACTTGTTTCAAAAACAGACCACACAGACCAATGGAAATGAATAGAAAACCCAAAAGTAAAACCACATATATATGGACAATTAATCTTTGACATAGGAGCAAAGAACATGCAATGGAACAAGCATAGTTTGTTCAATAAATGGTGCTCGAAAAACTGGACCACCACATGAAAAGAATGAAACTGGAGCTCTACGTCTCACCATACACAAAAATCAACTCAAAATGGATAAAAGATCTGGACATAAGACCTGAAACCATAAAATAGTTAGCAGAAAATATAGGTAAAACACTACAAGACATACATCTCTGTAGCATCTTTAAAGACTCATCACCCAAAGCAAAGAAAGGCAAGGAAAAGATAAACACCTGGGATTACATCACACTGAAAAGCTTCTGTACAACAAAAGAGACATTAACCAAAACAAAGAGACACCCCACTGACTGGGAAAAAAAATTTTGCCCTCCAATCAAAGGACAAGGGACTGCTCACAAAGATATGCAAAGAACTCAAAGGACTCAACAAAAGCAAAGTAAACAACCCAGTCAAGAAATGGGCAGAAGAACTTAACAGGCATAGGAAAAAATGTTCAACATCCCTTATAATCAGGGAAATGCAATAGAAACCACAATGAGATACCACCTTACACCAGTGACAACAGCACATATCAAAATAATAGCGGCAACAAATGTTGACGAGGATGTGGTGAAAAAGGAACTCTCTCCTACATTGCTGGTGGGAGTGCAAACTGGTCCAACCACTGTGGAAAGCTGTCTGGAAGTTCCTCAGTCTACTAAAAGTGGAGTTACATATGACCCAGCAATTCCACTACTATGGCTCTACCCAAGAGACACACAAACACTGTTTCAAACAAATACCTGTACCCTATGTTTATTGCAGCACTATTTACAATAGGTAAACCTGGAAACAACACAAATGCCCAAAAGTAGATGACTGGAGCAAGAAGATATGGTGTATACACACAATGGATTATTATCCAGCAATCAAAAAAGATACACTCATGCCATTCCCAGCAACATGGATGGAGCGGGAAGGAATTACGGTCAGTGAATTAAGTCAGAAGGAAAAAGAAAAATATTGGATGGTTTCACTTATAGGAGGAATATAGGGGAACAAAATAAGGCATCAGTACAATCAGTACTGTTACTTTTGTAACAGTACAAAACATAACAAAGCAAAAACAAACAGACTATTATAAATCAGAGACATCCTGCAGGGGATGAGGGAGAGGGATCACAGGAAGGGAGGGAGGAGCACAGGGGACTGAGGTGATGGTGCGCGGGTGCATTGGTGAAGAAAATTCCTTGGGGACTACACTTGGGTGGGCGGAAGCAAATATTGTTTAAAAGAACCATGATATAAATATATATATAATAATAATAATTTCAAAAAAAGAATTACTTGTTTCATATCAAATATTTGAAGCATATTCAAACACACACAAATTACATTTCCATGTAGCTTAGCTCCTAAAGTCTGCATTAGCTAAAATAAATTTTAATTATTATTCAGAATATCAGGTATTTACAAGTTACATTCACTGACAGATATGCAAGATCAAACACTGCATTATTTCTGTCTTTTCCACTTTCTCACATCTGGAATATTTGCTGTCTTTACTCTAGAGGTAATTTTGCCTTCCCGAGTACTTAATATGATTTAGAATACTGCAGTCTTCTTGAATCTCTACTTTAACTGGCTTAATAGGAAATCTTTGACACTGTCCTCTCAAACATTTTTCACAACCAGCAAAACCAGGGATTAACCTGGTTAATGATAACTTAAGCTCATCATCATCTCTAAGTGATAGTATTTCAAGATATTTTTCAAAGATTTTACACTGAGTTCTGAATAATTACTAGCCTCTAATACAAGATTACTGATGCTGATTCATTTTCTTTTGGGAAAAATGTAGCATCAGTACTTGGTTCAATACATAATAATCATCAATCAATAAAAGTATATCAATTAATGTTCAATTGTGATATTTCTATTTGTGGTGACGCTCATGTGTCCATCATCAATGAAAGCCTTTCTTTCCAGATAAACCCCAAAAATGACATTGAGAATTAAAAAAAGAAAAAGAAATCATATAAACATATATATCATTTATAAGAACATATAAGCAAAAACAATGCATTATATATACTATATCAATCTGTACTTTTAATTTCAGTATCATGAATATTTTGAAATATCTGCTGTACTTTCCTGCAGTTATAGATTGCCTTCTCATTAGCAATACTTGCAAATGCACACAAGGAAATCCACCTTTTCAAAACAAAATCCATCACACACTCCCCTGACCACAAACTACCTTTACCTCTAGTCCATCACTCCAAATTAGATCTTGAACATGCAGACCCTCCTCTCCTCTGTGTGCACACACCTTTCTCCCATTCTGTACTGCACTGCCAACCGCTGAGATGGAGCAGTCCCATCTCTGACCTCTAGTCTCACAACTACTATTTCTAGCAAAGTGAGTAAAACAGAAAAACAATCAGCACTTCTATTTGTTGCCTGGCCCAATGAGGTGAGTGTGCAACAATGTCAGGGCTTAGCTTCAGTGAGGCAGTCCCCCAGATTACTTGTCCTGAGTAGTTCCATCTTGATGTGCCCTCAACTAACACAGAAGTGTGAATATATGGGCTGAGAATAGTTTCCAAGAGATTGATGCTGCGGTTCCCTTCTTTAGTCTGTTTTCCAATTTAAAAGCTTATAAAATACAAATGCAATTATGGCATTTTTTATTTTTTTAAATTTATTTTATTTTATGCATACAAGAACTGCGGTACAGGCCAGAGGTGCGGGGGAGTGAGAGGATTCACCAAAGACAGAGTGGGGAACAGAGCAGGCAGACACTGAAATACACTGCTGAGGAGTGCAGCAGGTGAGACAGGAGATGTCTGCTGAACCATGTGGGTATTTCCATGGCCAGCCTGGAATCAAACCGGCACTGCAGAGGTTGCAGACAGTTTCACAGCTCTGTGTTCATCCCACTGCGCCAAGGGGGAGGCCCTATGGCATGTTTTAATGTAGGTTTTGCTTTTCCCCATGATGAGCAGAACAAATACAACAAAAGGATTCATTTACAATGGCATATTTATAACCACATTTCTTAATATATTATGCAACAGAATACATTTTATGTATCATATTTGCAATATACCAGGTCCAAATTCATTTTATTCTCTTTACCAGAAATGCTTTTCATGCAAAATTGTCCATTTCAAATGCATATGATAAAACAAATTTCAAAGCTAAAATTTATTTTTCATTATTCTGTGCATTCTTTCTGAAGCATTTATCACATATCTATTTTATATGTAGAATTGCTTAATTAGTCTGCACATAAAATTACTTGTCAAGTAACAAAGGAAGAATCAATTTTTCATTCATCTTTGCCTCCCAGCACTTACCACAATTTTAAGTCCATTTAAATCTCAGTGAATTTTGTTGATTTTTACAATTTTCTTAGTCAAACACTTTATTCACAGAAATTATCCCTTTGGCCACAAGTAGATGGTCAGTCACTTGTCAAGAAATTGTCATTTGTGGCACTATTTGCAATATTAAGCATACTTTAAAAAACCCAATGGAAAAGTATTCTTTAAGGGTGTAATTTCTTTTTTTTATTATATATATATATTTTTTACAATTATTCTTTTTTGTACGATGTTTGCTTTCTTCTCCAAGGTATAGTCCCCTAGAATCCTTACCACTAATTCTCCCAGGCACCATCACTATAATCCCTTGTGCTCTTCCCTCCCCTGTTATGATCCCTCTCCCCCACTTCCTGCAGAATGTCTCTGATTTATAGTAGCCTGTCGATTTTGTTTTATGTTTATTTTAATTAATATTTCCCTATCCCCTATGTGTTTCCCCCACATTCCTCCTATAAGTGAAGCCATCCAGTATTTTTTTTTCTTTCTGGTTTATTTCACTAAACATAATCTCTCCTGGCTCCATTCAAGTTGCTTTGAGTAGCATGGGTTTATCTTTTTTGATTGCTGAGTAATATTCCATTGTGTGTGTGTGTGTGGTGTGTGTGTGTGTGTATATATATATATATATATATATATATATATCTCACATCTTCTTTATCCGGTCATCTATCTTTTAGTATTAGGGTCATTTCCATATCTTACCTACTGTAAATAATGCTGCAATAAACATGGGGTGTAGGGATCCTTTTGAAGTACTGTTTTTGTGTCCATTGGGTAAATATCTAGGAGTGGAATTGCTAGATCATATGGTAGCTCCATTTTCAGTAGTTTGAGGAACCTCCACACAGCTTTCCATAGTGGCTGGACCAGATTGTATTCCTACCAGCATTGTAGGAGAGTCCCTTTTGTTTCACATCCTTGCCAACATTTGTTATTGCCAGTTTTTTTAATATGTGCCATTTCTTAGTGGTGTAAGGTGGTATCTCATTGTGGGTTGGTTTGCATTTCCCTGATTGCAAGTTATATTGAACATTTTTTCATACCTATTGGACATTTGCAGTTCTTCTTTGGAGAAGTGTCTTTTTAATTCTTCTGCCCTTTTTTTTTTTTTTTTTACTGTATTGTTTACTTTGTTTTTGTTGAGTAGTGTCAGCTCTTTGTAGATCTTTGTGATCAGTCCCTTAGCAGTTGTACTGTGTGCAAAAATTCTCTCCCAATCAGTAGGGTGCCTCATTATTTTGGTTAGTGTCTCTTTTGCTCTACAGAAGCTTTTTAGTTTGGTGTAATCCCAGCTCTTCATTTTGTCCTTCATTTTCTTTGCTTGGGGGTGTGTCTTTAAAGATGTTACTGAGACGGATGTCATGTTGTGTTTTGCCTGTATTTTCTTCTGTATATTTCATGGGGTCAAGTCTTATGTTCAATCCCTTTATCCATTTTGAATTGGTTTTTGTGCATGGTGTGAGGTAGTATTCTTAAAGATATAATTTTAATAGAAGCTAGTTTTAACTGTAATCTACTGTGTACCAAAAAAAAGGATCTTTACTCAAACCAGCTAAAAAGAATTCAAGAAGAATAAAGTCATATTTTTATGTCTGTACAATTGCTTTCAAATAGCCATGTCATATAGGATTAACTACTTGATCATTGTGAAGGGTTTTAGTTTCTAAATGAAATAATATTACCTAAAACCAAAAAAGTAGTATACTTGTTTAAAAAAAATAAAAAATGACTTACCAGTCAGAGGAGGAAATTTTCTCTTTGAGCATCTCAAAGGATCCTTGATTTTTTCTGGGAGATAATCCTAGCCAAAAGTCAGTCGTCTGGGATTTTATAAAATCCTATAAGAAATGTAGATGGTTGTTGAAATAATTGTTTCTCATTTCTCTACATTACATCACAGCATCATTTAGTACACAAAATTTTTAAGAGAACATTTTAAACATTATACTATGTTTCAATGCCATTAAAAGAAATTGAGACAAAGTGTTCCTTACTGTAAGGTTGCTTTCAGCATTTTTACATCAATTACCATCTCACATGGAGAAGGAACTACCAATCATTGAAAAAACTCTTAATTTAGGAACTACCAACCCATACATAATCACCAACTATAGATTTCAAATATTGAAATATAGATTTCAAGCATTAAACATTCAATCTGGATGCAAATAAGGTAATTAATGACTGCAAATACAAGTTAATAGAAACAGAAAGAGTAGAAGTAAAATGTAGCAAATTTAGAGTAGTTATAAATAGAAGTCAGAATTAGTCCAGAATTTTGTAGTCAAAGTAATAAGTTTTTTTCCATGGTGTAACATTTTTCTTTGAAGAAATAACTGTGAATCCATCACTTATGAGTGATCAGATGACCAAGTCACTATGAATTGATTTTTTCCTCTTCTATAAAGTAGGACAAGGGGTCTTACAGTAGGACAGCTAAATCTTTGGGGGGAATGTATTTTTGCTTAAAAAAAGAATATATGGGGCATCCCCTGGTGGCACAGGTGGTTGACTGCTGCACTGTGAAGCTGTCTGCAGTCTCTGCAGTGCCTCTTCAATCGCAGCTGGCCTGTGAGGGTCCCACATGGTGCGGCAAAGCTCTCCTGTTGCACCCACTGCTCCCCTCAGAAGTGTATTTTGTCAGTCTCACTGTTCTGTTACCTGCTCTGTCTCTGGTGAATCCTATCACCCTCCACGCATCTGGCCTGTACCACGGTTCTTGTATAAATAACTAAATAAAATCTTAAAAAAATGACTATATGATTACTGTCTGAGAGATCAGACATGCCAAGTAATAAGTAAAATGTGAGGACCTTCCTGGTGGCACAGGTGGCTGAGCACAGGACTGTGAAGCTGTCCGCAGTCTCTGCAATGTGGGTTCAATCCCGGCAAACAGGCAGATTCCCACAGGGTGCAGCAGACCTCTCCTGACCGCCCGCTGCTTCCCTCAGCAGTGTACTTCTGTCAATCTGCCTGCTCTATTCCCCACTGTGTCTCTGGTGAATCTTCTCACCCTCCCACACATCTGACCTGTATCCTGGTTCTCGTATGCATAAACAAATAAATCTTTTTTAAAAAAAAAGGAAAATGTGGAGATACTATTTAGATATTAGAATGAAGGCTTACCAATACGCTTTTGTTCTTAATCTTCAACAGACTGGCATTTAGATTCTGACATTCCTGTTCACTGGTTTGCCAATCTTCACGCTGCTGACTGAGTAAATAACAGCTGTCCTCATGCCACAACCACCTCTTTCGACAAGGTTTACATTTGTGTTCTGGAGGGAAGAAACAGTTGTATTTGTGTTGCAATGATAATCTACCTTATTCTCATTTTCCCCATTATCCTCTATATTAAATTAACCAAATCTACTTGTGATTCTTTTTTTAACATCAGTGGTGAAGAAAGTGAATCCTGTGTTTTAGGTTCCTACATACCAGGGTAGTGTGCTGAAAACATTGCAAGAACAACACATTTCAGAGGAAAGAGCACTATATTTTTCTTCCTCAGGAGCCCTGAATAATGATCATCTAATCTCCTTCTCTTACCTACTCATGTTTTGTCTTCCTGCTTAGCGGTGAAAGTTAATCCCAAGAAGCTTTGTCTGTTGTGAAGGCGAAGATAAACAGCTGGGACTACATCAAATTAAAGAGCTTCTGCACAGCAAAAGAGACAATAACAAAAACAAAGAGAAACCCCACCAACTGGGAGAACATTTTTGCACCCAACACTAATGATAAAGGACTGATCACAAAAATCTACAAAGAGCTGATGAGACTCAACAACAACAAAGAAAATAATCCTGTCAAAAAATGGGCAGAAGAGCTAAAAAGAAACTTCTCGGAAGAGGAAATGCAAATGGCCAACAGGCATATGAAAAAATGTTCAACATCACTTGTCATCAGGGAAATGCAAATCAAAGCTACCATGAGATACCATCTTACACCAGTGAGAATGGCACATATATTAAAAAAACTAGCAACAACAAATGTTGGCGAGGGTGTGGAGAAAAAGGAACTCTTCTGCACTGTTGGTAGGAGTGCAAACTGGTCCAACCACTGTGGAAAGCTGTGTGGAGATTTCTGGACCTACTAAACATAGAGCTTCCATATGATCCAGCAATTGCACTCCTAGGTATTTACCCAAAGGACACAGAAACATCAATTCCAAAGAACACCTGCACCCCTATGTTTATAGCAGCACTGTTTACAATAGCTAAGCTTTGGAAACAACCCAAATGCCCAAAAATAGATGACTGGATCAAGAAGATATGGTACATATATACCATGGAATATTACTCAGCATTCAAAAAAGATAAACACATGCAATTTGCAGCAACATGGATGGCGCTGGAAGGGATCATGCTCAGCGAAATAAGCCAAAAAGAAAAAGAAAAATACCGGATGGTCTCACTCATAGCAGGAATCTAGAAAACTTAAATAAGGGACCAGGAAAATGAATAACTATAAGAAAGTGAAAATCAAAATCAACAAAAAACTATGAACCAGAGACACTTTTAGGGGGGCAGGGGCGGGAGGGGAGGGATTGGGGTCAGAATGGGGGGGCTGCAATTGTATGGGGAATATAACAATAAAATTTATTATCTAATAAAAAAAAAAAAAGAAGCTTTGTCTGTTAAGAATCAATCCCAGAAATCTCCATCGATTCTGGCTTCTCTAACTAAAACATTTCTAGCTCTTTGATTTGTTGAATACTGGGGAGACTTCTCAAGATCACAAAGATCGTGTATTCATTATAAAAGGAATAGAAACTGCTAAAGATATTTATACACCATTTCTTTACATTCATGGAGTAAATCTAGTTTTATTTCTTTGACAATAATACTCATCATTGACTGAAATTTGACTAAAATTGAGGATTGAAGTCCCATAAAGATGTATGTTATTCTCTTTATCTTCTACTCAACTCAGTGCCCAAAATAAAAGTAATACAGGGCCTCTCTGGTGGCGCAAGGTGTTGAGCACTGCTCTGTGAAGCAATCTGCAGCTTCTGTAGCATGTGTGTGATCCCCGGCTGGCCAGGCTGCTACCCACATGGTGCAGCAGACCTCTCCTGTCTTGCCTGCTATTCCCCTCAGCAGTGTATTTCAGTCTGTCTGCCTGTTCTGTTCCCCACTCTGTCTCTGGTGAATCCTTTCATCCCCTGCACCTCTGGCCTGTATCCCAGCTCTTGTATGCATAGATAAATAAATTTTTTTTAAAAAAAGTAAAACATGTCAGATTAGAGAAACTGTATGCTAGCTAATGTTTTATTCAGTAGCTATTATCCCCATTTGGGGCTAATTTGGGGTTTATGGCTATAATTACCTTTTCTGGTTCTTTTTTCTAGTTCCATGAAAATATCAATGCATCCTCTGTCAGCCACATTTAATTCCTTCCCCCAAATAATGGCTTCTAAGGAAAAACTACTAGATTGCAGTGAAATGATGCTCTACTAACTCTTAAATTTAGTCCACCTTATCAGAGAAGAATAGAAGATTACCTGGATATTTTTTATATAGTTGATGGCATAATTTGGTGGCCATTTTTTGCAGCGTGATAGAGAGGTTCCTGATTTTCACAGAACTATTCATGTTTTCTATCAGTTGTAGAGAAAGATTTCGTTGAAGTTCTTCTTTGAAGCTCTGTAGTTTGTTCAGTTTTCCCATTTGCATATTAGAAGTTCCATAAACTCCATCACAAACAAGATAGAAGATTAAAATTTAATCCCCCAAACAACCACCACTTTCTTTTTGCTGAAATCATATTAAAATATTAAAGGTATAGGGGAGCAGTCACTTTCTTTCTAGGAACCAGAGAGAGAGATTAAGTGCTGTCTTAAGTGCAATGTTCTATATAAGTTCTATGGTTCCAGAGCCTTAATTCCAAGAGTAAAACTTTTTTGTAAAACTCATGCGATTCTATGTGTTTTCCCACCCAATCAAAATATGGGTAATACATACACATGCTTCCTAAGATTCCCAATCCAGCCAGCAGCAGAAGGCAGAACACAGCCAGAGCCACCACACGGCACTGCCAGGAGCGGGGAGGAGCGGCTGGCGCTGTGGGAAGCAAGGTGAGCACAGAGAGATGGAAGTGGTGTGCATCTTCATTTGAATCACTCATTCATTTTGCTTTAACTTCATACCTCACATGTCCCCAAAGTGAAAGAATGGTCTTGCTAGAAACTCAAGGACATTTTCAAAAAAAAATTTTTTTTATTCTTTTCCAAAATTTTCTTTTTATTTATATATTTTTTACATCATTGTTCACTTTTAAACAAAGTTTGAAAGCAAAAAAAAAAGGGGGGAGCTAATAAAAAATCTTTTTTGAAGAATAAATCAAAAAGAAATAAAAAATATTTCATTATTTGTTGATTATCTGAAATGGTCCTCACAAGAGAGACTGTTAACTGGAGGGCTGTTTCAGGGAACAAAGAGGCAGAAATGGAATTTTAAAGGAGATGTGAGATAAACCAATCCATCTAGATTCTGGTCTGTCCAAATTTGTGGAAACTGAGCAGCTGTCAGCTAACAGGAAGTTCAATCCTTGAGTGGACAATGATCAACTCTTAAAAAGTAATTTCAGTGATGTATGCTACCCCCAGGACATCCTGAGAGTCCAGGGGCTGTCTCTATTTTTTTTAAGATTTTTTTTTTTATACAAAAGTGGGGTACTGGTCAGATATGCAGGAGGGTGAGAGCATTCACGAGAGACAGAGCGGGGAACAGAACAGGCAGACTGACTGAAGTACACTGTGAGGGAAGTAGCATGAGAGACAGGAGAGGTCTGCCACACCATGTGGGTATCTCCCCAGCTGGCTAGGATCCAACTCGCACTGCAGAGGATGCAGACTGCATCACAGAGTGCTCAAGCACCTGTATCTCTATTTGTAATGTCTTGGAGTCCCCCTATAAACTAGATGGTAGAACAGATTGACATCACTTCCTCAATGAAACTTTTTCATGTTCTTTTACCATCAAACTTTTGTTGAATACTTCATTTTTCCATGATCATTAAACCCACAAGAGATCATTTTCCTACTAAATAAAAATAAATAAGGAATCATGCATTTAATCAATATTATATTTATATATAAAATTAATTATTAAATCATTACATTTAAATTATGACATGTAGATGTGAATATTAAAACGTTCAAGAAAATATAAATACAGTATAACATGAGACTCTTACTAAACTTCTGAGCAATGCCTATATCTCACAGCTGGTGATGCAATAAAGTACAGAGATCATTGTTGATAAAATGTGAAACAACCTTTTTGACTTTGGAAAGTAGTTAAGAGGGAAGAATGACATAGTCAGGATCTTATTTAAGATAACAAGCATGACTTCAAGTGTTGCCTTTCTTAATAATTTTTCTCGTTTATTTCTGTATTGAACTATTCAAATGTTACCAGAGTACCTTCCTTAAGGAGTACCTTCCTTACAGAGTACCTTCTGGGTACTAACAACACAGTGATCAGGAAACACAATTCCAGTTCTTATAGAATATAAATTTTAACTATGAGAAAAAAAATTAGATAGATTAGTAGGGAGGTGGAAGAATGGGTTGATGGATGGATGAATAAGTAGATGATAGTAGATAAACAGATGATAGGAGATAGATAGATAGATAGATAGATAGATAGATAGATAGATAGATAGATAGATAGATAGATAGATAGATAGATAGATAGATAGATAGATAGATAGATAGATAGATAGATAGATAGATAGATAGATAGATAGATAGATAGATAGATAGATAGGTAGATAGATAGATAGATAGATAGATAGATAGATAGATAGATAGATAGATAGATAGATAGATAGATAGGTAGACAGACAGATTGATCTCAAATTGTGTATGGTATGCAAAGATTATAATGGAGTTATATTCTGGAGCATAAGCAATTCAGACCTTACCATGGAATCAGCATGCAAAATCAGTGGTGAGCATGTCACAGGCAAGAAGATCTAGCCCTCAGGCCCTAACTAGGATTCTATTTGAAAAACAGAAAACATTCAGAGTGGCAATGAAATTCTGACCAAAGTGAGAAAAGATATAGGAGGAGGTCAAGGAAAAAGACAGGAAATAGTATGTATGGCCTTTGTAAGCCAGAGTTAGGGGACTGAAGATTGTTTAATTACAGGAAGGGATTTTTAAGCAGGAGGGAGGATAATATAATATTTTTAGAAAGATTATTGTTACAGAATATAGAGGATGAACTTCAGAGCTGCAGTACTGGAAGAGGGAAAATAGAGAGGAACTTCTTGCAGCAGACCAGTGAGAGAGAACAGTAGCTAGATTTACAAGTATCAGAGAAAGGGATGATTCACGGGATATATTATGAATACTTTTTGAAGTTAGAATCTGTAGCACACATTTATGAAATCTATGAGAGATTTTTTTTTTAAGATTTTATTAATTTATTTATATAAGAACCGGGTACAGGCCAGATGCGCAGGACTGAGAGAGGATTCACCAGAGACAAGAGTGGGGAACAGAACAGTCAGACTGATGAAATACACTGCTGAGGGGAGCAGAGAGTGAGACAGGAGAGGTCTGCTGCCCCATGTGAGACCCTCACCAGATGGCCAGGATCGAACTTGGCGCTGCAGAGGCTGTGGACAGCTTCACAGTGAAATGCTCAACCGCCTGTGCCATCAGGATTGGCCCTATGAGAGATTTTTGACTTGATAGAGTTGTTAGGTAATAATAAGATCAGCATATTTATAGGGAGCGTAGCAGTGACAAAAAACAAGCATAGAATATTCTATAGGGTTAAAATATCCAGCCTTTAATTCTGGTTCTGCTTCTTATCCCTTGGGGAAACTTGAACAAAATCTTTGACTTCTCTGTGTCTTATTTTCCACATTGGTTAAAAAAAGAAACAGAAACCCACAAAGTTGAGAAACTAAATGGCTTAAGATTTGTAATACGATTGAAATAGTGCTGGCACATAGCACACACTTGGTGATTGTATTTAAGTATGTATTTATATTTGCATTTAATGATATGGAGATAATTAGGAAGAAGGAACAAGAGGAAAAAATATTTCCATTTTAATTTAAGATGATATTAGACATCTATATGGAAATGTGAAAGAGGCCTTTGATTTTCTAGTCCAGAAAATCAAGGACAGATCATCAGTGGAGAGTTGGAAGTCATTGTATTTGAATCCAAAGGAATGAATGAGGTAACTTAGCAAAGTATCTTTAGTGTCACAAAACAGGGGACCCAGAAGAGAGTCCTCGAATCTTCCATAAAATAGTTTGATCCAGGGCCTCCCTGGTGGCGCAAGGGTTTCAGCACAGCACTGTGAAGCTATCTGAAGCCTCTGCAGCACAAGTTCGATCCCTTGGTGTCCAGGGAGCTACCTATATGGCACAACAGACCTCTCCTGTCTCGCCTGCTGTGCCCCTAAGCAGTGTATATCAGTCAGTTTGCCTGTTCTGTTCCCCACTCTGTCTCTGGCCCTACCAGAGTTCTGCACCTCTGCACCAGAGTTCTGCACCTCTGGCCCTACCCCAGTTTTTGTATGCATAAATAAATAAATCTTTAAAAAAATAAACAACAGAGTTTGATCCAGGATAGAAAGTCAAAAAAGAAGGCTGAGCGGGAGCTGCTATGGTGATAGTGGAGACCAGGAGCACGCCACATGTGTCAGCAGCCTGTGTAAAGAAAGTGTGAAGGAAGAGGGATGGTGCAACTGTTTGAACGCTGTAGAGAAGTCGAATAATAAAAGAGCAGAGACATGATTTGGGGGTGAAACAGAGAGGCCATCAGTGGCCTAGATCCATAGGAGTCTCCATGGAACAATGAGGGCAGAAGCCTAATGTGGTCCGTTGACAAGAGAAGGAGCTCTGAAGACCGCGAGTCCATGACCAAAGGTAATGCTGTCCCAAGGCTGGGCTATTAAGGAAACAGAAAAATGGAAGATAAATAGATTTAGTTGGGTAACTAGGGGGTGTGTTTTGTTAAATAGAGTAGTAGAGTATATTGGTGAGAGGATAATGAAGCAGCAGAGAAAGGGGAATCTTACAGAAGAAATGTCTTTGAACAAGGTACGTGATTGAAATCCATAGCAAAATGAAATTTGGTTTTTGATAAGAGTATTTCATAATTACTATCTAGAAGTAAAGCAGGGGATATAAGTAAGAATATGGCAGGAGGGCGGTGTAGTAGCAGAGAGGGAAGGTGTAGAATGAACTAGGAAGCAAATCCATCAGGCTTTCCTGGGATCTTTCAGCTAGATGTTCTTACTTTCTGTGATGTCCTTTCCACTGAATTTGTATGGTGATTCCCACTGACCATAAGAGGTGGCCTTCCTGCCTTCTATACTAAAACTCAGTTTTAAATCTTCACAAACCAGAGCAAATTAGAGATTCTCACTCTCTGTCTCTCCGTCTCTCTCTCTCTCTCTCTCTCTCTCTCTCTCTCTCTCTCTCTCCAATCATTTATTTTCTCATACACTTAAAATTTATCTTCTATAAAAACAGGTACTTGCTCCTGTATTTTTAGTACCCAGAATAGTGTTCGACTATAAAAAGTTACTCAGGTTAATAAGAAGGTACTCAGATTAATAATTGAATATAAAAATAAATGAGAAAATAATTATTAAGAGACAACAGGACCTCACTGGAGGTGCAAGGGCTTAAGCACTGCACTATGAAGCTATCCGCAGCTTCTGCAGCATGAGTTCCATCCCTGGCAGGCCAAGGAGTTACCCACATGGTGCAACAGAAATCTCTTGATTCTCTGGCTGCTCCCCTCAGCAGTGTATTTCAGTCAGTCTGCCTGTTATGTTCCCTGCTCTGTCTCTGGTGAATCCTCTCACCCCTTGCACCTCTGGGCTACATCCCAGTTCTTGTATGTACAAAGAAATACATCTTTTTTTTTTAAAAAAAAAAAAAAAAGAAAGACAACATTTGAAGTTATACTCTTAACCTCTTAACCTTAGGTAAGATCCTGACTATGTACTTCTTTTCCTCTTTACTGTTTCCCAAAATCTTAAAGAGTTAGTTGGCATTGGACTGGCAATTCTCGCTGTATGTCACAACATTATTGCATCGACAACAGTGAGACGGGACTAGCTCAGACAGAAGTTTAGTAAACTAGGCTTGAGAGTTTGTGTAATTTTCAGCAGTAATGTCCACCTATTTGGGTAGAGTTCAGAGTAGGTAAATATTTGAATTTAACCAGAATGGAGTTTTTCTAGGGAAAATGACAGCACATTAAAGAAGGTGGCAAGAGAGTAAGGGACATTTTTACATAATATAAAGTTTATATTACATACTATAGACTTTAAGATGCATAATGAGAAAATCAGATGGAACTGAGAAAATAATGAGACATAGATTCAAGATTCCCAGAGAATCAGAAAATTTCTGAAGTGGAGATTTAGAATAAGATTAATTAGTGGGACAGGAAAGAGGAAAGAATGTGATGGGATACAAAAAGGGTAATTGTTGGCATATAAAATTTATGGTATGCACATCCTCTTACACCACACAAAAAAGGAGAAATACGAAGAAAGAAAATAAAATCGAAAATATTGTAAATCCTTAAGGGTCCCCTTAAAAAATATGTATTAAAGGGAAAGACAACAAAATTGAGCTGTTCTATCATGTTGATGATAAATGAATCTGAAATCTAACAATGAAATTTCTGTTCACAGGGAAATTAGAATTTTAACAAATGCTACATTTTTTGGGGAGACACAAATAATGTATGAGGATTCTTCTGTTATTGTCTCTCCTAAGTGTACCAACTCTACCAACTTTCTGTGTTCTCCAGACCTACCGTTTAAGTATTTTTTATTTTAAACATCCTGGTGAATGGGCTGGAGCAGACTGCATGCAAAAGTCCAGGAGCCAGGAAGTCAGAATAATATGGGGTTGTGAGTAGGATGAATCTTAGGGTACACTTTATTGAAGTATAACCTGAAAGTCTACACAGCTGGCCCATTTATATCATAATTCAAATTTGTATTGAAAACTACAAAGTTTTCACTTGCATCATGGTTTTCAGTGATGTATCTCCCAGTATTTCTTTCTCTCTTCTCTTTCTTTAGTTCTGATGTCTTTTCCTTCACCTTAACCTTTTCTATATTTTAGCAAGTTGAGAAAAGATCACTAAAAGAAGTGGAAGAGAGTGAAAATTTAGGATAATATATACTTGAATTAGTATAAAGTCAAATGAAAGTCTTTAAAGTTCTATCTCTTTTTCTTTTTGTGACTTTCTCACTCTCTTTTACACACACATATATGCTAGCATGTTCATATATATATATATATAAAATACAAAGACATGACTTTCTAAATAGCATATATTCCTTGTCCTGTGGCATCATTTCATGGAGAAAAAAATTTTACAGTGCAGTTATATTAAATACAATTCTAATTGCCTTGAGTGAAATATTAAAAATAGAAAATTTATGAAAAATTCAGTGTTCAAGGTATTGATTAGGGCCTTTAAAAAACCCTTTATAAACATTCTTATGGACACATTTAATAGTTTTAGGACAACTGGGAGGCTTAATTAAAAACTAAAATTGAACAATCATTGTCTTCACTCATACTTAGGGAGCAAGCTTCTACCTTTACTCTTCTACACATTAGCTTTATCACATTCCAGCACATCTATAGCTCAAAATCTTACCTTTTATCCCAGATTTGCCATTTTCTGTTTTACTGGAGTCCTGGAATTTTAGATCTGCATACATAATTTCTTCAGACATTGATGGCAATGCAAAGGAAGCTTGGCAAACTAAAGAAAAAAAATCCTCAAAAAACAAACAAAAACACTTAGAGCTGAATGTTAAATAGGATCTGTGGTTTTAAGCTTGCGGTTCTAAAGCAAAATATAAATTTAATGTTTTTGAGCCCAAAGATGAACTGCAAATAAGCTGCAGGCTGATGTGTTATATAAGACAAACAGCTGTTGAAGAGCTTATTCATATATTCAACTGCCTCTTATCTGTTCCTTTTCTCCATTTCTGTATACTTACCAACTACAGAAAGTAGCTTGAAAATGATGTTGGGATGGTATTCATGTCTTTCAAGGGGATCACAAGTTCTCAGACACTGACAAGTCTACAGCAATGACCTGGAACTGCAATCCTGTGTGTGTCTAGCCAAGTGCTGTCAGATGAGTTTGCCTTAGTAGAGCAACTGCTCATGTACAGAAAGCAGCACAGAAAGAGGAAGAGTGGAAGCCGCGCCCTGTCCGCTTGTTACATAGCTGCCCGTTAGTCTAAGAGGAACTAAGAAACACTTAGTTTCTCTATAACAAAGAAATATACTAAAGAATCTGGGACCCAGGTAACACACACACTGACGGAAAAAGCCCTAGAAATAACTGCAGGCCAGTAGAGGTGAGATCAGTCTTGTTTCTCTGGAAACTGGCTCAATTCATTGACCAAGCTCTCAACTAATCTACCAAAAAGGGGAAGAAAGGGAGTCTAGAGGGTCTCTTAAGTTAGTTTCTTTCAAGTTTGATCCCACTATTTTGTAAGCAAGGGTCCATCCATTTCTTGGCCAGAGCATACCTTGGGAATTGGGCAATGATTGTTTTCAAGTTATTTCATAATTTTTTTGAAGTAACACTGCATTATGGCATTATATAAATTGCAGGTGTGCATCATTGCAAGTCAACATGTACCTGTCCTACACGGAGTTCACCACTAATAGTTCCATTCTATCCTTCACCATACAGTTGTCTCTTTGCCCTCATTTATCCATCCCTTCCTCCTTTCCCTTCTGATAACCTCTAATTACAGTTCAGAAGTTTGTTTTTGTTTTATTTAGTCCATCTGTTTATTTTCTCTATATACCACATATTAGTGAAATCATAAGGTGTTTGTCTTTATCCAGTTTATTTCACTAAGTATACTACCTTGTAGGTTCATTCATACTGTTGCAAAGAGCAGGATTTCAACCTTTAATAGTTAAAGAGTATTCAATTTTTGCATATATATGTCACATTTTCTGAATCCATTCATCAGATGATCTCTACTTAAATTGTTTCCGATTTTTGGCTATTGTAAATAATGCTGCAATAAACATGAAAGTGGAAATAGTGTTTGGATTATTGTATTTACCTTTGGGGGGTGAATACCCACAAGTATGATAACTGAATAGTGTAGAATTTCTATTTTTGATTTCTTGAGGAATCTCCATACTGCTTCCCAAAACATCTACTCCAACTCACCATCCTACCAACAGTATATAAGGGTTCTCTTCTCTCCACATCATCTCCAAGATTTGTTTCATCTTTTGGGTAATGACCATTCTCACAGGGGTGGAATGAGATCTCATTGTTATTTTCATTTGTATTTCCCTAGTAATAAGAGATTATGAACATCTTACCATTGCCTATTGGCCACCTGTATGCCTTCTTTGGAGATATGTCTATTCAGATAGGTTGCCCGTTTTATTTTTATTTTTTTAAAGATTTATTTTTATTTATTTATACAAGCACTGGGTGCAGTCAGAAGCGCAGGAGGGTGAGAGAATTCACCAGAGCCAGAGCGGGGAGCAGAACAGGCAGAAGGACCGAAGTACACTGCTGAGGGGAGCAGCGGGTGGCAGGAGAGGTCTGTGCACCATGTGGGACCCTCCTCCGGTGGCCGGGGAGCAGCCGGGGATCGAACCGGCGCTGCAGAGGCTGCAGGCAGCTTCGCAACCTAGCGCTCAACCGCTGCGCCACGGGGGAGGCCCTAGGTTGCCCGTTTTAAAATTGGATTGTTTACCTCATTATTGTTGAGTCTGATGAGTTCTTTGTTTATATTAGATATTAATCACTTGTCAGCTATATGATATACAAATATCTTTTTCCATTTGGTAGTAGTAGTCTTTTCATTTGATGAAAGCTCTTTTGCTGTGCAGAAACTTTTTAGTTTGATATAGTTCCATTTGTTTTTCTTTTGTTTCCTCTGCTTGTGAAGTTGAGTTCTCAAAGATATATTTTTAAAGCTGATGAAAAGGAGCATATCACCTTTGTTTTTTTCTAAATCTTAGTTTGAAATTCTTATTGGCATTGCCACATATAAATAACAAAAGGCATTACATTTTTTTACTAAAGAAAAAAATGGATTCTTTAAAATAATTAAAAAATAGCTGTTTTACTAGACATCTTTACAACACTTTCAGGCTCCATGCTATTATCACTTATTTTACAGATGAGGAAGTGAGCTATAAAGAAGTTAAGTCCTTCTGTATCCCACACCACACAGGTAACACATGGTAGAACTTAGGCATGACTCAGGCATCTTGGCTGACATTCAAATACATATCCAAAGGCCATCATGCTTTTTTTGGTGGGAATAGGCTTCCTCCTAAACGATGATGTATTTGAATGAAAAGACTGAAAACATTAACATTTTAGGAGTAAACACACATAGGTGAATTTAGTATTATCAGTTGGTATTTTGCCACATGGCCTTTTTATAACTTCAGGATAACTCATAATATTTTATTAAATGTCAGGCATTACCAAGGGGTTAAGCACAGCACTGTGAAGCTATCTGTAACCACTGCAGCACGAGTTCGATCCCCCGCCAGGGAGCTACCCATATAATAGCAGCAGACCTCTCCTGACTCGCCCACTGCTCCCCTCAGCAGTGTATTTCAGTCAGTCTGCCTGTTCTGCTCCCCACTCTGTCTCTGGTGAATCCGCTCCCCTCTGCCCCCCCAACCTCTTGCCTGTACCCCAGTTCTTGTATGCATAAATAAATAAATCTTATAAAAAATAAATATCAAGCATTATATATAAAAATAATAGAGATTATGAAATAATAAAGATGTTTTTCTACAAAGAGGTTTTTTCTGGCAACCAGGTAGTTTAATTGCAGTAAACCTTAACTAATTTTGAAGTCTCCTAACTTTTGCCTTCTCAGTTGCTTTATGAATTTTGTTCCATTTTTGTAATTACCTTTTAATTGGAAGCTTCATCTACCACAAGCCACCGATCGATGGCCAAGACTACATGGTATCCTTATTGCTCATTGTATAAAATCTACTGAGCACATATAGGAGAGTTAATTAACTAGTTAATCTATTTAAACATTAACTAGATTTTCTGGAGCCACATTTTCCAGCAGAAAACATCACAGATCAGAAGCAGTAGCAGTTGCTTAGCTACTCTCTGGGGCAATGCACTGTAATGGGGTGTCAAGACTCGAGAGAGGAGATTCTGATGGTACATGGGTGCATGGCTAAGGAATTAGCAACCCCTCTGCTAACACTCTGTGCTCTAAGCCTTTTGTCCATGGCATTGAAACATGGGAAAATGTTGCTTCCCCACCCCCAACCCCATCTGCTGCTTCAGTCTTTTCTCCACAGAAACCACCAGCCTCGTATCTCAAGTGTAAACTGCGCGATGTCTCAGAACTTATCTATCACCTGAGCCTCCATAAAGTTGCAACATGGCTGCACACCACTAACACCAGCTACTTTGGACATTTATAGGTGCCATATCTGAAGCAAATCAGTGTTGACTGAGTTAATTTTCACCTCTCCTAGTCTTGTTTCTAAATGGGTAGTTTACATTTTCCCCACTTCAGTTGTGCAAACACTTCAGCCTGGAGTGTTGCAACAGACAGCCACAGGAGGGGACACCTCATATTCACTCAACATACAGAAAAAGCTGGAAAAAGTACACCCCCTTGCTTTGATAACAACAGAGTAAAACTATGTAAGCCACAAATTGATAGCTTTTCTTAAAGCCATCAGAGACCTGGGGACAGGGTCAGTGCACAAAACTGAAATCTAAGATAAGAGGTGCACCAAGGAGAGACGGAGCAGGAAATCTTGCTTACCTGCAGTAAAACCTCAACCCACATAAGTTATTATAAATTATTCAGCTCAAGTTTTTAACAAGTTGCTAAAGGCAGAATGGAGGGGGGGGAGGGGGGCACAAAAGCAGAGAACCCCTGAGAGTTGCAGACCAAAGGCATAAGTCACACCCACTTGAAGGCACTTCATAGGCCATATCCAGTGTGGAACAATTGAGAGCAAGTTAGGAGGCTCGAGAGAGCTTCCCTGTTATTGCAGGCCTGGGAGAGATGAATAGCAGTCATTGGAAAAAAACACTCAAAGCTCCATCTAGAAATGTACCCTTTCTGGAACAAAAACTTAAGTCACTGGGTGTGGGAGTGAGGGGTGGGGGAGAGATTGCTAGCAGCAAACACTCCCTTTCAGGCCATTGGTGCAGACTCCTTACAGCTGAGCAGAACAGAAACCTCTTTAGTCTTCTTGGAGAAAGACAGGAAAACATCCTGATTGTATGTATACTGGCTTCTCTGCTAAATAAAGCTCTTGTTATGCACAGGGGGATCTGGCTTGAGTTCACACCCTCCTCAAGAGGTGAATGTCTTGGGCCTTCCTGGTGGCACAAGGGGTTAAGATGCAACTTATGAAGCTATCCTCAGCCATGGCAGCATGAGTTCTATCTCAGGCCAGGGAGATACCCACATGGCGCAGCAGACCTCTCCTGTCTCACCCACTGCTCCCCTCAGCAGTGTATTTCAGTAGATCCACTTGTTCTGCTCCCCACTCTGCCTCTGGTGAATCCTCCCACCCCCTCCCCAACACCTCTGGTCCATACCCCAGTTCTTGTATGCATAAATAAATAAATCTTTTTTTAAAAAATGTAGTAACTGTCTCAATTCTCCAAGCCCTTTTGCATTTCATTCACTTTCCGAATACATGGAAGAGCCTAAAGAAGTAGGCAGCCATTTTATTAAAAAACACAATGAACTTCCTGATGCCACTCAGTCACTTGGAAAATATTAATTAGACACCTAAATATTTGATAAATGCAATGAAATGGCACAGGATACATATAATTATGGGTTTGTAGTAAAACTAATGGATATAATTTTTGAGGAACAACCATATTGTTTTCCATGAGAGCTACCATTTTATTTCCCCACTGGTGGTGCATAATTGTTCCATTATATCTACATCCTCATAATATTTGCTGTCTTTTATATTTGGAAAGTAGCTAACCTAGTAGTTGTTGTAATAGTATCTTATTTCATTGTACTTTTACTTTACATTTCCCAAATGATGACTGATGCTCACATCCATTTATATGTCTTCTTTGAAAAATGTCTATTCGAGTCCATTGCCCATTTTTAAAATCAGGTTGCTTGGGGATTTTTTTCTCCTTTGGTTGTTGTTGTTCTTTATTTGCTTTTTGTGGGAATTTTCTTTTCATTGTTTTTGCTCTTAAGTTATAAAAGATCTTTGTATACTCTGAATTTTAATCCCTTATCGGTGATTTACAAATATTTTCTTACATTCTGTATGCTGCTTATTCACTCTATTGATTATATCCTTTTTTAAAAAGATTTATTTTTATTTATTTATGCATACAAGAACTGGGGGTGTAAGCCAGAGGTGTGTGGGGGATAAGAAGATTCTCCAGAGAGAGAGAGACTGGGGAGCAGATGAGCCAGATCTACTGAAATACACTGCTGAGGGGAGCAGTAGGTGAGATAAGAGAGGTCTACTGCGCCATGTGGGTTAGCTCCCTGGCCAGGATTGAACTTATGCTGCACTGGCTGGTGATAGCTTGATAGCACTGAGACTTCAACCCCTATGACATCAGGGAGGCCCATCTATTGATTATATCCTTTGATTCAAGGAATTTTTATTTTACGTAGTCACCTTAACTGTGTTTCCCTGTTCTCTGTTGTCTGTTCACAGCCAAGAAATCATTGCCAAATCCAATGTCTTAAAGTTTTCCCTCTAAGTATTTTATACTTTTAGCTCTTATATGTAGGACTTTGGTCTATTCTGAGTGAATTTTTGAATATGGTGTAAGCTAAGGATTCAATTCATCATTGTACGTGTAGATATTCAGCTTCCCTAGAACAATGGTTGAAAAGACTGTCCTTTCCCTAATGAATGGTCCTTTTTTTTTAAGATTTATTTGTTTTTATACAAGAACTAGGGTACAGGCCAGAGGTGCAGGAGGGTGAGAGAAATCACCAGAAACGGAGCAGGGAGCAGAACAGGCAGATGGACTGAAGACACTGCTAAGAGGAGCAACAGGTGAAGCAGGAGAGGTCTGCCGCACCATGTGGGGATCTCCCTGGCTGGCTGGGAATCGAACCCATGCTACAGAGGCTGTGGACAGCTTCACAGCGCTGCGCCACCAGGGAAGGTTCCTAATGAGCCCTCTTAACACCCTTTCAACATTGTTGAAATCATGTGAGCACATAAGCAAGGAGCTATTTCTGGGCTTTATCTTATTCTATGACCTATAGCAGTCGAACGAAATTATGAAAGAAATGGCTGATCATGAGAATAATGACTCTTCCTCTTTGAGGAGAGGTTCGATATGAGAAAAGTGACTGTAATGAAAAAGAACCGTTAGAGAAGTTCCAGAGACTGTACAAAAAATTCTCACATCAATGGAATTCTCACTGAGATTTCATGACATTCCAATGCAAAAGATAAATGTTGGAAGACTATCCAAATATAAAATGAAACTCTGAGGAGGCATAGAAAAGATGGTTGATCCATCTTCCAAGCTATTCCACTAGAAACCTCTACAAAGGCCTCTAGATAAGTTTTTTCTTTTTATTTTTTTAAGAAGCACCTGAACTCTCCATGTATGGAATGTTTTAAATTACAGTGTTCTAAAAAAAAATTGCTTTTATTGTTGTTTTAGTCCCAATATTTTTAAGAAAGAGTAAGAAAGCTTTCAATGCATTGACCAAAAAATAAGTAGATAAATAAATAAAGTTCAGTAACATTCATCATTTTCCTCTTTGATTATGCAAATAATTTTGCACAATTTCAGCTTGTGTGGTGATTTTCATCACCTTGTTACACAGAGCAATTTGAGGACTGTCTATATTTGAAACAAGCATCATTGGAGTGTTATAGAAATATAAATATAAGTTCTGATGCAAATCGTGGTGGAGGTGGATTCTGAGGAGACACAGCATTGTTCAGCAGAAAACTGGCTCAAGGAAGGTCATTATGATTTCCTCAGATAATGCAGGTGAATAACTTCAGGGGGCTTCCTGTCCTAGAGAGGCTGATACCACTGTAGGTGGGGAGACCTCTTCCATTGGCAAAGAAGATAGATGAGAGGGCCTCCCCGGTGGCGCAGCGGTTGAGCGCTGGGTTGCGAACCTGCCCGCGGCCTCTGCGGCACCGGTTCGATCCCCGGCTGCTCCCCAGCCACCGGAGGAGGGTCCCACATGGCGCGCAGACCTCTCCTGCCGCCCGCTGCTCCCCTCAGCAGTGTACTTCGGTCCTTCTGCCTGCTCTGTGTTCTCCGCTCTGGCTCTGATGAATTCTCTCACCCTCCCGCGCTTCTGACTGTACCCAGTGCATGTATAAACAAAAACAAACAAAGAAAGAAAGAAAGAAAGAAAACATGCCTCTATATAAAAAAAAAAAAAATTAAAAAAAAAAGATAGATGAGAGATGAAGAGCTCAATACCTTGCTTTATCAGATATTTTCAAATTGATTGTCTTCTTCCCACTAAGTTGAAAGTTAATGATGTACTATTGATTTTTTTTTGCTTTGTCAGATGTATACCTAAACAGCAAAACAATTATTTAAAAATTCTGTATGGCCTCCCTGGTGGGACAATGGGTTAAGAACAGCACTATGACGCTCTCTACAGCCTCTGCAGCACAAGTTCGATACCCCACCAGTCAGGGAGCTATCCACATGGCACAACAGACCTCTCCTGACTCGCCCAATGCTCCCCTCAGCAGTGTATTTCGGTAGATCTGCATGTTCTGCTCCCCACTCTGTCTCTGGTGAATCCTCTCACCCCCAGTGCCTCTGGCCTATACCCCAGTTCTTGTATGCATAAATAAATAAATCTTTAAATATAAATAAAAGTTCTGTAAATTTATAAAGCTAATCCCATCTAACCAGACACTGTTTGTTTGGTGTTTATTTGGTTTATTTCATTTTTTGTATTCTTAGCAGAATATGAAAGACAGGAGGGTAGGAAATGTGTTAATCTTTGTTGCTTGTGTGTACCCAGTGTTGGTTAGGAACTGACTGGTACATAAAAGAGCACAATACATATTTGTTGAGCAAAATGGAAAGGCTATTACCTTGCAACATGCAAAATTTTAGCCAGAAATTCACTTGTCTATCCATCTTCATTCACCAACACATCCTGTGTGGTTTTAGACATTTGTACCTAAGTGAAGTTTGACTATTTTGGGACTTCCTTTGAGTTTTGGAGAACCATCCAAGGCTGAGCCTAGTCTCCATTTTCTTTTTATTATTTTCTAGGTAATATCACAAAACACTTGGGGAGATGGAGAATGAAGATGGCTATATGATACTGGATTTCAAGAATCGTTTCAAACCCAAACAGAAATCTAATGGTAAGAATATTGTTTTTTCTTATTCAGGACCCAGCTCAAAGTTGCGTCATTCTCTTTAGAAGATAATTATCTTTGAATATTTTTGAATTCCTAATATTTATGTTCTTAGATTTCAAGAAATGATCATACATTACCTAAGATAGGTTATTTAGACTCATAAATATCAGCAATAAACAGCAGTATTTTTACCACCATGGGGTTGGAGAAATTCTACTAAAATGATGTTCAATCCTCTCAATGTGGTAGCATAAGAGCAAGAATACAACTTTCAAGCAAAAGTTTGAAAATTATATTTTTATAGAAATTTTTCTTCCTACAAGATGTAAGTTTCATGGAAGCAATTATTTAGGTAGAATAATTAAATGTAGATGCCTATTACACTTGGAAAGATCGAGTGCCGATGGTGGGAGAAAGTTCTATCATGATTTACAGTTTAAAAAACATATAAATGTGATTATGCATCTGTGCATGTAAATATATATATATATACTATATATAGTAATTTTTAATCTTTGCAATAGTCCATCGTATTAGTAGAACAGTCCACTGGACAGAAGAGAAGGGCAAAAAGATAGAAAACACTAATCTTCTATCTAGGGCTGCTGTACCTGCATCCAGGTATTTATTGTTTTGTTTTGCTTTGATTTTTCCATGTCTGTGTCAGGTTCTATTGCCAAGTCCAATAAATCACATATTGGTAACTAAATTCATTATGTCTAAAGCAGATGTTTAAACATTTTTGTTCAAACAGTCAAAATGTTTCTGGATGCCTTTGGCCAGAAATTTGGAATTGCCCAGCACCCCATTACTATGTCAGCTTCCATCTCGCTAATTCCAGATTTAAAAAAAAAAAAAAAAAAAAAAACTTGGTAATTTTCTCATTTTCTGAAGGCTCAAGTTTTGTGGTCTCAATATCTGGAAATTAATGTTCCCTTGTCATTAATAACTTACTTTCATGTGTAAAAATTCAGACCACTGTCTGAATTCAATCAAAATGACTGAATTGGAACCTAAACTCTGGACTAAATTTATGGTCTTGGGCAAAGTCCTTTTGTCCTCTTAAATCTCAGTTGTTGTTTTTTTATAATAAAGTGACTCTTATTATTTTCTTATGTAGATGTTGAAACAATTTATTTTTACTTAATTTAAAAACCACTTTGTAATAGACAAGTGAGTAATGATAACTAAAGTGTGAGTGTAGTATATAAAAAGCAAGATAACATCCGTTTAAATTATGAGTGAAGGAAGGGTGAGGGCATAAAAAGTAGGTAACAGATGAGAAATGATATAATCTCAGCATGTTTTTGCTTGTCATTTTTTTCCAAGAATTTTTGCTCTTGATAAGGAAAACTTGATTTATTATTCAGCTTGACAGATATAATTAATCTTGTCGCTAATCCTGAAAGGAAATGTGCTTACTGCACTGTTATTTGTATTATTCATTTGAATGACTCACTGTTAGGAATAAATGAAGTTCTGTTATGTACCAGCTGTCATACTGGGAATAGCCATGTATTTTCACCGTTATGTATGGTATGTATTTTTCTTGGATGTGACTTTTTGGACCAAAAATATATATACTTTTACATATTATGTATAATACACATAATATAAACGTGCATATTCCATATAAATTATATATATATTTATATTCCATATAAATATATATATAATATATATATTTATATATATTATATATTTATATATATATAATAGAGAGAAATTAATAAATTCTTTTCAAGTCATCGAAAGTATCCTCAAATAACAAAGCAAATCAATAGCAAAATAATTCAACATTTGAAATAGCAGTGACATGTCTTTGTTTTTGGACTGGAAATTTTAAAATTTTTTTCAATGAACCATAAATTCTAATGTCATATCAAAAATGAACGTTGATTATTTCTGTAATAAAAATTAAACAAGAAAATTGTTCATTAAATAAACATTTAATAAATACAAGTGTTCTGAAATTTACCAAAAAATCTCAATATTTCAGATTTCTCATGGTATATACAATATTACTATCTTATGGCTGTATTTGTATGTATTGGAATCCTTATTTTCGTGATGAGCACAATTGGATTCAACTTTTGGAGTGAGTATGGATTTTTTAATTTTAATTTTAGAAAATAAATGTCGATCTTTAATCCTTTTCATGTCAAGATCAGCTCCACATGGCAGTCAAAAAATCTGCCAATTAAAGTGATCAACCATATAGGTCATATTGTAATATTATTTTAAATGTAAGAATAATTGGTAAACACTAAAAATAAAATTATCATGTACTTTGCATCTTTTCTTATGGAAGACCTAGTAAAAGTTTAGATTGTCATATCATGTCATAAAATTTGTAATGTATTTTTACAAAGAGTATGTACTCATTTAGATCACTTTGAGAGAAAATGATTGAAATAAGATAGGTTTGAAAAAAAGAACCTCTGGAAACAATGTTAGAACTAAGTGAATAGTCTATAGTTGCTCTTTTTAAAATAACCAGACCAATTCATGGTTTCTATGATTTTGTTTTCCTCTTGAAACTGACTTTTGAAAATATAAGGGCTAAATGGGTACTTATGTATAGTACTGATGTGGAAACACACTCCAGGGCTTTTGAGATTAGACATTTAAGTTTAGCCCAGCCCAAAGCAATGTCTTATAGGTGACAAAGAAGTTAAAGGTCTATTTTTGCATTAGTCAATTAATTGTGTTTTTGTTTTCCTAATACAACAATGGAAAAATAGCAAACCAACTAATTATTCCACTCCCTGCAATTCTTCTGTACTTTGTACATCTGTTTGGCTGAGATATCAACCAATCATAATCTTGAAATATGTTCAACCATTATATTGAAATAAATTACTAATAATATTGACACTTTCCACGTACTCAACATTAAATGTTAGATAATCAATATTGGTTTTCATGAACTAATTGAAATCCTACGAAGTTGAATATTCTGTAATAATAATATTTTAAAGGTCTTTAAAACTTAAGAACATATAGATACCAAGTATATTTATAGGCTATCACTGATCTTTTGTGATTCAGTTTTCTTCTCTATAAAATATATCACTTAACTCTTGCAATAATTATTCTTTTAGAGCAAGATATTATAGAGAAGTTATCAATAAATTTTGACATATTGATGAAATATTTAAAGGGAAAATACATTTTCCCAGGGATATTTTTTATTCTAAGAGATAAATGTTCACCATAGTCTAGGATACCCTCGATAAAGACATAAATATAAGAATTTACATAAAGAACTAGTCTTCTATCAAAACAAAGAGAAACAAATTGGCATCAGATTTTTAAATGCAAATAAAAACAAACCTTTGTAGTATGTAACTTGATTTTAACTTTAAGTTTAAAACAAGAGTAATTAAGCAATATAATTTACTCATGTATTCTTTTGGAACTTATAGTGAGGCAGGAGTTGGTGATTTTTGATAAAGTGAAACTACTTCAAGAAAGTAATGAAAAGATATTTTGGTTTATCAGCTTTTCTGCATTCCTGGGAAGATGTGAATTCATTCTATATGAAAGAAATCTGTAAAAATGTAACTAAGAAATAAAAAGTATTTGATATGGTAAAAAGGAGATTTTAAAAATCTGAAACAAGAAGAAAACAACATTAATTTAAAAGTTCACTGAATAAAACAAAGTAATATTCAAACAAAATAAAAAGTATTAAATTTTAAGAATCACATCATATTTCGAATTGGGATTAGTATTAAAGGAGTATAAATAGATATGGTAAAATGGTTAATTCTGGGAAGGAGTAGAGTAGAAACACTAGAAAAGAAACTTGGAGACTGAATTTTTATTTACATACCTTTATTTTGTACTAGTATTTAGACTGTTGTTCATCTTCATAGTAATTTTTTTAATTTAATTAATCTCACTTAATATTTTATTAAATTTTTCTTTGTACTGAGCACAGATAAAAAAGTGGATTTCCCCCAGAATATAAATACCAGCCATCTACCAGGTAATGTTCTTTTATTTTGTGGAATGTGCTGCTTTGTGTTAAGATCAATAAATTTCAGTCACTGGTCACATAAATGCAGGCAATTAAACCTCAGATTTTTAAACTTTCAAATGAGGATATAATATCTACAAAGGATATTTAGTTTAGATTAAGCCAACTGGGATGGTAAATGTTACATGTTAGCGTGATTGAATGACCACAGTGGCCAGATTATTTGGTTCATTATAACTCCTGTGTTAGTTTTCTCTTGCTGTGTAATGATTACCTCCTACTGAGCACTTTAAAAGGATAATTATTATGTAAAATCAATCAATAAATAAAACAATTATTTTCTATGTCAGAGCTTCCATGGATTGGGAGTCTGGGGCAGATCAATTACGTCTTCTGTTCCGGGTCTCTCAAAATATTGTCTAGATATTGACCAGATCACATGTCTTTTCAGAGCTGAGGTTATTCTCACAAGCTCATGTGGTTGTTGGTACAATTCAGTTACTTGTGGTTGCAAGTCTGAGGTCACTGCTTTCTTGCCAAATCTAAACTCCTAGAGGGCCCCCGCATTTCCGTGTCATTTCTCACTTTGTACGTTTCAGAACATGAAAGTTCCTTAATTCTTCAAAGATAGTATTTTTGTCTCTTCCTTCAGACAAAGCCCAGTGCCTTTCTCAAAGTCTTGTGCTGGATTAAGTTAGGTCCTCCTGGGTGATGTCTTTTCATTAATTCAAAATTTAATGATTGTTGGGGACCCTACTTTAGTCTTTAAAATCTCCCTGTTTTGCCATATAATAAAACTTAATCATAGATGTGAAATCCCACCATATTCACCAATCCTACTCCCACTCCAGAGGGACATTAAACAGGCCATATATACCAGGTAGCTGGAATCTTAAAATTCTGCCTACTCTAATTCTTAAAACAAAACTGGCAATCACTTCTTTGTATCATCTACCATCCAGTCAGCATTACAATGCCTTTTTTCTTTTTCTTTCATCTGATTTGTTAGAATCAGAACAAGACCACAATGGCATTTCATTAACATGTTTCTGAGTCTCTTTATCTGTAGATAATCTTTCTTTTCTGTTCTTTCTTCTTTGCCATTTATTTTTTGAAAATAAAAATGGATCATGATTGTGTGTCATTTCTCATGTTTTGAATTTTTCTGTTCATATTTCTGTGGCATTTTTATTCACATCTCCTCTATTTTAAAAACAGACACTGTAATCTAAGTTCTATGCAATAGGAGCTTCAAAGATGAATATAACACTCACCTTATGAACTTTGCAGTCACGTAAAAGACATCCACGAATGACTAGACCAGAGACTCTTTGCCCTTTGCTAGTTAATACTGTTAAGTGACCTATGAGTATTAGAGTTGGCAGATAATATGGTTAAAGTCACTGTTTCTGAGGTGGAAAAATGACTGAACTTTTAAAAGTAAGTCCAATTTAAAGAATGAAGAGGATGGAGGAGGTCATTTGTGGCTAAGAGAATCATGGAAGGAAAAGCACAAGTAAAATGTCTTCATTTGTCTTTTCCCATACCAGGAAGTCAAAAAAAAAATACCCAAATCTAGTAGATCAAAAAGAAACCAAACTGCAAAGCTATGTATTTTAAAACGTAACAGAAAAGTAATTTCTTCTAGGGAGGGTAAAGCAGGGATGTGGGGATAGAGTAGAGGGAGTATTACTGCTATTATTATATGCTTTAACTTTTTAAATCATGTACATTATTTTACTTTTTTTTTTTTTTTAGTCACAAAGGTGGAACAAATATCAGGATTTCTCACCCCTCTTTTTCCAAGCCAATAGAAGTGCATTGCTGATTTTTTTCTTATAAATCAGCATTCAGAGTTCATATGATTATGCTGACATAAATTGTTAAATACTGAATTAATGAACTGTCTTTACATTTCTTATACCATTTTATATTTCCGTGGGGGGCAGGGGAAGTGAAAAGCACAAGTATATAAAAGCATCCAATGGAATGAGGTAAGTAATGATAATGGCAAGTAATTTTACAGAAATAAAGTGTAAGTGCAAACTTGAGAAAAAGGAATTAGATTCACACAGTGGAGGGATTAAAACTGCAGCTACTATTTCAGCTAGAAATAAACATCAAAACATTATATATTTGGGTTTTTTTTTAATTTTTTTTTAATTAATAAATTTTATTTTTATATTCCCCATACAATTGCAATCCCCCCATTATGACCCCAATTTGTTTCCTCTCATTTTGGGCATCAGAATTCATAAGCTTTATTCTCTCCAACCCTTTATCCTAATCCCAGCCTTACACCTAATCCAGGAAATATACAGAATAATGAACTAATTGTGTTCTTATTTCCTTTATAGAGGATTTTTTTTTTCTTTTACATCATAAGTCATAAACGCTGAACTGGCAAAAATCTATTCAGTCAATTACATGGAATACAATTCACACTTTTTTTATAGATTGTAGAGTAAAATTAATTTTTTTTCTTAAATCTTTCTTCAGAAAATAAATCTACATGCCCACATGACTGGCAGTTGAACCAAGGGAAATGCTACAGGTTCCTCACTTCTTCCAAAACTTGGAATGAGAGTCAACACCATTGTATAAAGTTACAAGCTCATTTGCTGGTGATTCAAAGTTTGAAAGAGCTGGTGAGGAATTCTAATGAGGTTCTCAGTGTTCAAGGAAGAATTGCCAGGTGCAATTCTAAGACATGTGGTGCTTTGGCTAATGATCATGAATATTCATCAGTTATAATATAATTACTATTGTTTATGGAAGATAACTATCATTGAAGAAATAAATTCATCAATACCTGCTGCAGTGACTTACTCTATATAATGTAGCAACATATTTTGAATAGACAAAAGAATAAAACCAGTATTTTCTCTATAGGCATTCATACAGATGAATTTAAAGCTTGGACAACCTGGTTGGATAGGACTATATTTTATTACATCTGAAGGCAACCAATGGATGTGGATAGATAAACATCCTTTTGTGGAGCAAACTAAGTAAGTAGTTATTTGAGGTGGAACGGTGTGATGATGCTTTAGTTATAGAAAGGAATTTTTTAATTAAACTTCCTTGTTTATTAGTCTTTTAATCTTCCTTCCTGTTTTCCATCCTTCCTTTCTTTTAAAAAATTTCTGTACTTTTTCACATTTTTCTTTTCTTTTTTTTGTCCTTTATCCCTTTCTTCTTTTTTCCCTCTTCTTTTACTTTTAACTCACTAATATTGAGAAATAGTTATGTGGTTTAGTTACTTAGAAAGCCATTTGGCATTTTATCTTTGGGGGACTTGTAACTTCTGGCCATATCTGTAACCTAGAGTGGTTGGTGAATGGACATCAGAAGACCTGTGTAAGACTCTTCACAGCCTCCCCTCAAGGGACTCAACCCAGATAACCATCACAAGAAAATGAATACATACATTGTAGTGTATCCACCCAATGGAATACTATACAGCAATGAGAATAACCACACTAGGTATATAGAATAAAGATAATATTTGCCATAGTATGGACTCACCTTAATTTGATGTGGCATCAGATTAAAATGTCATATGCAGAAGAGTGCATACAACATGGCTTCCATTTACATAAAATTTAGAAAGAGTCCAGATTTGATAACAATGATTAGGAAGCATCAATAGTTGGCAAAACTTCTGTGAAGCTAGGAAGAATTTCCATCAAATTAAAATAGTGGTTACCTATCAAAGGAGAGCAAGCTTTGAAAAAAAAAAAAAAAGATAAACGATTTTCTAGAATGCACCAGTGACCACTTTTTCCCATGAGGAGGCAGATACCTTAATGTTCACACAATGATTCATTATGCTCTGCATTTGCTTTTTGTCTTTTGTAATTTTTAGAGGTGTTTTCTATATCACAATAAAAAAGTACCCAAAAACAGTCATTAACAGCAAAAGTCTATTCTAAGGCCTCTGCAACATGTTACTGCTAAAGAATTACCTAAGAAGTCTAGCTGGAGGAAACCTTAAGAACTCAACCCTTATTTAAAGATAAATCATCTAAAGTTTGCTCTTAATCTTCTAGTTTTTTGGTGATTGGACCAATGGACAACATGAGCTGTGCTGTCATAACAGGAAAGCAGATATATTCTGAAGACTGTAATGCCAAATTTAATGCCATTTGCCAGAGAGATGCTGTCTAAGCCACAAAGGCAAAAATGCTCATTTATATCAAGAAATACAAATGGGGGGACTCCCCTGGTGGTGCAGGCAGTTGAGTGCCACACTGTGAAGCTGTCCGCAGACTCTGCAGTACCGGTTTAATCCCAGCCTGCCTACTAGGGTCCCACATGGCGTGGCAGACCTCTCCTGTCTCACCCGCTGCTCCCCTCAGCAGTGTATTTCGTCAGTCTGCCTATTCTGCTCCCTGCTCTGTCTCTGGTGAATCCTCTCACCCTCCCACACATCTGTCCTGTACCCCAGTTCTTGTATAAATAAATAAATAAATCTTTAAAAAAAAAGAAATGCAAATGGATGGCAACTGTGCTTATTTTTATTAGTATGCAAATTTATTTCTTTTCTATGAAAATTTAAAATGTTCAAATATTATGTCCAAAAATTACCAATATTATTTTCAGTAATAATAATACAACATGGGAAAATGTAACTTATTTTTAAACAATGAAACCCAATTCTTACTTGCTTCAATGTCTAAACAATAGTTAAATTCAATCTTCTAATCCTGCTTTCTTTCCCTGTCTGTGTGTACCTTATTCCTTGGGTTCTAACTCTTTTCAAACATGTGATGAAGAAATACACCAGGCACATAGATATAACTTTGCTATTTTTTTTCCTTTGTGGTGGGTCTTTTCCCCGTATTAATTATTTTCAATTTTTATACCAAAGAAGTCAAACTTCAACTGGTAATAAAGTCTTCAGATGTTGTAATTATGAGATGCTTATTTGAGGTTATATACAATATTGCTCTTACTGTAATTTCACAATTTCCTCCCCTTTAGTCAAATTTATATTTAGACATTATATTGGGAAATATCTCACTCCCTTAGATCTCTAACTAAAAGTCCATACAATGTCAAGCTTCTCATTTTCCTGTCATTATTCAAAACATTTATTTTTCCACTTAAATTCAAAAATTCAACACTGTGGTCACTGTGTAAGTTAGATAATTATTTAACTCAAAGAAGATGCCTTTTATGTCATCAGGAATATTTACCCTAGTAACTGTGAATTTAAAAAAAGGAGGGGGGCCCCCCTAGTGGCACAAGGGGTTAAGACACAACCTATGAAGCTATCTGCAACCACTGCAGCACGAATTCCATCCCCAGCAGGCCACATGACGCAGCAGACCTCTCCTGATTCGCCCGCTGCTCCCCTCAGCAGTGTACTTCGGTCAATCCTCCTGTTCTGTTCCCTACTCTGTCTCTGGTGAATCCTCTCACCTCCAGCAGCTCTGACCTGTACCCGTTCTTGTATGCATAAATAACTAAATCTTTAAAAACAAAAAAGAGAGGAAGGGGGAACCTGAATAATTCTGTTAGGTAGTTAGTGCCTAAGATAAACAGCAAAAGAATTAAAGGGATCCAGGAAAAACTTTCAAGCAAGAATAAGGCAACATCCTGGAAGTGCCTGCACTGTAGAGGGGGCAAAGCAAGGTTGATAGGGCAACACCCGAGCTGTGCTTGAGTGGTAGAGGGCAGGAAGGACCAAGAATTCCCCTCCCAATGGAAGGGTAGAACAAGGACCCATAAGCTTTTTCCTAGAATGCCATGGAAGGAGCAACCTTACACCCCTCACTAAGCCCCAAATCCCTTGGCATCATTCGGTGCAGTTGTTCTTTCATGGACCCTGCCCATAGGGACCTCTCTACCCCCACTTCTTGAGTGTACTGTGGCTAAATAAACCATCTTTTTGCTTTGCCTTTTTGCTATGCCTGGGCATAGCTTTGAATTCTTTCCTAGCCATACGCAAGCATGGAGGCCCTCATTCTACATTGCTAAGCATTTAATAAAATTAACTGTGATGGTGAACCAAGAAGAAAAAATAACACATATTATGAATGAAGTAAAACTTAAACTTTCAGTCAAAATTAATACATCGCAATGTAATATACAATGGCATCCAAAATTCACCAGTTTCAAGTTTTCTTGGTATCACCATGAGACAGATGTTATCTGTGCACAACTGGCCACGTGCTGATGTAACTGGGGCTGAGGTGGATCCTCACCATGGGTTTTTACAGCAGGAAGGAAGCTTTTGCTTTGTGACTGGTTGAGTAAAATCAAAGTGGGTGACCCAGCTCAAATCCACCTCTCAGCCCATTAGAAGACATTAGGGACATGGGGGGCAGAAGGGCTACTCAGGGAAAGGAGAAGTGTGGCGTTCCCATTGCTCGTGTCTCTTCATGGGTTTCATCTTCATTTTAGGGGCAGGGAGCAGGACTTAGTATGTGTTCTGAGGGAGAATTGGGAGGTTTTTTTCAGCCTAAGATTACTCTGGTAGCTACTTCTGGATTTTTTTTAAGGTTTATTTTATTTATGCATGCAAGAACTGAGGTGCAGACCAGAGGTTCGGGGGAAGGGGGTGAGAGGAAATCATCAGAGACAGAGGGGAGAGCAGAACAGACAGATCTACTGAAATACACTGCTGAGGGAAGCAGCAGGAGAGACAGGAGAGGTCTGCTGCACCATGTGGGTAGTTCCCTTTCTGGGGATGGAACTTAGGCTACAGTGACTGGGGACAGCACTGAGATTTTAACCCCTGTGTCACCAGGAAGGCCCCTACTTCTGGATTTGAGTTGTTACTGTAGATCAGAGCTGCTCAATAACCTGTTAGAACTCATTCCAGGTTCTGCTGATCAGGATCTGTTGAACCTGCAAAAACAAGCAAGCAAGTATGTGAAAACGGAGGAGGGAGAACGTACCTGGGAAAGAGAAGAACAATGACCATATCTTGCCTGTTCCTTATGGGACAGGTTTGAACTTTGCAAAATAGTTTTCTGACCTCAGTTGCATGGCATTGGGCCAAGTAAGTTATCTGCCTTTGAATATATTAGTGCCAGCTAAACACTTTATGGGTGTGGCTCACAATCATCTCTTTTTTTCTCATTAATCAGAAAGTTTCATCTATAAGCAAGAAAGTCAATTTCCATTATTTAGTGGGGGAAGACTTGTCTGTGTGTTTCTATGTGTTTGCCTTGTAACCTAGATACTTTCTTTTTCTTAGGTTCTACCTAGTCCCTATGTATTCACCTGCACATATATTTCTCCTACAATCGATTATAGTTATCTATGCAGGAAGTTCAACTCAAATTAATGTAATAAGGGATCTTTGATATAACTTTTGGGTGTCCTCTAGAATTTAAGTTTTATGATGTACCCAGAGATATGTCATAAGCTTATTCTATTTCATTCTCCTTACTTAGGAAATTAAAATTTTTCAATTATCTATTCTTTGGTCACATTTAATGATACCATTCCAGTTTATATTCTATAATCAAAAGTTTGTAATTCCAATGATCTCTAATAATCTCTGATCATTCATCAGATATTACTTTTTATAGAGTGAGGGTGAACTTCACTCTTGGTGAACTTTTCCTAATTTTGAAGATATTAAACATTTTTTAATTTTTAATTTTTAAGATACTAAAGTAAATGCATGTCCCTGGGTGATTCTCTTGTAACAATTCTCTATGCCAAAGTCATGATGGTTAATTAGTATTGTATATTTACATGGTGAACACATATGTTTCCCAACTTGTAAACTGTTGGGTGTTGGCTGGTCTACCCACATAGATTCCTTTATATTTGCTTATCTTTTTTTTAAGAAGTGGGTACAGGCCAGAGTTGCAGGGAGGGGTGGGGGAGGTGAGACGATTCACCAGAGAGAGCGGGGAGCAGAACAGGCAGATCTACTGAAATACACTGCTGAGGGGAGCAGCAGGTGAGGCAGGAGATGTCTGCTGCACCATGTGGGCTGCTCCCCAACCAGATGGGGATCAAATTCTCGCAGCAAAGGCCACCGACAGCTTGACAGCGCTGGGCTCAGCCCCCTGTGCTACCAGGAAGGCCCTATATTTGCTTATCTTAATCACCATGTCATACACATGTTCTCCCGTTGTTTATCGCTATTTTTATTGGTTCTATTAATAGAAGTTTCTTAACTTGTGTTCATAATGAACACTTATGTTATGAATGGATGAGGTTCTGCTGTAATCATTCATTCATTCAATTATGGGTGCCTTTAATACTTTTAAAACTCTGTATTCTTTGAATTATTACATAATTCTGTATTCTATAACATAGCAAGTGAAAAGCAACATTTACCTATCTCATTTCCTTGATTTCTGAAGTGTGATTATCATTTTCCATAGTTTGTTTTTTTTTTTTTTTTGCACTGTTAAAATCTAGGTTTGCTGCAAATCCACTTGATATCAACAAGTCCCTTGGAACTTTGGACTCTATCAGCATCCAGAAAAGCAAAACGTCCATTTCCATTAATTTCAAACCTGAAAAGGAACAATTAGAATTAATTTGGGAACCACTTACAGCTATAAACAAAATCAAATTAAGAACAGAGTATTTGAAACACAATGAACTTCACAATATTCCTGGAGTATCTTTGCTCAGTGTTGTTGTTTTTTTTTAAAGTAAGGAATTTGGGGGCCTCCCCGGTGGCGCAGCGGTTGAGCGCTGGGTTGCAAAGCTGCCCGCGACCTCTGCGGTGCCAGTTCGATCCCCGGCTGCTCCCCGGCCACCGGAGGAGGGTCCCACATGGCACGCAGACCTCTCCTGCCGCCCGCTGCTCCCCTCAGCAGTGTATCTCCGTCCTTCTGCCTGCTCTGCTCCCCGCTCTGGCTCCGGTGAATTCTCTCACCCTCCCGCGCTTCTGACTGTACCCAGTGCATGTATAAACAAAACAAACAAGCAAAACAAATAAATAAATAAAAAACATGCCTCTATAAAAAAAAAAAAATTAAAAAAAAAAAATAAAAAAAATAAAGTAAGGAATTTGGTACTTTTGAAACATACGAAGATAAACCCAAAGAGACTAATTATGATATTTTTATAAATTTACTCTTTTGATGACAAAATATTCCCTTTGCTGTAGTAATTATAATTTGTCCTATCTACTGTATTTCAATATTTGTTTAATTAGCTCCCATGTTTTAAAATTGAGCACTTAATGAAATATTAAGCAGGAACCCATGGATTAAAAACAAAAAAATGTATAGTCCTTGCTATCGGGTAAAATAGCATATAAGTGAGGAAGCAGCATTCACTCAAGAGATACTACATGAATAAACAGTATTGCTTATGACTGACATTTAGAAACTTAAAGACAATTATATGATTTCTAACTCTTAAAGAAAAAAGAAATCTCATACAAATTTAAGTACTTGGATAACGGTATTTTGACTTGGAATTTGCAGAACAGTTGAGTTTGAATTAGCAAAGGAGGGTTTATTAGCAAGAGTGAGAAATAAAAAAAAAACTGGGAAATGTCACTTGCAAAATGTCACAAGGAAGGCAGAAGGAAGATGGATTATTCCAGAGCAGTTTTTAATGTTAAGGGGCATATTTTAGAGGGTGGAGACCAAAAAAAATTAGAAATAAGAATATTTCTTTGTAATAATACAACTCGAAATGATTTAAATTTCTAGAAGACACCAGAATAAACATTTCCTATTAAATTTGAAACTCACAAATCATTGAATGTGCTGCCATTTGTCCATTTCCAGGACTCTCCTTGTTTTCTGCTCAATCCAATCCAGTACCCAGAAGTTCCCGCAAGTTTCTTCAAAAATCCCTTTCACAAAAATCAGAGCATCATTCACCGCTTAATGTTTTAGAGCACACTGCAGAACATGTCTTGTACCCCAAATATCCCCTCTTTTATGATTTACATTCTAACCTGCATTCCCTAATGTTTCTGTTGCCACAAACAGCACCAATATTAAAGTTCAAGTGAACTTTATCAGAAAGATGTGTACACTGCCTTTTACTTCCCTATCTCTCAGTAGTAGAGTGGCTTTCATCGAGTCATTGAACTCCCTGAGCTACACCCTCTATCATTAAAGGTAACTTCTGTCTCTCATATAGAAATTGGTGAGGAAAAGATATTTGACTAGCTTTCCTTCAAGTGTTAATGCATAAAACATTAGTAAGTTTTAGTTATAGGGTGAATGACAGACTATAAACTGATATGATGTGTTATCTGTTCCAATGACAAAATCAGAAGCTGAACAGTTTCAATAAGAATTGACACCACGTGTTCTAGAAGGGTAACAGAGAATTAATGCTTACATTTTGGTTTGTACACAGGTTCTCTCACAAAATCATGAACTAGATATGACGAGAGGAATGTCATTGTTTTGTGCTTTTCTCATATAATTAGAACTCAAACTAACTTCTGGATGAGAATAATTTACTGTAATATAATATAATATAAGTAATAATTTATTGTAATATAGATGGATGACTTCAATCTCTCATCTCCTAGCAATTGGACCTCAAACCTAGTTGTCAGTTTTTCTTTACAAACAAACTCTTCCCTACCCTGTGGCCCTGGAATCCAAGTTCCTTTCTTTGTCCTTTTCCCTTCCATTCAATTCTCTTCAAACTGCATCTATTTCCTTTGTAACCTCAGCACTGAATTCCAAGAGTCATATTTTCTGTTTCAATTTACCAGACTTTTCTTGGAGGACTGCCAATATAAAGAAAGGTATTACAGGGCCTCCCCGGTGGCATAGCAGTTGAGCACTGGGTTGTGAAGCTGCCCGCAGCCTCTACAGCACCGGTTCGATCCCTGGCGGCCAGGCAAGGGTCCCACATGGTGCACAGACCTCTCCTGCCACCCGCTGCTCCCCTCAGCAGTGTACTTCGTCAGTCTGCCTGTTCTGCTCCCCACTCTGGCTCTGGTGAATTCTCTCACCCCCCACGCTTCTGACTGTGCCCAGTGCTTGTAGAAAGAAAGAAAGAAATCTTAAAAAAAAAAAAGAAAGAAAAGAAAAAGAAAGGTATTACAAATAATTAATTCTATAGTCTTAGAACTTTGAACAAAGACATTTAGCTGTATTGACAATGTGTACCATAATGAAGGACAGAGCATCATCAATTAACTGCCTGAGTTCAATTCCCAGTTAGACAATTTATCGCTGTGGGGCAAAGGCTGCCTTATAGAGCATTCTCTGCACCACACTTGCCTCATCTTCAAAATAGGGACTTCATACTCATTGGTTGAAGGTTACATTAAGTTTTACAAATGTGGTGCTGAGAACACTGACATATGGGTATTATTTTTATCATTTGTATTATCTATTTGCAAAAAAGGAGCTTGGAATTATTGAGAACTACCCTCTTCTTACCACTTCCTCTTGTGTGTCAGGCTGAGCAAGTTCCGATCCTTGTGAGCTGCAAAAACTTTTACTGGCTGTCCAATTTCTGGTATCATCAGAAAAATAGAAACACTTCTCTCCTACTCCAATCCATTCCTTTGAACACACTGTAGTTTTTGGACATTCTGAAGATCGTCTCCAAAGTACTGCTAAAAAAGAAGAAACCGCCATTATTCAACTAATGTGAGACCTTGAAATTATAAAGGCTCATGCGATGGTGATACATTAGATTCCTCTGCCTGTGGGGAAGACAGTTTAGCTGTACAACATGTTATAGTGTAGCCTATTTTCCTGCTCCTGTTTTGAGAAATGGAACCTCTAAGGTTTGCTTGGTCTATATGGACATCCTACCAGAACAATGCATAACATTTAGCGATCAAGGAAAAGACCTAGATATAGAGATGCAATTTAGGTCTCCAAGGGTCAGATATATTGATATTGTGATGATTTTGACTGGTGGAAAGTGGGGGACAGGGGAAATTTAGATAGAATGACTTAAGTTAGTAAAAGCAACCAGTTCTTTACCAAGACACTTAGGCAAGAACAGATTAAAACCCGGCTGTGTGGTTAAAATATCAGGAATTAGATTTACACAAGAGTTTCAGTTCTGATTCTGGAATTTATTATTTGGAGAAGCATTTTATTCACTCCAACTCTACTTTGCAAGTTAAACTCCTATTTATAACTGCTTCACAGTCCTGTAAAAATTAAATCTAAATAATAAAATATTGTATATTTTTTACCTTAATTTTTTTTATTTTTTATTTATTATTTTTTAATTTTATATATTTTTAAGTCATTTTTCATTTTTGCACAATGTATGCATTTTCATCTTGGTTATAGTCCCCATACAATTCCTACCCCCCCTTGTTTTGATCCTACTGCCTCCTCCCCCCATCCCCGTAGTGTGTCTCTGGTTTACAGAAACATTTATTCAAAGGGCACCTGCACCCCTATATTTATAACAACACTATTTACAATAGCTAAGCTATAGAAAAACCCAAATGCCCTAAAATAGATGACTGGATCAAGAAGATGTGATACATATATAAAATGGAATATTACTCAGCAATCAAAAAATTTGCAGCAACATGGATGGCGCTGGAAGGGATCATGCTCAGCAAAATAAGCCAGAAAGAAAAAGAAAAATACCAGATGGTCTCACTCATAGCAGAAATTTAGAAAACCTAAATAAGGGATCAGGAAAAAGACTAATTATAATAAAGTAAAAATCAAAATATTGTATATTTAATGTGAGCTCTTTAAATCATGCAAAGAACTCTGAATTTTACAAGGTAGCTATTCCTGTTGTTATCTGGTGGTTTATCTGAGGATTTATGATCTTCTTACTTGGAGTGTTTTTGAGAGCAGAAGGAACAAACTGGCTGAACTGATAGGACATTATAGATGTCTCCACAAACCCTTACATCACTCCAGAACCGAAAGGACCAGGCTTAAGCTTGAGATATAAATATTTTGGCCCTACTAATCATAAAGAACCAAAGAAAGTTGAAGTTGAGCTACTCACGTACAACGATCACCAATAGCACAAAAATCACTGATGATAGCATGATCACTATCTTGTGGTTGGTCAGCATTTGAACTGCAAAATAAATAAATGTTTATTGTAAAGCTTCTAGAGAATCCTACTTGAATATTTATTATTTATTCATTTCTCTCCTATAATAATCAATTAAGAAACTTTCATTAAAATACCTATACCTTCAAGTAATAAGGGACACAATGACCTTACAAAGTGCAGTGAAGTCCAGTGCCAATCACTGCTGCAGCTGCTCAGATGGTGGAAGGAGGGAGAAAAAGCAAAATTAATATAAAAAGTGAAAATACCACGAGTAGGAGGATTTTAATGAGAAACTATCAGTCACCAAAAGGGCTATGATCAGACAAATGGCTTAAACAGACATAGAAATCAACAATAATAAAGTGATAAAAAGTTTACGAGATTATAAGATTATATAACAAAAGAATTTAACTGTAAGACAAATTGTTTTATACTTTAAATGATAGGGGAAGAAGTTTAATGTGCTAGAGTAAGAGAATGTCAAGATAAGGGCAGTTATTTGTAAGCAGAATGAATCAGAGAGGAGAGGAGATTTGGTTCTCCTGGAAATATTAAGTGATTGGAACCAAAGAATAATAATTCTATTAATGATTAAGCTCTCTGACACATTATTAGATTTCTATGCTTGAAAAGACCCCCCTCACACACACACACACATCTTTAAATGTCACAAAAAAAGGATTTGAAGGATCAAAGAAAAAAATTAAAAAGGTGTCATTTTCTGTTTCTGTTTCCATTCCCATTCAGAGCAGGAGAGCAGACCTAGTGAATAAAAACAAAAAGTGGCTATTATGCTCTTAGGGAAGCTAAAGTTTACCTCCACTCATATAGGTTTTCAGTTGGAGTTTTTAACCAAAAAGTCCAGATTAGCAAAAGAAAAATTGTTTATTAATTGGTGCAGTGTACATCAATTGGGAGAAACTAAAGGAAGAGGAACTCAAAATGGCTGCTTAGAACTCCAGTTATATGCATTTTCAACAAAGATGGCTGCAAACAATACATTTGCAGGAAATGACAAGAAAAAGAAAAACTTTTAGGTTTGCAAGGGCAACAAACCCATGGGAAGGATAACACATGAGAGGTAACTAATGGAATAAGATTTGCCATCTGTGGGCTAACAAGAGTATCTCTAGAAAAGGAGAATTGATGTTTAGTCTTGGGTAGAAAAGGAGGAAGGTAGAGTAAAATTTTCTTGACTTTACTTCTCCCTAATTGCTCTTAGTTAATATTATTTTTATGGGGCCTCCCTGGTGGTGCAAGGCACTGTGAAGCAAAGCACTGTGAAGAAATCCACAGCCTCTGCAGCACAAGTTCGATCCCCAGCCAGGGAGCTATCCACATGGCACAGCAGACCTCTCCTGTCTCACCCATTGCTCCCCTCAGCGGTGTGTTTCAGTCAATCCACCTGTTCTGCTTCCCACTCTGTCTCTGGTGAATCCTCTCATGCCCCACACTTCTGGCCTGTACCCCAGTTCTTATATACATAAATAAATAAATTTTTTTTAAAAGGATGAAAGATGGCAGCCACTTTCAACAAAATGGAGGGAATTTGATAGATTTATGTGTAGCAAATTCAGAACAATAAAAGCAAATGCTGGATGGGTAGGCAGTAGACAATTCAATAATGCAAAACACTTTCAAAAACCAATGGGCATCAGTAAATATCCTGAAGGGCTCTAAAGTTAAGAGACATGGGAGAGGGAAAGGAACAAGAGGACACAAAGGATGGTGGTGGGAAAAAAAATAAAATTTTTGTAAAGACAAAAAATATTAAATTAATGAGAAGGTAAAACTAATAAAGATAAACCTGCTAGAATATTATCTTTTACCTTGTTGTGTTGCCAATATTGTCTTTGGAATTTCTTCTAATTTCATAAAATAATTTGTCTTTTTTAACCTTTTTTATCCCAAAATTAAGTGACTTTATTAAAGGTTCAAGCATGGGAGTTTAAGCCTGAAAACAGCCTCTAGAAGCTCTTGTCTTGTTCTGAACTTGTTTTGAAATCAAAGTGACTCTAGCCATTTAAAAAGAACTTGGCAGATTTCTCTTTTACTCTCTTTTTCATTTCTCTTTTCTGTAACATGATGTACAAGAATCAACTACTCAATAAAGGATTAGTATGCTTACCCTATTTTAATTATCATTTTATTTTCTATAAAATAAAAACATAAAATATAATATAAAATGATAATAAAAAAGATCATATAAAATCTGTTAACTTTTTCTCATACTTTGTCATTTTGTAGTTTCCAAACATTTAATTTTCCTTTATCTAAATGTAAGAATTCATTGGCGTTTTAGTTTGCTGGTCCTTCCATAAGAAGTTACCACACACTGGGTGGTTTAAGACACAGATATTTATTGGGCCACAGTGCTGGAGCAAGAGTCTAAAATTAAGGTGTTGGGGCCTCCCTGGTGGCGCAGAGGTTGAGCGCTGGGCTGCAAAGCTGCTGCAGCCTCTGCAGCGCCAGTTCAATCCCCGGCCACAGGGCGAGGGTCCCACATGGCGCACAGACCTCTCCTGCCGCCCGCTGCTCCCCTCAGCAGTGTATTTTGTCAGTCTGCCTGTTCTGTTCCCCGCTCTGGCTCTGGTGAATTCTCTCACCCTCCCGCACTTCTGACTGTACCCAGCGCTTATATAAATAAATAAATAAATCTTAACAACAACAAAAAAAAAAGAATAGAATCCCTTTAAAAAAATAAATAAAATAATAAAATAAAATTAAGGTGTTGATGGTCTAATGAGAGGCTCTTTTCCAGACCTCTCCTGGTTGATGCCTGCTCGCCATGCTGTTCACATGGCTTTCTACTTGTGTTTCAAGTAGAAAGTACTTCCTCCCGTTTCAAATATAGAAACTGGTGCTCAGAAATATTAATATTTTGGGCCTCCCCGGTGGCACAGCGGTTGAGCGCTGGGTTCCGAAGCTGCCCGCAGCCTCTGCGGTGCCAGTTCGATGCCCGGCTGCTCCCCGGCCACCGGAGGAGGGTCCCACATGGCGCGCAGACCTCTCCTGGCGCCCGCTGCTCCCTTCAGCAGTGTACTTCAGTCCTTCTGCCTGCTCTGCTCCCTGCTCTGGCTCTGGTGAATTCTCTTACCCTCCCGTGCTTCTGACTGTACCCAGTGCTTGTATGTATAAATAAATAATAAATAAACAAATAAATAAATAAATAAATAAAGCTTGCCTCTTTAAAAAAAAAAGAAATATTAATATTTTCATCAAAGATCACTTTTGATATAAAAAACACTTGTTTATTCTTACTGTTCTTTGTCCTTCTAGACTTTTTTTCTTTGTGACCCACCTCTTTTTTTTTTTTTCCATTGTCCCAAATGCACCTTTATTACTGAATAGAAGTCCAGTCTCTGGGACATTAAAATTAATTGTTCCAAAGTTTAATTAAAAGCACTATTTGCTAGATGACTGGATCAAGAAGATGTAGTACATATACACAATGGAATATTACTCAGCATTCAAAAAAGAAAAACACATGCAATTTGCAGCAACATGGATGGACCTGGAAGGGATCATGCTCAGCGAAATAAGCCAGAAAGAAAAAGAAAAATACTGGATGGTCTCACTCATAGCAGGA